TTGAGGAATAATATTTTCTTTTTTATGAAACTCACTGTCAGTTAGTAATTCTTCCATTTCTTTGTCAGGGTTTGTAATATGTTCGTGAACCTTCATCATCGTCCCCACGTATTGTTTCACTAGTGAAAATGTTTATTGGACACGAAATGGAACTATGGATCGTTTTGTACTTACTTTCTGCTGTTGTGAATAAAAAATTCTCTCTTTATTTACAGGACACATTGCTTTGAAATTTTCAGTGGTTAAATATTGCTGTTGTCGCTAGAAAGCTACTAATTTCATTTATTTCAAAAATTCCTGTGGGCTCTATGAAATTCATTTTTTACTTTAAACTTTTGTGTATTGACGACATCAAAATTTTTAAATGCCCACCGCGCCTTGCTTCCGTGATCGCATATTAGCGATCTTGTGGTCAGACTTTGATGTTGTGGTCAGATCCTTGATGCTACTTCGTTTTGGTCTTGGTGTCCATATATTTGAGCATTGCTCTCTCGTTTTATTTTTTATTAATTGTGTATTCCATCATTTTAAAAGAGGTTGATTTTCTTTTAATATCTTGGTGTGTAGGTATGATTAGCACATGTGGTAAAATTCTAATGAAACTTGTCATTGCTGTTTTGTTTAAATGCTATAATTTCTTGTTTGAATGCAGTTTTGTTCAAAATTTAATTATACACCAATGTACTGACTTTATTAAAAATTAAAATCAAATCAATTGCACCACATTGTTTTAAGTAATTTTCTGAAAGTTTCTATAGAATACAAATGAAGAGATTGAAAATTGATGCTCTCGAAGTATGTGCACCAAGATGGCGCGCAACCTGAACACAGTATGTGTACCAGTCGGGGTTATCAGGTTGTGCGCCATCTTGGTGCATATACTTCTGGAGCGCCTGAAAATTAAATAGACTTGCGTCATAATTTACAGGATTCGTTCTAATATGATTCGTCAACAATCTTTAACCACAAGAAAATTTCAAAGCAATGGAACAGTATTGAAGCTACGGCCAAATGCTAATCAAACGTTTAACAACTGACGTTTTTCAACAGTTTGAAGTGACGGCGAAATTCTACTTCAACATTTGACGACTGACGCTTTTCAACAGTAAAGAAGTTACGGTGAAATGCTACTTAAACATTTGATGACTGACGGTTTATAACAGTACTGTTTAAAAGCTTCAGTCGTTTTGAACCGGATAGCAGCTTAGCGAACGTCGAATTTTTTATTGGGAACGGTAGACTACGCCTACGGTACTGGATATGATAATACAGTAGTGACTCGAATCCTTTGGCATTTCAATTCACGTTGGAAGCATCAAGTGAATCATTCAGCATTTTAATTCACGTTGACACAAGATGCAGGAATCTTCATTGCCACAAGGCCTGGTAAGGCTAGGGCAATCCGAGTACCGCTACTAGTAAGTAACGATGGTCCAAAATTTCATCTTCGTCCAGCATATGATTGCTGGGGAAATTGTCGGTGCAATATTTCGTTTTAATTTTCGCAAAGTGACTATAGTTTGTAGTTTGGTTTGTAGTCACTTTGGGTTTTTGATCCATATATTGCTCTTCTGTTTTTCAATCTGATTTTGTCTAATTTCCGCTTATCTTAATTTACATTTTGCCGTTATCCTGTATCAGCTGCCACCAACCCGAACACTCGAAACACAAGCCAGGATAAAGTGACATGGCTTCCGAACCCGAATCCGCTTAAGGTTGGAGCATTCTAAATATTAGATTGGTATTTCGAATATTCTGAAATATTTGCATTCTACATTCTAAAATTATAAACAAAATGGAAACTCTCTCGAACATTTATCAAAACAGTAGACCAGACGGTCTTATCGTTGATCTTCAATTCGTAATGAAGAAATATTTTGCGTCACTAATGTTTTCAATAAAATTAGGATTTTTGTGTATAATTCGAGGAGATGGAAGCCGATAAGCAGACTATATCATATAGCCAATCATTTCACTCGTACCGTTCCCAGAGTGAAGAAGAGGAAGGCTAAAAAACGATGGGCTAACTAAATGGCTAAAGTCCTCTCCGGTTGTTAGTCAAAGTTACATATGAAAATAGTCGGATGAGCTAATTGGGATAGGACAAAATTTTCATATTTACGCCGGGACAAGTGGGGAAGATTTAGGGAATGACTTAATCACATTATCGCCTGTTTCTACATTTTATATTGTTTTATATTGTTTTATATTGTCTTGTTGGACAGGAAATGTACCTATGGGACAGTTTGTTGTTATGTTATTGTTGTTAGTATTTGTGTTCTTATTGTTGTTACGCTCTTCTCTTTGAAAACTGGACCAATTGCTTTAAAATTTCAGCGCTTGAAGATCGCCGTTGTTGTTAGAAGTTTATTACTTTTATTTATTTCGAAACTCCTTGACGGCTCTGTGGGATTCGTTTTTCTATCTGAAGTTTTGTGTGGTGACCTAAACAAAATTAAAATTAATTGCAGCGGTTCTGCGACCGCAAGTCAGCGGATCTCGTGCTTAGCGAAAGTCGGAATTTTTCTTATTGGGAACCGTAGACTACGACAATGGATATGATAATACAGTAATAACTCGTTTCAATTCACGTTGGAAGCATGAATCATCGTAACAGGACCTGCAAAATCTAGTACAATCAGGGCACCGGTACCAATACTGGTAAGTTACTTTATCGGTAGCTGTTTTCAGCTTCGTTCAGGATAGCCTATGATTCTTTGGGATTTGTTAGTAAAATGAGCTATGCTCTCTTGTTTCATTTCATCTGAGGCAAGCCTTTCATTGTGAGACAAAAAAAAGGTTGCCCGGTTAGTTATAGCAAAATCCAGCTTATTGTGGGACCTTTTAAATCTAAAGACTAAAGACGGTCATTCAACGGTGTCAGTAGAGTCTCGAAAAACGTAATATGAAACAAAAAACCTTTTTGTGGGAATAGATTAGATTCTGTGTTGTACCGCCTCCGGTACCATTGCTAACGCGAATGTGGAACCGCCACAAGGTGCGCAATTTTCAATTTTGATGACGTAATTGCACACAAATAACGAATCCTATAGAACACACAGAATTTTTTGAAATAGCCTTCCAGCGAAAAATACAAAAAAGCGATCAGCAGAATGATTCAATGGAGCAGATCATGTTAAAACATGACGTTATTGCGTACATGATCACATCACCTTTTTAAAAAATTAATTCTGATGATTATTGTTGATAAATGCTTGTTACTTATCGATTTTAATCGGTAAGTAGGTTGATAGGTATTTGACTGTCTGTATGTCTGTAGATGCACGCGATATCTCACGAAAGCGAGATTGAATCTGCTCCAGATTTTGTGCATTCATCTTATCTCGGACCAGTAGCCTATTGATTTTGGGCGAATTATGTCGTATAATTAGCGAGTTATTAATTAATTAGTGATGGAACACAAGGTGTCACTATGGAGTAAGAGCGCTGTTTTGGGGGATCCCCTAACTTTCGATAGATAAGTATTCGGTCTCTGACCGATATTCTCGTCTGAAAAAGTATGATCTTATACTTACAATACGTTATAGGATTAATTTTCGATTATTTCGATTGATTATGTTTTGTAAATTCATAGCCGTGAATAAACCATTTGACACGCATTACTACATCATATTGACCCTACGAGGGTCATGCGTAATCAATATTGTTATGTAATGATAATAATATCCAACATATGGACTACACAGCCAAAATTTTATAGTTCGATTATATTGATCCATTGCTTGGATGTTCAGATCTGCATTAAATGGTATATGCTGTGATGGAATAATTTATGTCTCGGGATGTCCTGGGGAAGTTTGAATATTTCCGCTTGATCCCTATTTCTTGTCGGAACCAAATATCTGAAGTGTAATGAATAATAAAATGAACTGTTTACGGTTTTTATTAGACTACTGATGGTGTTAAAAATAGCGACAAAGGGCTTGCATTCAATAGTTAACACTCTGTTGTTGGCCTGGCCTAATTAGTTTAAGCAAATAAACGTTGTTTTATGAGAATTTTCAATTTTGTGATTAACATACTGAAGCGTTGTTTGAGCAATCGAAAGTAAAATGTCTTTAACAAGGATTTGAAATCGTTTCGTTAGTATTCATCCTAACAGTAAGCTGAAGGTACGACTAAACATTGAGAAATAAATTTCTGATATCTTCATATTCAATCGTGACAGTAAAGACAATGTGTAACGTGCATTTGTTTGGTGTATAGACATAATTTTATGTACCGTAATTATCCATTGATCAGGGTATTGCGTTGATGCGTAGGTTGCACATCCGGTGGAAATTTGATAGTGAATAGTCGCGCGCTTAGCGAATAAGTTATTTATAAACGTCACTTCTGCCTGTTTTCCCGGTATTTTTCTATACTAAACGTTTTCAAGGATCGTTACATTGAACACAGTTAGGCACAGTAAAATGAAAATCTGCAAAACGTAGCTCATAGCGAGAGAGAGTGGAAGATGCATAGTTTATAATAGACAACTTGGGATAATTACTGAGTGGTACTAGCTCAAATCATATGTGTGATAATTCAGTACGAAATCACTGTAATCACGTAAAAAACAGAGAAAAGGTGCAAAATAGTAAGAGTAAGTTAGACGCTAAATACCTATACGAACGTTATTTTTTCGTACTGGTTGATGTAAATGCGTTTAATGCATGGTTGCTGTAGCACGAGCAAATGATTCTGCCTCGATCTAACACAGTGTATTTCTACAAAGTTTCGTCGGTCCGAGGGGTAGTGCAGAACAGTTTTGTTTTGTCGGTGTTGCCAATTGGATTATTGCAACTTTATTACTATATACTACTGCCCTTACCATGTCCCGGAGTAATACATATAAATTGAGAAACGTTTGCAGCATTTATTTATTGCAGTATTGTTTATGTTGCTGCAAAATGCAAATTATTGCACGCATGGGCACGTTGCCATATTTAACTTCGATATGAGTAACTTGATATATAACAGCACTATTGATACTTCGAATTTATATTTCAATTTCATGCACTTAGTAGTCTAGTCAGCAATAGCTTGTAATGAGTCACTGCATCTGAGTTCTCAATATTATTGTGCTGAATGAATACTCGTACTTGCACAATTTACATTGGGACGCTATAGGAGTTACGTAACCGACGCAGGTTTCAGCAAATCAAAATGAAGCGGCGGCAATGGCTACGTCTCCTGCTGACCGTATTAATTGTCATATTTTCAATATCTTTTGTTGTTCAAATGTACATATATTCGGTTGGAAATTACATCAAATCAAAGCCAATGAAGTACGCAAGACGGTTACAACGAAATACACCAACGAGAGGTAAGTTTCCGCTAACAACTAGTCTGTGCAGTCAATAACATTACGCAGTTTTCTTTATAACATGAAATACGATCATGTTATAATGGTTGAGATGACGTAAGTTTAAAGTTTATGCGTACGTTTAGGTTTTGTCTCTGCAAGCTGAAACAAGACACAACGAACCTTGTTGTGTTTCAAAATGTACCGTTAACAAGTAGTTCACGCATTGCTCAAAAATATAGTTTGGAGCCGATAAAGGTCACACTGGTAATATATTAACTGATCATCCACGAAATTTGCAACAATGTCTATTTTGTGCATAACGTCAACAGATCAATCGCAACAACGAGCGCTAACGTCATATCTCAATGATTGTATTCACATTCTTATACAGTACTTCAACACTACTCATGTTTATCTTGTCTGGATTTTTATATCAAAATTTTGCACATATCTTTGGCACATTTACCATTACCAACATATTTCGTTTGGGCTAGAGACATTTGGAATCACTTTATCCTCACATAACATACCGGTTTCAATTACTAGTGAATGTCTTGTTTAGCCTAAAAATCAAACCCGATGTAAGTATTGCAACCCAATAGCCCTCTACAAAAAACAACATTCAAAAAGCGATTAGATTCTTATATCCATTCCCACTCCTAAGTCCTAAATAATGAATAGTTCAACCCAACCGCAACCTTCAAATGCCTAACATGCCCTAGAAATAAGTTGCTTTGTGGCTATGGCTATCCATGTAGGGCTATGGCTGTACTGACGTAAACACTTGTAAATAAGTGTCCAGAAAATTTCGCCCGATTTTATCATAATAACAGTTGTAAGTTTAAAAAATGTTATTGTATGATAAATGAGAACTACAAGCACAATAAGAACTATGAATAAAACAAAGAAACCTGGGAATATTACCTTTTTATTTGTCTACACCCCATGTAGTGAGTAAATAAATTGTGTAGTGAGTGTAGTGAGTAAATAAGTCTGAAACACATTGCAGCGTCTTGAATAGGGAAAACAATTATGCTATGACGAAGGATGGATGTTCATAATTTTTTAAATCATTCTCTCTCATGTCCAAGCTTAAGATGGCGTTATGAGTTTCTGAAATCGACTTCTAATATTAATCAAAACCGTAGTTCAAGTTCGAAAGTTGAAAAAACTGAATCATAATATAATAATTGACCTCACTAAATAGCCCTTGACGCCACGGCCCAAATGTTGAAGACGAATTATATCATATTTTATCATGTCGATGATCGCGCATCATTGGTAAACGCATCAAATCTTCGTTTACGGAATTTTGTGTATTTAGAAATGTGCTCCACAAGGTTGCAAATACTCGTGTTGGATCTTCTTGGCCTTCAAGACAAAAATTAAACATATGCTTACAAAGATAATAAAATAATATAATAAATAATAATAATAATAATAAAACCTATTCTTATTAAGGTCGTCGGATAGGCGAAAATTATTTTGCTGTACCTTTAAAAAAAACAATAATATTATTGATGTGATAACGTATGAACACCGCTACACACGATGTAAATTTCATAGATTAACACAGCAAATAATGTGTCAAAATATCACTTAAATTTCGTTGTATGTTTTGTATATTCCAGGTGTACTTATTGTAACCAACTATCGATCTGGATCAAGTTTCGTTGGTGAACTTTTCAACCAGCATCCAAATGTGTTTTATACGTACGAGCCGCTCGTTCCTGTCGACCTTCAAAATATGACCAGTATTGTGGATACGTTACGGTCAACTTTGAGTTGTAATTTTCGAAATTTGATTGAGGATAATTCTGAAATCGACAAATTGAAATGGACAGGCCAGAAATGTGTCATGAACAATATTTGTTTCAGGTAATAAACTTAGAAAACATATTTTCTTCTGTAACTCTACCAGCTAGAAAATATTAGTTTATTCTTGATCTTGGCGAGCGCAAGAAGGGCGTAAGGTCTGGTGATTATTGTTCTGTTATCAATATGTTAGTACTTCAGGATTCGGTAAGGTTCATAGGGACGTCCCTATCCAACCCAAAAAAGTGTCTAATGACCCTGCATATTCACCAGTCATGTGTTTAACATGTATCCGCTAGTCACTCGCTCTAACTTTCCGGATGCCAGGAACCACACGTTGCGATACCAGTTGCACCAAGGCATATTTTTACTGTGAATCATTTTTCTTGCCTATGAGGCAACTCATGAGGGATAAATACAATCGTCTATCACGCATTGTGGCAATGCTTGGTCGTTCCTAATTGGGCGTTTGTAGTATAACTAGACTTACCATACGCCTTGGTTCAGTCGGGACAGTCCTGATGTTAACGAGCTGTTCCCACCCAGTAGACTTGAATGTCCCGACCATGCGATATGGTAGTCATAAAAACTTTTAATTCAATATCAATAAAAAAATTTTATACCTCGTTAATGGATGCAATTAGTACGGATTAGCAGGCTTGTCCATTGGAATGAGAAAAGTCCCATTGGGTGGGATGGGATTGCACACATTTGTATTTCCCTTGAGACAAGTGGACTCATGATAACAAACGGGAGACAATTGGGACAATTTTATATAAGATTACGCTTTGTGTATCATCAAAATTACCAATTACGGTATGTCCCCACCGCGCGTTTTGAACATGATGGTGAGGTAACGAGGTAGAACGATAATGCCATGCGTATACATAATCAGAGTCAGAAATCGCTGCGTGTATAGCGTATGTGATAGGTAATAATAGTACATGCTAGAGTGCGAGCAAACTTCTAGTTTTCTTGGGATACTGGCGCCGGCGGGCTGATTCGAACGAAACTCGGCATGTAGGTCTGGGATGGTAATCACGTAACCCAGAATTTTTTTCATTGCGAACGGGACAGAGAAGATTTTGTTGTAATTTGGAGGCGGGTACCTGTCAATCAAGCCATTAATTAAGTTACACTCGAATGATTTTGTGGTTTATAGGCCGTTCAGCGTCGTTTCCGGGATGGGGAGGCGTTTTCCCGATCGCTGGAAACTTTTTCGAGTAGTTTTGGCAGTGAGGCCCGTGATACTGAATTGTCATAGTTAGACAATACTTCTGTATTTTAAAGTTAACAAAGTTACAAAAATTTCGTCGTTTTACATGTTTCTTTCTACATGTAGTTCTATTTAGTAGACAGACACTACACCTAAATTTTAATAGATTTAATAATTTTTATTGAATTGTATTCCAATGGGAATCCGATGGGATGGTACAAGCATGAATTGCTATGGGATGAGACAGAAAAATATTTCTCATGGACAAGCCTGTTGATTATTTCATTTATCTATTTTATTTATGAATTACCAATATTCAAATGAGTTGAATATTACTGAGCTTCGGAATCGGACAAAAGTTTGTCCAATCCGATCTGTCCCGGTTTCTTGTTCCATATAAATCAGGGGTCGGCAAACTACGGCCAGCGTCGGAGCACTATAATCCGGCCCGCGACGCTTCACTGAATTATATTAACAAAACAGCTGTATTCGCGATTATATTCTTTACGTGACAGAATTTGTTTTGAGACACTAAATTATATTATAACCTAACAAGTATATGATTCACAATCACTCGATTAGTGAGCCTATAATTGATTATAATTAGACAAATGGCAACAGAAGGTAAAAAAGTTAAGGCTGAGTGCAAATGGTCTAATGACGCAGAAAATATTCAAATGATCGGTCTTCGCGCACTGCTTGAAATTTAACTGAAATATGTGTGAAAAAATGTGATTCATTAGCCATTCGTTCGTTTTTTATCTTTCTAAAAATATGTGCGGCCCGCCAATGACTTGCAACCTTTAATTTTGGCCCGCGAACGACAAAAGTTCGCCGACCCCTGATATAGATGGTAAGATTAAGTATATCATCTCATAGACAAATTATTTTTGTGTACAGAACAAGGACAAAGGAACTTTGTAGTGAACGGTTCTGCGCTGCACCAATTTCGTGTGCAAAATGCAGACGAGTGGAAACACATGAACTAAACTCAATATGCGAATCTAAGGCTATTTCTGCGACTAAAGTTATCAGATTACGAAGTTTATCAATACTGGAAACTTTGATGCAGGACAAGAAAATGGATTTAAAGATTTTACATTTGATCAGGGATCCTAGGGGAATTGCCTCCTCCAGGAAAAAATTGAATAATTACAACGATATGGTGGGAACATGTGCAAGAATGTACAATAATGTGAATTTGAGTTTAATAAAACAGCCGGAATGGCTGAAGGGCAGATATAAACTAATAAGGTATGTAGTATTATTTAATTTTTCATTGTCATTTTTTTCATACAAAACTATATATATGGACTAGGATATCAAATTTTCATTTAATAGGTCTCGTATGTTCGACATTGCTGCCGATTAACCAATACTGCGAAAATAAACGAGGGAATATTTATTATACTTGTTGTCGTGAGCACTATGTTACGTTTCCCTCAATTATTCAACGTGAAACTTTTAATGAAGTATCATTCTAGGATAAAATTAAACACTAGAGCAATGCGCCAAAACGAAGTAGTTACGGGTATTTAATCTCTAACAGTAGACTACCGGTACTGTAGTATTCCTGACTTTGTCTGACCATCATATAGCAACGAACGCGAAACCTTCACAAGGTGCGCAATTTTCAATTTTGATGACGCCATCGAACACAAAAAACGAGGCATAGAGCACACAGAAATTTTTGAAACAAATAAAATCATTATATTTTATCTACAATCTTTAACCACTGACAATTTCAAAGCAATTTGTCCGACAATCAAAAAGAAAGCGATTTTTCAAAATAACAAGAAGAACGAGATAGCGATCAGAGACCGCCGACTTATCGATCTTCCGCATTACTAATTTATTAATAACTCACTAATAATACGACATAATGATGAATGTACATACAAAATTTGAAGCAGATTCAATCTCGCTTTTGTGAGATATCGCGTAACATACGAAAGTGTCTAACAGACAAACAGACAAATACCTATCAACATACTTACCGATCGAGATCGATAAGTAATGATACCAGTGCACCATGAACAACAACATAATAACAAAACGATCAATTGGTTCACGTCCGGTCCAAAAAATAAAGGAATATTGTTGTGGGGTGATTTGTAACAAACTACTTCTGTGTTCTTTTGGTCTTTCTGTTAGTTGTAACATACATTTGTATTTACAGATATGAAGACGTTGCTATCAATCCAATAAAGATGGTAGAAAAAATTTATGACTTTGTTGGACTTGACATGACTGATTCAATACGAAAGTGGATTCATATAAACACGCAGGTCAGCAAAAAAAAAAGTTCCAACCCCAAAATATTTGAATACTCTAATGTTCTGTTTACTTATTCTCTCAAGTACCATATTTCAGAACTTTTTCGAATGTTAAGACTAATCAGGCTTCGATTTACACATTGCACCAATTTATAATAATTCGATCACGAACCTGAGTTTATTTATTATTTTAGCACAAGCGTCAAGTATTTCGAATGGTTTAAAATTGAAGATTTGCATATTTAAATACAAAAGTCCAATGCTCGTGGCCAAATAGCTGCATGCCAACGTCGTATTTCAGAATTTAGAGAATTTTACAAAAGTTTTGAAAACAAATAAAAATTATATTCACCCAAAACACATTTTAATCTTTGATTACTGAGCGCACTAGAAAGCCTATAGCTTAGTAGATGACGAGAAAGACTTGATACCGTTAATTGTGTCATTCCAGGGCGAGATTGCCATCAGTAAAGACGCTCGTTTGAAGAAAATGTTCATGAGGAGAAGAAAATTGATAAGGATCAAATACCAACAATTCAAACAACTTGTTTTATCAGATGCATACACCACTATTAGATATTCAAATGCAACCTGGCAATCGTGGCGTAAAGAATTGAACAACTCAGATACTGATGCTATTCAAACTCAGTGCAAAGATGTTATGAAACTGTTCGGTTATAATTTGTTACATCCCGAAACCAAACAATTAGTCGATTTCCGGATATTAAATCCATTAGCTTCATTTGATGAAAGAACGCTTACTGTATGACGTATGCACATTCAAATATCAGAATATAAATACCTCGCAACAGCATTACTAATAAAATACCTCAATGAGATACTGGATACGAAGAAATTGAACATTTTTCTTACTTTAGAATCGAAACAGTCCTCGCTGCCGCGGAGACTTTGCACATTTTTGTTTCTGTTATATCACGTGCTACATTCAGTAGGGGTGTTATGCCATTTTGCTAATAATATTAAAGTGCCATTCAAATGCTTTCTTAATTTTATAATACCAGTCTTATAGTTAGTATTTTCCATTTTGTTGCTTTATTTTCTAATTGCCAAAGAAAATTTCTGCTATGCGTTTAAATTCGCCCAGGCCATCTTTATCTACAATAATTTATTGCAAAAACCATTTTTCAAAACTGTAGGATTTTTGCCATTCGCTGACTTCCACAATAAAAAAGCGGAAACTGTTTATATTATTGTTATTTGCTTTGTTAGACAATTTGTGAGTCTAAGTTACTTTCTACTAAAAGTATATTGTTAAATGCAGATTTACATGATAATTTAATTATTATGTTAAGACCTATTTTCCTTATGGACCCCACGTAAAAATTATACTTTTTATTCTCCACACCCTCTAACTATGTTTTTGTAATATTCTTGCAATGTATTTTTTTATTTTTGATACTGACTTTTCTGCGGAGTAAAAAATATTTCACAACACATGTAATAATTTAAAGACAGGCGCTAAGGGGAGCAAGAGAGAAAACGCTCGTTAATGAAGCGACCTACAAGAAAACGGAAAAGGAAATTGAACATTCAAGTGTCAAAAATAATGGAATTGTTATACCAAAAGAGAAATCCACTACTGTAAATCACAAGTGGCAATGGGCAGATTAACAACCGTCGATAGAGTAGCCAATATACATTTTACCACGAGCAAAATTCAATTGCCGCTGCTATAGCATTTTGCGCCAAATGTCTCTATTTTATAATAACAGGAAAGATAATATGAAGAGACACCGGGTGTTCTGTTAACATACACACCGGTTTGGAAGAATTTATCAACTGGTTAAGTGTGGTCAATAGGTCAGCAATAAGCTTCAAACAATTCATAGTTTCAACACAATGTAGTATTTATATTTTGCTCACATGTGCCAAGTAAATGTGACACCATATCGTAAGAAAGATGGCAACCAATATTCCGAAGCATAACTATAAAAATTCATAACATTTTTTGGTACTCCCGTAGTATGTGAACCAAGATGGCGGACACCGGAACGTAGTATGTGTACCGTGTTAGGGTTAGGCCATAATTTCAGCTACAAATACTACGGGAATCACTTAGTCCCCAAACTCGTAATAGAACTAAAATAAGAAAAATTGGAATTTAATTATGACCTAACCCTAACCTGGTATACATACTATGTTCAGGTGTCCGCCATCTTGGTGCACATACTACGGGAGCGTCCATTATTTTCGCTTAATAGCTCAATTGTGTGACATATTAATAAAAATCATGAAGTTTTTAGGATGTTTGCACTCATTATATCATTACCTGCTTGGCATTCAAAGTATTACCTTATTGGCATTATCAGATTAAACAGGTTGTACATCAAAGAGGTACTCGAAAACACGTTAGTGTTTTAAATTACGTTACTTCATGAGACCACAGATCACACATCCGTACCTTACTGCAATCGTCATACGTGATCAAGTAACTTGAGTTCAAGAAATCATACTAGAAACCATGAATTATTCAGAACTCCAGACATGCTATGATGGGTAGTGGAGTCGTTTCGTAGAAAGTCAACAAGTTTGTTTATGATGACTAAATTTATGCCAGTACCCAGATATCTATTCTAAAGTAAAGCATTGAGGTTGACAAACTCGAGTTGAGACTGGGCCTCTCTCTCTCTCTCTCTCTCTTCAAGTTATAGTCAGAACAAATTTCGCGTCTTTGTGGGAATGAACTTGACTATTATTCCTAAGAAATTATTTCACCTGATGCGGCCCTGGAAGCAAACAATTTTGTGGTGGAAATCCACATTAACACATTGTTTTGGTGTTATAAATTTGGCTAGTTATGGGAATGTGTAAAAGGGTTTCATCAAATTTTATTTAGCTTATATTTCATTTGGAGATTTTTCTTTCACGAGTGGCTCTATATGAAACGTATTATAATTTTCGCTACATTAGCTATGCTGGCTTTGCAGTTTAATAATTTCATGGATCCAGCGCTAACGACGAAACCGCATTCTAGCCAGCCGTTTTATTAAGCATGCGAGTATGAAATTAAGACAGATCTCGATCGCTACCATTTCCTACGTTCAGGCGTTTAGACGCTAATATAATTAAAGCATTTCAAGTAGAGGCGAAAAACACCGAAACTTCTACAAGATTTCGACTTGTTGATTGGTTTCATACTCTAATAAGTAAATAAATTATCAGTTCAAATTGCATCTTATTCAGCTGAATTCTAGGCGAAAATGCGGGCACAGAAGAATAGGTCAATTCATTCATCGAATGTAACATCACGTCTATATCAGCAAATTTGATGATATTGAATAGTAACTGACACACTCCCAAAATAACATGAACATTCCGACGCTATTCATGCTCTATAAATTTTCAATCCTAAATTGCCGTAACTAGGTTTATGTATTTGCATAGCTCTTGTGAATAAGCTTCCTAATCCAAGCAAATTAAAATAGAATTTACTAGCTTAAAGTTTCTGATTCCCAGTATCGTGAGCATTAATTAAATCAACTCAAGTAAAATATTATGCCAATTAAGACGAGGCAGATCTGGAAAGATGATTTCGAATAAATCTATTGTTAATTCCTGATTATGCCTCAAGAGGAATTTTCACGCACATCACCATTGCTGTTACGAAGCAGCCATGTTCACAAGTATGAATCGCTTTCAATTTATTTGTCCATGTTATCTCGTTGAACGAGCTGCGGCGTCCCAAATGTGTGATTGTATACATTTGTGCAAAAGAGACTGTTTTCGTCTGTTCAAGTTTCATCGGCAAACACGTTGGTAGAATTAACCGCTGATTTTAATTATATTTCAGATAGAAGTTATTAATAATGTTTGTATTATGAGCCAAGTTAAGACCAACGGTTGGTCACTTATATGACTTTGTACCAGTAAAACCGATATCGGTTTTCAGCGATGTAAACAACATCAAACTACGACGTTATAAATTTCGTTCTGTGTTATAGTGTTCAGCTTTATGGCTTTCTTGTAGGACAAGCTATCATATATATATTTATAAGCATAAACAAACAGGGACTGGTTTATTAGCCGTCAACATGAATTCAAAATATCTTTTATCTGATCTTTAGTTGGTAAAAGTAAGGACTTGTAGTTGAACTTTTAGTGTTAAAGGAATCGGTTAATGCTGTGCATTGCACTAAATTATTTGACGTTAAATTTGATTTATAACTTCTTTTTACTACAATGCGTAATAAAAGGAAATTCGGATATTTTAGACAATTTTCGTCGTGCATGAAACATTGTACCGATACAATGAAACAAAAGAATATATATATATATTAATTAAAAAAAGATACAATGTTTCGACCGCAATTGACGAGGGGCTGCGAAAGAATATGAAGTCAGTCATCTTTGCTGAGTTCAGCAATAAATGACGTCGTAAAATATACTGATTGTTTTTCAACACAATGAATAACTTTTGGAAAATACAAATAGAATCGAAAGAGTCAGTCAGGACATAAATGATTAAATATGTCAGTTCAGTCACACAACCGTTCTAATCAGCCATCTCAATTTTCACGATTTATTAAAGAAGTGTACGATGACGGCAGACGAACGAAAATGCATTAGGGGTATTAGCGTTCAATATTTTCATTTCGTTAACCGCTTTCACCGCGATTGGTAGAGCGCTCATTTGTCGGGTGCCTCATCATACTGCATAGCATTGTGCAGCTGTTCGGTGCGCTGTGTTCTATTTATATATACTGATGATCTGGAGGCAACAGAAAGATAGATACCATGAATACGATGTAAGCAACTGATGAGAAAATTTCCTTGTTGGTCAGCTGAAGAAATACATTTTCATAACAATAACGATTCGAAATAATAACAGCGAAGTATAAAAATTAACACCATGTTTGGGGTTTAGGTGCTTAGGCGAAAGAGATGTCAAAGCGAGAGAGTCAGTCATGTAGAACGAAATCTATAATTTATCAGGACATCTAGCGTGGTCAGTGTCTCGCTTTGTAGGCTTTTTCAATATGGAGGTAACAATTGAAATCGTTGCTTATTCAGTTATATTTACAGTCCATTATTTTGTCTTCATGTAAGCAGAAATTGCCATCTACATAGCATGATCTTTAGAAGATGTGTGTAATTCACCACCAAGTCCTTCAGTGTGCATTTCTTGCTCTGCTGTGCATCTCCAATTTCCAAATATCACACGTCCATTATACGTGTGCATATTTAGTAAGGCAATACCTTGCAAAACCCGAGTCATTACTTGCTTCAATAGCGTCTTGCCAGTTCCCTTTTTAACTTACGACCCGTTCTTCCCCCTTCATTTGTCTCGCCCTTTGTTTTTCAGTTCATATCAATTTTGATTGTACCTGCTCGTCCTATACTTTGTCTTCGACTTTATCTCAGCTGCTCACGTTTTTATTTTCAGAATTCGTACACCAAAACATTGCGTAAATCATGACACAATTTTTAATACTTTTCATTTAGACTGGAGACATTTTAAATCGCGTAGCGAAAAGAGGCTACTACAGAAAACTCTGCCCTTGATTGGCTGTGTATGACTTGTGTAGCTCGCATAGCTTCACTGATATAAAATCTGCTGTCTATATAAGACCTGTGAAGGAGGTCGTGGAATTGGCGATTGAATTACTAAATAATGCCGGTTCAAGCATTCCGTGGAGATGTTTACAATTATGCAAAAGTAATAATCATAATGTAAGGCCTTGTTGTGAGCACGGAATGTAAATTAGCCGTAATTTTGATCCATTGATTCGAGTACATTCCAATTGCGCCTTCTACGTAATTGAAATGGGATTAAAACGTAATCGTACTGAAACTTGTGACCGATAGACCAGTATTCTAGCAATTAGTTGAAGTTTTGGCTAACAACATTCAAATAAAAACATTGCCCACTATACGAAAATCTATATAGCACTTTACGTGGAATTTTATTTTACCATTATGTTTGTCTAGGTGATGTTACCAAGTGTCTTATTATGTACCATTTTCAATTCGCAATATTTCCATGGAACGCGCTATATGCTTCAAATATAGCTATCTACAGCCATATGGTATGACTTCGAATGACATGCAATTTTTAGTAAATTTTAGTAAACGTTTTTGTCGACTAGCGTGGCCTGCCCCGCCCGCAGCTTTTTTCAATTTTTGGTTTATCGCAATCTCTACGATGCCGCAGGTATAGTAAGTTTGTAACAGATATTTAGCTTAACTGAACTGTGTTATAGTATGACAGCCTCTTGCGCGCATACCTACCTACTTATTGAAGCACTTAGTCTCGTTTGTTATGAGAATATGCGGTAAAGCTTTATATGCCATCGTTATTATAGTTTGTGGTCGGTTATTTGTTAACAATTCTATGATTGTTTGTGGCTTTGAATATAATAGATTAGGCTCGTTGAAGAGGTACGTCATTGTCGTAAAAACTTTTGTTAGGAATAATGTCGTGTCCAGTAGAGGCCTTGGGTAACAATCTAGTCCCTTTGTTATACAATCAAACAGGCAAATATGTTACAGATTCAAAAATGGTATACCAGTGATAGATTATAGAAAAATCGGAACTGTATTATTCGAGTTTTTCAATGATTATAGAAACTATTCTACGAGCTCATTTATTATAAATGCATAAGCATATACGGTATATGTTTTGTCTTTTATATGTTAAATTTTTTAGACAATGGCCGACCAGAAGCATTCGTTTCGTGAATCATTAGACATACTGTGAATTGTTTAGTGGGCGTGGCAATATTCTGTACTGTCATGTTCGTAATACGATAACTAAACTTTATTCTCAAATGTTACAGGATTTAGGATAAGGTGTAGTAGCAAAATTATCAGGCTGTAAAACGAAGGTACGTGTCTGTACAGGATTAAGGCAAACAAGTTTTAAAAGTAATAGAAGAAAAGGTCGACTTGTAAGCCCTGCTTTCACTCTCTCAAGACCGGGATATTTTGTGAAATTTTATCCGTGGAACATCCTTCGGAGATATTATCCAACGAATTGTTTCGGCACCCGACTTGGGTACTCACGCGTAGTGAACTATTTATCGCTTGACTGAATTCTGCACAGAACATCATCCTTATTCTATACAGGTAAGTGAAATTGTTTGAATGTTGTTCGACCTTCTTATCGCAGCAGTCTACGGAGAGCTATGTTAGTTTTTTCTAGGTATCTCGTATCATACCTCGGAGCGATTTTTGCCGTGAGAAACGTAGTATTTGATATCGACGTTATCGAAAATTAAATACCAAACATTTATAATTCCTCAGATAGCAGCGCGCAGATATTACAACCCACCAAACGCGGTATTAACTAAACATTGGTATAGACAAATTCCATGGTATCGCAATGTCGGTATTTACATTGTATAGTATTCCTATGTACACAAAATATCATCAATGTATGTTTTCACTACATTGAAAAGACGAATCACGCGAATGAGGCTATTTTACAGCTACACAGAATATAAATGAAAGTCTTGTGATCATCATTCGACTAAACCAAGTCGTGTATTCCAAAGTATATATCACAAATAGGCATGACTTCGGCGTTTCACAAAAGCAGCCATGGCCTTACATTTTGAACGCTGAATACGTAACACTCAACTCCCAAAGGGAATGGACTTCGAGGATATGAATTCCTAATCTGCTTAAAGGTCACAGCTCGGTAGTCAGATGGATCAGTAAATTTCAGTCATTAAAATTTATTTGTATATACAAATAGCAGTATGAAGGCTGTATCAATAATAATAATATTAAATGCTAGATGCGCATAGGCAATCTTTACATTCAGTCCTCGTTTTTCTGACTTTCGTTGGTGGATAACCGACATTTTTTCGTTCAGGAACTCCACTTTTCTTTCCGTCTCTCTTTGCTTTCTTTTTCTGAAATTCTGCTTTCGCCCTTTTCCTGTTCTTCTTCGCCATGCCAAGCAAGGATGACACAAAACAGCAAGTGAGAACACCATTTTTTTTTTCTTTTTCTGAAGTTGTGATACGATTAAGCAAAAAAAGTTATGCCATCACTGGCGGCAGTAAATTACATTCGAAGATCTTTTGTTGAGATAATATATATTACCAATATTTTCCTTCAATGGTGGTATCTTTGTTCTGATGTTATTAAACATTTGTAAATGTTAAAATCATTTATTATCTTTTTTTCGGTTGTTAAATTTGAATGCGAGGGGAGCCAAGTTATTTAATCCTGTCTTGTATACATAAAAATAGTCAATGTGTGACACTTGTTGCTTCATGTTATTTATCTTTGGCTAATCCGTTGTAATCTGTTGTGAATTGGTAGACCATTATATTAGTTTACGTTCAAAACCACCATTCTTCACTCAAAGGTGCGTGGCGATGGTGTCAAATCACCAGGTTCCAGCACTGGAAAAAGAAAGAAAAAGGTCTTGGTGAAGAAAAAGAAGAGTCCTAGTAAAACTCATATCTCCGATACTAGCGATCCGATTAGGACTAAAGTGTCTAAGACTGAGCCGGTCCGGACGGTTGTTTCTCACCCGGGTGGTGGGGAATATTACGTTGAAGAAAGCGACGACTCGCAAGCAGCAGCTGGACCAAGCTATGGATCACAGAAAGATTCTAGTGGACAGTATTTTGTGACTCAGCAACCATCGAGTGACGAAGGAGAATCATATTATTATCCTTCTGAACCACAATCGTATCAATTTGGTGGTGATCAGAGAGGGGGATACGAATATGGCGGTGGAGGTGGTGGAGGAGTTGAAATTGTGTCTGTTGCTGATGATGAGGAATCTATTTACACCGACGCTACGGAGGTTCTTTTCCTTATGCATTGTACATATCTTCATTTGTACACTCCACAACAATTTATAAGTTTACCTCATATTATTCGATCAAACATTCGTCACAATACAGAAACAGTCGCTTCAAGCATGACTTGTGGCTCACTCTTTTTGTTTTACATTTACATTATTAATACTTAAAGTATGAATTGCTTTCAGCATTATTGCTTTTGGTCATACTGTATATTGATTTTAGCAAAATTCATATTGGAATCAGACTTCAAGCATATATTTAAGAAATGTCACCATGAATGACTCTTTTCTGGAAAATACGTGCCTTGTGAATCTTGCTTTGTAAGGATTTTTAGTGTCAACGGCTCACATCCTTTATTCTCCAATTACATCATTTTCCATTCACATTTTAGGTTCATAGAGTTAGCATTCATCATTTTGAACAGCATGTCTCTTCTTCTGTCCGGAGATTTGAAATTTCCATAATGCTTTTCTTGTTGCATTGCAAATTTGAGGTCGTATTTTATATCCTATTTACTTAGATTCAATAGTCTACTACCATTGTGTTTTCTGATGCGCCATCTTGTGCTGTTGTTTTCTCATGCCATATTCCCCTTCAGAGACATTTTACATTTTGAATTCTTAAACTGAATAACTCATTTCTTGAAAATGTTAGTCGCCCAATAATAATTCTTGGATATCTACACATGGACGACTACACGACTAGATTGTAGAATATAATTTCAATTTTAGACATTCAAACTTCTTAATATGACAAAGTAAGCAGTATTGATACCATCGAGCGTAAATAGATTTTAATTATTTATCAGTCATGCACAGAAACTAGGTGCAGTGGGTTTTTTGGCCTGTACAAGTAACCAATCACAGAATACAAACATAATCAGTTAGTAAGTGCTATAAACAAATGGAATTGTATTCTGTAAGAAACACGATTAAATTACCACGCGACACTAGTGACTTTGGTGCAATCTGTATTCATGAAATATCAGTCAAGGACGGAACCCGGTCGCAATAACGCATGTTATAGCCAGGCGCTTATCACTATATCACCTACCGTGAGAACTCATATATATAAAAGCTTTTATTGATATGAAATATTGATTACTATTGATAAAAATATTTGCGATCCACGGTATGCACGATCAGAGTAAAGCTTGAGCAAACAAAAGTATTCATACAACCCAACTCAGCTATCACCTTTGTAGAACTTCGTTTTTTAGACGAAGACTCCAAGTATTTTTTTGGAAAAATCGGAATCGAATCACGCTTCGTTATAGTATTTTTTGTCTGATTCATAGCTCGTGCTGAAAAGGTGAGCTCACTTACAATTTTGAGTTTCACGGCACACACCATGCAATCATAATCTTGGGATTTCTTTCGTTGATTGACGAATTCACTTCATTTTAACAACAACATCATGGAAAGCAGTCCAAAGATCTAAATCTCACTCCTTCACTGCACATATCAATAATAAGCCTAAATCATACCCAGGGTCATTAAAACACAAAAATTATTGAAGATTCATATGTACAAATCCTTTCCAGTATAAGAAAAGATAAATTGGTAATTTAAACACATAAGAAACTTGTTTCCCCTTTTCCGATTTCAAGTTTTCCACCCTTATGCATGTATGAAATATTTCTATTTTTTTTCTATTGTAGGATTTTGAATCAGATACGAGCGCAATGGCTGACAAAAGCAAATGGGCTGGAAAGAATCTTTCATACATGACACCACAGATGATGCATGCAATGAAGATGTCACAGACGCAGAGCCAGGTAATGACACTATATGGATTAAATTGGACAATCGGAATCGGCTGTTTTCACCTATTTGTTGTTACACGCTCGAAAGAAAGACACGTGATTGATTATTCTTTTAGTAAGAAAGGTTAATACCAATGATTTGCCTTAAAAGATATTCGGCCATGTTGTTGCGGACGAGTTTTAATATGAACGCAGGTATTATTGACTAATTCAGACTTAATTGACAGCAACTTCTGTGTGGCCTCTTCAGTAATACGTCGATATAAATAAAACTTCTTTCATCGTATTATGAACTGTGAAGTTTGCGTGAAGCCAGGTTTGCCCAAGAGCGTTTTTCTATCATTTAATATTAAAAGAGTGTTATTTTCAAATATGTTGACGCGAAGGACCAACGACTGACCAAAATGCCAGTATCGTATAGCTTTAGTATATGTCCATTTAAACGGCCCTATTAATAAATCCTGGAAATATCAGATTTAATTTTCTATTTCAAAACCAAACCGTCTATCATGTTATTATGCCGTGCCGGTATCCTACCAACAACCGTATTCCAATCGATTTTGAGTTCAGTTACACAAGTTAGTGGTTCGAATTAAACTTTCTATGGTATAGCTAAAATGATACATGTCAAAAAAAAAATTTCATTTACCAAAAAATTAACAAGTAAGCAACTTCGGTCCCTTTTTGATCAAGGTGAGTTAGGGCGATTTCTCGGGTAACACGACGAGGCAATTGAACAGAAGATGGCTAAGAGCGCCACACCTGGAGGAATAAAAACGTGTTTCCGTGAATTCAAATGAAACTGCGATATTTTGATTGACGTAGGTCTATAGATACTGAAAATTGAAATCGATTGCTCCATTAGTTACGGAGAGAAGCAATTTTTCCGCACCAAAAAGTTATCCTAAAAACAACGCTTGAGCAAGCACTTTGCATATAGAATAGTCTAAGGGTATATAGATCAATGTTTTAGTGCACTTGTTTTCTCCAATTTCAACATTCCAGCTTTTGACGCAAAAAAAAAACGACACAGTCGTACAAGCTATAGAAATCTGACACAAAGTCGATTATCGCATATTTATTTAAGTGTAATGTAGTTGAAAATTCAATATCTATGAACTCCAGTACTAATCGTAAAATTTAGACTTCTTACTCCGCTATATTGTCACCATACGCCGGTAATTAAAATAGTATGCAATTCAAGAGTCCTGCTGCACACTAACACAAATATATTTCTGTAACGTTTCGTCTGACCAAAATCAGACTTCCTCAGACAAGCAGTTTACAACAATGACAAGAAAAGAGCAATCAAGCAGTTTAAATATGGCGATAAATAAATTTGTTTGAAATTAATTGTGAGAACCGATCGCATTTTTTATTTCGCAATCTGTTTCTGAATATCAATAATTGTTTTTTCATTGTTTGGTCACAATTAATTTCAAACAAAATTATTTATCGCCATATTTAAACTGCATGATTGCTCTTTTCTTGTCATTGTTGTAAACTGCTTGTCTGAGGAAGTCTGATTTTGGTCAGACGAAACGTTACAGAAATATATTTGTGTTAGTGTGCAGCAGGACTCTTGAATTGCATATTATTGTATTTTATTACTGCTACAGCATCCTTGCATTACATGCATACGGATCCACTAGCGCAAAGGCATAGAGAAAGGATTGGGAGTTAGTCTCGTGCAACCTCTACTGATCGTTAAATTAAAATAGTATTTGTTTTTCACGGCTTATTTGTGGCAAATATTATTTTTACTTACGTGTTTTCATAAAAAATGAAATAAAAAAAATTGACGAAATTCAATCCGTTGCAAATTAGAAAAAGAATGTTTATACACTTATCTCTCCTTTATTAGAGGAAAAGCTGTTGTAAAATTATTCATTGTGAAATAGTTCATTATGAGTAGCAAGTAATATGTGGTAACGCATGATAGTAAAACGGCACAATCGCATTAACCAACCATCGAAGTAACCGTTTTGTGAAAGAAAAAACTTCTGTGAATTAGTAAATATTGCTTGATGCAAAACTTACTCTGATAAAATACACCAAATGGAATTTTATGTAGAATACGTACAAAAAACAATGGAACACAGAAATCAAAGGAAAGGGAAGAGCTGGAGTCGAGACGATTGAATCAGAACGCGCGAAAAAAATGACGGCGGAGCAAAGTTTGGTGGGTTTGCCTTCGATTAACATTTGACACACATATGGAAAATACAAATTTGACAACAGACATACAAAAATTTTCTTTATGTATTTCAGCCATCAAATAAAACTTAGTCAATCCAAATTTATTATTTCACTTAATCACATTTATTTGCGTGATATGGCATTGATGACTAAAAAAGAAATCTTTCGATTAGTTGTTTTGAAAAATTCATTTTTGAAATTTCTCAAAATATTTAGACATTCGGTTGATTTTTAAATGACATAATTTAAAATTATTAGCTGAAATATCACAAAGATTTCGAACAATCAAAATCGAAAGGATACACAGCGACAACGGAAACACCGGAATTGGAGAGAATTCGTCGTTTGCAAACCTCTAGAGACGTAAGAAGTCAAATTGTCGTGTTATCGTTTATAACTGACCACTTCTTCAAACCTTCTTTATTCTGTTATTTCTTGACTCTCATCTTCGCTGATTATGATCATCGGTATAGCCGGGATGCAACATCAATGGAATCTTAATTTAGGACAATTGAAAGCTTTATAGTAGTGACACACACAAGCAGACATACAAACATACGCAAAAATAAGGAACCTAGACGATTTCTAAAAACGACAATGCGTTGCGGCGTTAAAAATTATGGATACAACCGCACATGAACGATAGTTATTGTAATAAATTTATTTACTTTACATCTACTCGTTATCCCGCTACTGATCGGTGGATATCTATCGTAACTATACGCATTACGATAATATGTTGATCTATACATAGGCATACACACTCAATCATTGAGATTTATCTATACCACGCTTTACCAACAATGCATTATCGGATCAAATAGCGTGTGCTTTCACATCTTGACTCAGTTTTTAAAATACCATTGCTTATCATATCAATGTAATTTCATATTGAAAGCAAACGGGTGTTGCTGAAGTCTAGCTAAAAGTCGCTGATGACAACGATATGCAGAAATAGGCAAATTTAGTCAGCTAATTCAATATGCAAATTTTTCAAACTATGTTTTATTAATTAACGCCGATGCAGAGTGGGGGAAATTAAATGTAACTTTGGCTACTGGTCAATATCAGCTTCCTTCTTCATTATCTTCTATCTTGTTTTCTAATTTCGACCTTTTTCTTCTTCTCTCCTCTTTTCCTGACCTTTTTCAATGTAAACAAATGTCTGCTGAATTGACGAACGACGGGGATGTCACCACCACCATCAGCTGGAATATACGAAAGATATGAGAAGAATCCAGGATCAGTATAATTTAGATGGATGCCTCAGCACATTACCGGAGATCGATCTTGCAAAAAAACTATCGAAGCTGTCTAGTAAAGTAAGACGTTGTGCTTTTTATTAACTACCTCCTGTTTGTATAATTTGTTTCATCTTTTATCCATCCCGTCTTGCCACGTAATATGGTACTTCAGTCCTACCTCTTAAACGAGCCAAGTATAACCAGCCGCAAAGATGCATTGTGATACATTGTATATATGATCGAAATCTCTTTAGTCAGTTTCATGCAGCCTTTATTGAACAATGGACTGACTTTCATGGGCTCGAATTCTAGATCTATAACTTATAATACCAAGAATTTTGTAAATATTGAATAATAAATAAATGAAAATTAATTAAACACACTGCTTTATTTTGTGTATACAGTTTTGTGATTCGCATTCAATATCAATTCTCATAGCCATGCTTGTGAGGCAAAAACCTCACAGGGGTGGAAAAACAAAAATAACGCTTATATATCAATCATAAAATAGGTGTAGGGAAGTTCTATTTTTAAAACGAAGCGGATCTGAATTTCCGATCCTGACTGTGCCGATTATTCATTTGCAGAAAGAATACAAAAGCGAGTACGAAAAGAACAAGCATGATTCAGCCTTCAGCAAAGGATATACAGATGTTTTGGAATATAAAGTCGCCAGAGATGCCAACCTTATGATGAGTAACGTAAGTGAGTTAGAAGCGACCGATTATGTATGAAACGAGCATTCAAACTCGTTTTGAACAAGCTGGATAAAGAACTCGGTAGTTAATTCCAAGTATATCCATTACTAAAATTATTTTATTTTTTTATAGAAAAAATATAAAGAAGATTGGGAAAGTGATAAAAACACGATTTTCTATCCGGTTACTCTGACTCCAATATACGAAACTGCAACGCAAGCTCAAAAAGCTGTCAGTGAAGTAAGTTGTCTAATTGAATAAGGTCTCACCTAATATTTAGATTATCGTATTTTTAAGAATTTAACGAAGCAATCAGTACTGCATAATTGAAATACACTACCAGTAGCATTTCTGAAGGCAGTATTAATTACACAAATTCAATTTCAATATTATTAAAAAAACAAATCGAGATTCAATTACCACGTTTTGAGGGGCATTCCGCAATTTCGATTTGAACATTGAGTATTCAGACGAAGATATCTAGTCTAGTTATTGCTTCCAGGATTATTCCTAGGAATGCATGCACCATGGGTAAGAAGCAAACGTCAGTACAAACAAACGTCATGCAATGAAAGCATATTAATGTAATAATATATATACATGGTGCATTTCGATTCATTGCCCTGATAAATTTTTAAGACTTTCGAGTTTTGAAATTGCCGTGCTCTACTTGACTGGGTGCATAGATATGGACTGAATTGATCGTAGTTATGTTATCTAAACTTTAATTTTAACTTTTGTGATATATCAATTCAGAATCTTTATCGGCGTGATAGCAAGAATGAAGGATCAAAATCACATTACGATCCAGTCAAAACGTCTGCTTATCAAACAGCCAAAAATCAACACGACTACGTCAGTGATGTAAGTGATGTAGAAGTTGTGACGTCGTTACAAGTTGCATTATACAATTTTTAATATCAAGGAAAACACGATAAAAATGTATTTATATTTTAGATTATGTACAGAGCGGAATATCAAAAGAACAAGGGGAAGGGATACACACCCTTGGCAATGACAGCGGATATGGCAATCGCAAACTCTCTGAGGAATATAATGTCCTACGTTAGTATACGATCAGCTTACATTACTTGTTGTAAAATTTAAATCCGCAGAAATAGATGACAACTCTTTCTTAGTCAGCGGTACCTGTAATTGGGAAACTCTTGGTTGACTAAACGAATATATAATTGCATTAGAGAAATAACCAAAATCGCACGCTACGGCCACTCCCAAAATGTTAATACCTCAAATGTTTGCACAAAACTGGAAGCAACGAACTTCCAGTAGCGCAATTAATTCATAAATGATAACACAATGCCGTTTTAATATTATTTCAACTTTTTGGTATATTATATATCTGTTATAAATTATCCCTTGCGTTTCGAAATGGATGTCAGTAGTTACCTTTGGAGTGAATACGTCAGTTCTCAGTTGTAGGTAGGTGTCGTCGCGTTGATTTGAAACAATGATACATTTTGTACCAAGTTTTTTCTATAATTGTGACTCCGTGAAACAAATCTTACATTTGGTTGAAATTTTGAATAAAGTTATTAATGGTAATCTGCACAGATTTAAAGGTTTCATTATATTAAAATTTTCCAATTTACTTCCGATTCATGAATACGCGACATGTTTATACATCTTCGATTACGAACAGGGCTCTGTACTAACAGCCACTGAGGGATATTAAAGTTTACTCAACCCACCGGTTTCTTCATAATATCTAGTTATATAACACTAACAATAATTATTACTTCAGAAAGCCTACACAGCATATGCTAGAAAATTGTGGGAACATTATCACCTCGTTGTGCCGATACCACAGATTGCAGTCGCCGTCGAGGTAACATACATTCGTGTTTTGTATAGTGTTAATTAGATTTTTACTCTCTATATTATAGTAAGTGTTATAACAGATCTCCATTTTTTCTAACACGCTTACGTCGTTTTTTACGTCGTATCAACAATCCATCAAGTACGGGGCGGTGATGTCAGACACCGTTATCGAATTTTTTCCTAACGCCCTTGCGTGATCACACATGATGTTTTGACAGTACACGTTTTCTATTAATTTTTTTCTTTCGTTTTCTTTGTAGACGGCGAAGATGACGTCTGACAAATTTTACATGGCGCACTTCAAGAAAGAGGTTTATGGAAAATCAGGACCAGCTGACATTCGAAATTACCCAGAGCTTCTTATGGCCCGTAGAGTAGCGGGATTGGTTAGTCAGGTCAGGTCAAGACATTTTACATATATACCTTCACATAGTTAGGATAGCTCATTTATTTAAAAAAAAGCATAGCGACGAGTTCAAATTTCTCTGACCAATCGATCTATCATAGATGATAAAAAAAGATAAGATAGCTCGTTATCAATCCTATTGTCTAGTATTTGGCTGCAGATTTATATATCAAATATATGTTTGAGAAGGAAAAGTCAATATTTTATCCACTGGTAGAATGAAGTTTCCACAAATTGAATGATACCTGATAAAAAATTGGGCACCATCATAACATAGATGGAACATCATAGTGTGTTGGTTCAATCTCTCATGTAATATATCAAACAAATTTTCTTACAGAGCAACGCATTTTCATATATCACAAATTTGAGAATTAGGTAGCTTTTTATAATCAAAAAACAGTAATACTACATTTGGTCAGAGATAGGTTTGATTTAGACGCATAGCATCATTCTATAATGTCTGAACAGAACGCTTACAAGAAAGATCACCATGTGGCCAAGCTTCCGTACACCATGTCCGTCGATGCTCCGGAATTTATCAGGGCAAAGAAGGCTGCTGAAGGGAGTGATGTATGTATATTAATTTGTTATTTATATATTTATAATATGCACATCTGTTTATGCAAAATCAATTGGGAGGTAAAATGCATGTAATTCTAACTGTCATAACACAGTTATTGGTTATTTTTTTTGGTTCCTTTATTTTATGACAAGATTTGACTGTGATAAAACCGTTAATATATTTTAGGTTTTATGAACGATGCAATTTCAGAAAATGGCCAATAATTTGATTCCTTATTGTTCAAATCATTTTAGGAGCCGATCCAAGTATTCAAGCATGACCACACATGCTTTTTACATTTGATACTTAATAATATTTTAGTCGTCATCGAATAAACCGTTTTTCCGAAACGTTTAGATAAGTGTTAGACAATCACAACTTATATTTACGAGGAGTTGTGGGGAGGTTGGAAATGATAGTTCTTATAGTTCATTACCTCCCATGACTATGCAACGCAATTGACATTCATAAGTTAAATAGTGTATAGATTTTAAACACTGCTTAACCTTCAGACACAAAGTGAATCTTCATCTACAATACTTCAAAATTTTGAGTTTGATTTCTGTATGATTAGAATTGTCCATCATACCGTTTAGATTATGACTTACACTTGACATTTGAAATCATGTGTGATAAGATTTTTTTCTTTTAGATTCTGTACAAAAAACAGAAGGGTCAAGCCATCGAACAATTTCGGGGATTTCAAACCATGGATCCACAGGCTCATCCAGTCGTCAAGCACAAGCAAAGAGTGGATGAGATGAATGATGTATGTTTTACCCTAAATTGCAAAATCTATATAGAACTATTCATGATGAATAAATTTATCACTTAATTCCTATGTTGGCCACACATCCATGACTCAAATAAATAACAGCATGATGAGAATTATGGCACACATATAAACCCACTTGTATTCACTCGTTGTATATTTAGAAAAACCAAATTGGTTACTGAATTCCCAACGAAGGTTTTACATAATTTATAAAACGGAAAAGATTCTTGGTTCGATTGTAGTGAAACGAACATTAATATTTTAATTGTGTTCCCTGTTTTATTCATCAGAATTTGAATTACTATTTCTAATTTTTTGTATGTTTTCAGCAAAAATATAAAGAAGATTGGGAATATGACAAGAGTTGTATCTATTATCCAGTTCATATAACTCCAGGATATGAAGCATTTCACAAAGCGGATGAAGCAAGGAGTGATGTGAGTGTTTGAAATATGAAAAAGTGTAATTGGTGCAAGTGTTGTGACTGGTGTTATCTTAAAGTGTCTAAACATATGACCTGTTGTTCAGGGGCTACATTCGAATTGAAACGAAATACAATTATGAAGTTATGATCATAACCTAATCTATATTAGAATGTGGTTAACCTAATTCTGTTTTTCAGGTTGCTTACAAAGGAGACTTTGAGAAAAACAAGGCTAAAAATAGATATGATGTAACTTCTACACCAATCTACAAAACTTTACAAGAGATATCTGATGCCACGTCTGATGTATGTTTCAAATTAATTTATTTATATGGGTTGTAAATGAATCTTTCATTTTTCTTACAATTTGACTTTAAATTTCATGTTTTAATACAAATTTACTAATTAATTCAGGTTAAATATAAAGAAGAATATGAAAAGAACAAAGCAAACTTGACACAGATTGAAGAAACTCCAGAAATGAAACTTTACAAAGATCTTCAACCATATCAGAGCAAAACTAAATACAGTGCTGAATCAAAAAATATGTTGAAGAATGTGAACATTGGGCCGGGTAACTTTGTAATAACACAATTTTTTTCCGCGTCTATTTCTTCAGTTATGTGGAATTTACTACCACCTATTAACCATTACCATTAATCATTATTCACTTGCACATGTTGCATCGCTATACTTCTTATAGTTACAATACCTCCTGGGATATCAGTAGTTGCATGTAACTTTACTTTAGAATGAATTTATTTTTGAGTTAGGTTCTCCTGTTTACATTGATGGAGTTTATGACACTTGGGATTGAGAAAATTCTTATAAACAACATAGAATGGCAAAAATCATTTCTGTCGCAAATGATTTTAGTTTGAGAAAAATATTTTCTACATTGCATTTGATTTATATATGTAATTCATATTTTTAGTCTATATATTCAATTATTTTATATGGTCATTTTTTTTAGAAATGCAAGAAGTGGCACATGCTGTTTCTTCTCAAAAGATGGCTTCTGATGACACTTATAGACAAGATTACAATGATAACGTAATGGGAAAACCACCAAATGATCCATCAATGGCTTATCCACAATATAAGCACATGAAGGAAGTTACAGAAAAAACTAACCCAGTATGTGACTTTATGCTCTATGCATGGGATAGGATTTTCCTATTTATTGTGGGGAAGAGGAAAGCGTTAAGATGGCTTAATCATATGGCAAACCACAACCCCTTGTCCGATTATGAGTCCATCTCGGGTATGGGAATAGTTAGTCAACCAGATTGTCTTAACTTCTTGACTCAATGGTGTAGGAGGTGATAAACGGCCAGTGGTCTTGTGAACCACCATATGTCTATGAGGGTACAGTGATGCTTTGACACATAATTATTCTCTACATTATTTGTATGTGTGAACCCCCTCGCAGGGTAATCAGTACAAACTCACTATAAAAAGATATACATGGCATTAATTCCAATATATGATTTTAAAAACTTTGATATTTTCATATTTTAATTCGATTTTAAATTTGCTTGTAGGTGAATTACAAAAGAGAAGCAGAAAACATTAAGCAACATACTCAGATTCCTCCAGACCATCCTGATTTTATTCGGGCTAAGCAGACAGCAAAAAATCGTAGTGACGTAAGTGTTCTTTTTATATTATTTTAAAAAACTATCACAAATTTTTATGTAAATTTTGATTTGAAGACAAACAACTTATTTGCTGTTTACTTCAGATTGAATATCAAAAACAAAAGAAAGAAATGATAGAATCACATCGAGGATACCAAACCATGGATGCCCAAGATCATCCAGTTGTTCAACAAAGTAACAAAACTGCAGAACTCATGTCAGAAGTGGGTATCTTTTTCTCAGTTATCTGTTTAAAATAAATGTTCGTTTTTAACAGTAATTTTTATTCTTATAGAAAGCATACAAAGAGGAATGGGAATATGACAAGAGCTGTGTGTATTATCCAGTGCATATTACACCCGGATATGAAGCTCAGGCTGTAGTTGGTAAAGTCCAGAGTGATGTAAGTTGGGTGTGCGTGCTATTTCTTTTTTCATGATTTAAACCTCATCTATTATTACCTTTTTTTTTATTTTGATCAGACAAAGTACAAACAAGACTTTGAAAAAGAGAAAGAAAAAAATGTTTTCGATGTCACCAAAACTAAGGGATATCAAGAGTCAGCTGAAGTTGTCAATGTTACTTCCCAAGTGAGTAGTGTAAAATTGTATCTTCTATTTGGTTTATAGATTTTAGTAGATGCAATCGAATATTTTTCATCATAAATACAGATCTTTGTCATGTTTATTATACCTTCACTTGGTCTCGATTCAGTGGGTTTCTGTACCATTGACAACATGGGCTAAGTAGCGTATATTTCTAGGTGTCTGCTTATTGGCAGTTATAATAACATGCACATTTGCCATTTTCCTCTTAAACCCCCAAAAAAAGTAAATTTCCGGTTAATATCTGTTTATTTGACTCATATTTTTTGTCTAAAGCCTGGCCTCAAATGTGGATAGAAGCAAACAGCATGGTTTCCTAATATGCGTTTTCCTTATGACTTTAGACAAAGTATCAGGAGGCTTACCAGAAGAATAAGCACATGTTGACTCAAATGGAAGAAACTCCAGAAATGAAAATTTCGAAAGATCTTCATCACATTCAAAGCAAAAAACTTTATGCTGCGCAGTCAAAACAAATGCAACAGAAAGTGAATGTGGGATCAGGTAATTTTATCAGCTTCAACTGACTTTTATTATTTCATTATAATTTGTTTCTAATGTTCTATGCTAACATTAATGCTTCTAAGTATTTTAAGAACTCAATTTTTTTGATTTTAAAACTTTCATATGATTTATTACAGACCTGCAAGAAATTTCTAATGCTGTCTCAAAGCAAAAACTTACATCCAATGATACATACAGAACAGATTACAAGAAGAATGTGATAGGTAAAGCACCACATGATGTTGCAAATGCTTATCCAGAATATGATCATCTGAAGAATGTGAGCAAACAGATCAGCCAGGTAACAATAAATATTTTTATCTTCATTATACTTTTTTTTGTTACACATTTTCTTCATAATTGTTGCTTGATAGGATTTTTAAAATTTCATAAATATTCACAGAGGGAATATGTGCAAGATGCAGAAAAGATCAAACATCATCATAATCTTCCTGTTGATTATCCAGAGTTCGTAAGAGCAAAAGAAAATGCAATAAATGCTAGTGATGTAAGTGTATTACTTTGTTCTTATTGCCAAACTACATTCATCCAACATGAAATACTTTACATTTGAAATGCAGATTCAATATCAGAAACAGAAAAAAGAAACAACTGCTGCTTATCGCGGTTTTCAGACTATGGACAGCAGTGAACATCCAATTGTTCAGCAAGGACTGAAAGCTGCAGCCCTAATGTCAGATGTAAGTTGATATTGGGACATTGCATTTTGTTTTGATAGATAAAGATTACCTTGTAATTCAAATAATGTTCAAAACTAGCTATTTGCAGTGAATTTTCATATAGTCAAGCACCTGAAAATTCCTAAATATATTTGATTGTTACAGAAAGCCTACAGAGAAGATTGGGAATATGATAAAAGTATTGTGTACTATCCAGTTCACATTACACCAGGATATGAATCTCAAGCTGAAGTTGCAAAGATCCAGAGTGATGTATGTGCATTATTTGTTATTTGTATTTGATAAAAATTCTTTCAATCAAAACGTACAAGGCTCAATTTGTACTTTTTTATGTGGTTCTAGAAAAAGTACAAAGACAACTTTGAGAAAGAAAAGGACAAGAATAAATTCAACATCACTGATACAGAGCATTACAAGACAATGAAGGAAGTTGATGAAGCATCATCAGATGTAAGTGTTTTCAATATCTAGTATTGATCTCATTAACTAATATCAACAACTTCTGCCTGGTACTCATTTTTAAAATGTGTAAGAACAATTACGGACAAAAGAAATTTTGTTCAGTTTAGTGTCGTTTTTTCAAAAACTTCATCCGAGTTGCTTCATTTGTAGCGTTTTTAAGCTGCAAATCAAATATCTAAAAATTCACTGACGATAATTTTAATTTGCGGGAAAGTAATTGATCTCTTTACTTGTCTATGACTTGAACATTACTGTATTTATTTTATTTATCTCATCAGGTTAATTATAAGAAAGGGTATGAAGCAAATAAAAACAAAGTTACATCCCTTGAAGAAACTCCTGAGATGAAACTTGCCAAAGATCTGCATCCTGTTCAAAGCAAGAAACTGTACTCTGATGAATCAAAGAAAATGCACAAAAATGTTAATGTTGGGTCAGGTGTGTGTCCTATCCAATTGATTCAAATATATGATAATGTTTGTCTTCATTAGGAAGCTGTTTTGTTTATGTATGCTGCTTTTTCTCTTCACATCAATGCAACCCAAATATAAAAATTAATTTAAATCCCCAAACATTGAGTCCCAAGTCAAATTAACTCATGGATTATCTGAGTCTTGATGCAAGTTCGAATCTGAAGTTGAGTAGATTCACTGAGCTAAGTCACACAGATGATTAGTTGATTGAAAGTCATTTAATTTAGATGACTCATGTCACTTCGAGTCTTTGAATGGTTACTCGAGTTCTAGTTGAGTAAATAACTTGAGTCTGCCCAAAACTGCTGCTGACCAGTGCCCAAAATTTTGGTATATTAAATTGTTTGATGTAATTCTAGGGGGAAAATCTTAAGATGATTTACGAGATTTAGTGTTTATTATATCTTTATGAACATTCATTTAGATGTCCAAGAAATTGCTCATGCTATGTCAACCCAGAAAATGACTTCTAAGGATGCATACAAATCTGACTTCATGAAGGAAATGGTTGGAAAACCACCACATAATGTTGCTGAAGCATATCCAGAGTATAAACATCTACAAAAAGTCGCCAAGGAAGCAAGCAAGGTAAGGTCTATAAATAGGTCATAGATGGTATTAAGAAAGCCCTCATTTGCATATAATTTTTCTCATGTTTTTTTCTTGAATCTGTAATTATAAACTTGACATTAATTTAGATTGGATAGAGTTAGTACAATCATTGTCAAATCGAAATTAATTTAATGTTTAGTAACAACACCCTTATTTTCGTGTTTTTAGATGGAATATATCAAGGAGGCTGAAAAAATCAAGCATCATCATAACCTTCCTTTGGATTACCCTGAGTTTGTTCGAGCTAAGGAAAATGCAAAAAATGCCAGTGACGTAAGTATTAATAGCAATATTTTAAATGGTATAGCTATAACTGACACCATTGCGGCTGGATGACATTATAAAATGATTGCTTGTGCAAAGCTGCATTGGTTATGAAAATTTGTTAGAGTAGAAATCAGCTTGATAGATTTGTCCAATTTTGTTTAGATGGAGTACAAAAAAGACCTCAGAAAGATAACAGATGCTTATCGTGGATTCCAAACAATGGACAGTGCTGATCATCCTATTGTCCAACGAGGAATCAAAGCTGCGGAACTTATGGATGACGTGAGTTGAATCATGTTTATAGCATCAATACAATTATCCTTAGTATGTTGAACGTTTTTCATAACCTTTTTATTTGTATATTTTCAGAAAGCATACAAGGAAGATTGGGAACATGAAAAAAGTTATGTGTATTATCCAGTGCATATAACTCCTGGATATGAGGCTCAAGCTGAAGTCAGCAAAGTCCAGAATGATGTAAGTTAATATTTGTTATATTAGTAAAACACAGAAAGTAAAATAGTAAATTATTGATATATTACTTGTTTTTATAGGCTGTCTACAAACGTGATTTTGAAAGGGAGAAAGACAAGAACAAATACAATATCACTAATACTGAAAGTTATCACCAAATGAAAGAAACAGATCAGGCCACATCTGAGGTGAGTTTTATTTCTATGCTTTGAGCAGCGATAAGATACTTTATTTTGGCCTCCACATAGCAAAAAAAATTACAATACACAAGATGAAAAATCAGAAAAGTTGCAAAAACTGAGGTTTAAAACAAAAGACATAAAAGTGGGAATTCTCACCTTGTGACATGGAATATTAGGAGAAAAACACAAACAAAACCTTTTTATGTATTTCATAAGTTTACCTACTTTACAGAGAAATTACAGAGCTGAATATGAATTGAATAAGTCTAAATTTACGCCACTTGAAGAAACACCAGAAATGCAGGCTGCAAAACAACTTCATCCTTTCCAAAGCAAAAGTGTTTATACCAAAGATTCAAAGGACATGATGAAAAATGTTAATGTTGGTTCAGGTATGTGTGTCAAAATTCAGAACTGGTTGTCTTATATATCCAGTTTATTATAATACATGTATTAAATACTAAGCATATTTGTATCTTATCGTAGATGTCCAAGAAATTGCTCATGCTCTTTCAACACAAAAACTTGCATCTGCTGATAAATATAAAGAAGATTACCAGAAGGAAATGGTGGGAAAAGCACCTCATGATGTTGCACAAGCTTATCCAGAATATGAAATTTCTAAAATGGCAACCAAACTAGCTAGCAAGGTAAATATATTCCATAACTTATTGGATTTATTTTGTCAACTTTGTTGATACAGAAAAATCGCATTCTTCCTCAACTAATAGACAAATTAATTTCAAATTTCCATCATAATGACAGTAGTCGCCAGAAGTCTATTACTTCCATGAGTTTTGTTATTTGACCCAAAATTTCACTGTATTATTTTAATTCATGGGAATACAGTTTTTATTCTGTCAAATTTGACCACATATGACACAATTGTCTGTGGTTTTGATTTTGTGGACTCTGGTACTGGTTGGTGTTTGGACCTCAATGCCCAATATTTGAGCATTGCTCCTTTTATACGCTTAATAAAAAATTATCGAAACTTTATTTTTTTGCAGACCGAGTATGCTAAGGATGCAGAAAAGATGATGCATCACCACAATTTACCTCTGGATTATCCAGAATTTGTGCGTGCAAAAGAAAATGCTAAAAATGCAAGTCAGGTGAGATAACGATGGTACAACATAATCAGGAATGAGTCAGTATTGTGTTTTATCATATCTTCTTTTGTTTTCAAGCTTCAATATCAAAGACAAAAAGGCGAAGTTATCCAAGCATACAGAGGATTTCAGACAATGGACAGTACGGATCATCCTATTGTACAACAGGGAATGAAGGCAGCAGAGTTAATGGATTCTGTGAGTATATATTTAAAAAAGCAAATATTCATAATTCACAAACAAGAAGTAAAAGCATATTTGGGAATTAATGAATTATATGAGCATGAATTGTTTTCTGCTAATAACAGAAAGCGTATCATGAAGATTGGGAATATGACAAAAGCTGCATCTACTATCCTGTACACATCACACCTGAATATGAAGCTCAAGTTGAAGTTGGAAAAGTCCAGAGTGATGTAAGTTCCTTTGAATAAAATTGAATTTTTAATGTAGTTTGAATATGTTGTCTTAAATTGCTAAATTCGGAATATTTTTCCAGGTTAAATACAAGGAAGGTTTTGAAAAATCTAAAGAAAAGAACACATTTACTGTTACCGATACAGAAGCTTACAAAAATATGAAGCAAAACGATTTATCATCATCAGAAGTAAGTATAATTATATGAAATACTGGCAGTAGTTTATTTTCAGTCTAACGCTTCCATAGGTGCAAAGGTCACATTGTGCAATACTTTGTGTTGTTAGTTTAATATTCAATTAACATTGCGAGTCAACTGGTCAAATTTATGTTATGATACAACCAGGTGAAATACAGAGAATTGTATTTGAAAAACAAAGGAAAGATGATTGGAGTTGAAGAAACACCAGAAATGAAGCTGTCTAAAGAACTTCAACCTGTCTTGAGCAAAACCACATACACTGAACAGTCAAAGCAAATGCATAAAAATGTTAATATTGGATCAGGTAGCACAATTTTCAAAACGAATTATTACACAATTAATAATACTTTTATGCTAAAAATGAATATTCTATACAGATTTGCAGGAAATTGCTCATGCTGTTTCTACACAAAAGTTGACATCTGAAGATGTTTACAAAGAACAATTTAAAAAGGATGTTGTAGGCAAAGGGCCTAATGATCCAGCACAAGCTTATCCAGAATATAAACATCATCGGGAAGTTAGCAAAGCTTCAAGCAAAGTAAATGATGTTGATTTTTCTATTTTTGTTTAAATGTAGTCCTTCTGCACAGTATTGAAGTTTGTTGAATGCAAATAACCTCTATTTAGTTGTATTGTGTAGATTCAATGTAAATGTGGACTTGAAGTTATGGAGTTTTTTCCTTTATCTTCCAGGCTGAATATGTGAAAGAAGCAGAGAAAATCAAGCATACTCACAATTTACCACTTGATTATCCAGAGTTTGTCCGAGCAAAAGAAAACGCATTGAATGCCAGTGATGTAAGTTATTTTAAAAGCTGTAGATTACCAAGTAAAGATTAAATTATTTCAATGGATAACATTGCATTTTTATTTCAGATCAATTATCAAAAACAAAGAAAAGAAGTTATTGATTCCTACAGAGGATTTCAGACCATGGATAGCACAGAACATCCTATTGTACAACAGGGTATAAAAGCTGCTGAATTGATGTCTGATGTAAGTTCTGATTACATCTTGTACTATCAAGGATGTAGCAATATAAGGAATCTGGAAAGTATTAGGATACCCTCAAATGTTTGCTAATCTTACCATTTCTGCTATTTCTACAGAAAGCGTACAGAGAAGATTGGGAATATGACAAGAGTTGCATCTACTACCCTGTACACATCACACCGGCATATGAATCACAAATCGAAGCAAGCAAGATTCAAAGCGATGTTAGTAAACTTGTTCACTAACAGCTGAATCATATTATTGATTCAACATATTAGCTTATCAAATATATTTAATGTTTAGGTAAAATATAAGGAAGATTTGAAGAAAGCTGCTCAAGAAGGAAATAAATTCAACATCACAGATACTGAAGGTTATAAAAATATGAAGCAAACTGATCAAATGTCATCAGATGTAAGTTTTTCATGTTATAAGTGTGTGGGTATATATATTTATGTTAATATTTTTTTTTTTTATATCGAAATTGTATCACCATTGTGACAAATTGGCACAATAAGTAAATAATTATATCGAATTATTCGTGATTATTCAGATAACATACAGAGCAGAACATGAATTGAACAAAGGCAAAGTGACTCAAATGGAAGAAACACCAGAAATGATTCTTTCAAAAGAGCTCCATCCTGTTCAAAGCAAGAAAATTTATACGGATGAATCCAAAAAGATGCATCAAAATGTTAATGTGGGAAGAGGTACATGACATCAAATATTTTCATCCATTTTGCATATATTTTGATGTTTTAGCTCATCAAAGATACTAAATAAGGCACATCATGAAAGTTCTTTGTGAAGTTGTTTGTCAACTCAATAAGAAACAAATTTCACATCTATTTTAATAAGACATATATATTTTCTATTGAAATTTTACGCCTCAAAATAATCATTTTTATTCAAATGTCTTTACGGGTATGAAATATTGATCCTGCAATGATGGTCATTTTTGATACTGGGTGTGTGACATCATTTAGGCGTCATTTTGCCACTGGGCAAACAGATGCAAAAACATTCACTTTTATATACCATCCGAAATGGAAGTATCGTATTCAGGTGTTTATATTTTGAACAACTTCTAATTCAACTCTATATTTCAGATATCCAAGAAATTGCTCACGCTGTAGAAGCACAAAAAGTGGCAAACAAAAAAGATTACAAGTCCACCTATGAAAAGGAAATGGTTGGAAAATCACCACAAGATAGTGCGATTGCTTATCCTGAATATAAACACTTGAGTGAAGTCAGCAAAGCTACAAGCAAGGTCGACAAAATTTGAATTATATTTGATAAGATTTGTTTTATTACTTTATTATGATTGAACTTTTCATTTTTATTTATTCCAGATCATTATCTTAAGCTTGTTCTAATCTTCATTTTGTCCAACAGGCAAACTATATCAGAGATGCAGAGAAAATGATGCACACTCACAATCTTCCTCTCGATTACCCAGAATTTGTGAGAGCTAGGGATAATGCTAAAAATGCATCAGATGTGAGTAATACAAAACTGTTTTAGGAAGATTGAAGTTAAAAAATATTAAATCGATGAATGCTCTTCCTTTCTCAGTGTTTTTTTAAATAATATATTTACACTTCGATGCAGATTGAATATCAAAAGCAGAGGAAGCAAGTGATTGACTCATACCGAGGATTTCAGACCATGGATAGTCAAGAGCATCCAATTGTCCAACAAGGAATGAAAGCTGCTGAATTAATGTCAGATGTAAGTTGTTTTCATTTAAAAGTTAATTGTATGTCTTCAAATCAAATATTCACTTAATTCTCTTTCACACACACTAGATTAAATGCAACTCATGTTAGATAGCTAGTCAGTTGAATCTTCACCATATTTCTTACAGAATTTTTATATCAGGAGTTCTCAACCTTTATTCTTTCATTTTTCCAGTGGCAAATTTCACAGATATAGGTGTGAGTTTGCTTGCCTGCAAAATTTATCTTAAGATGTCAATTTCCCCCCTGTTGTTGTTAATTCACTCATGTCTATGTTTTTCAGAAATTGTACAAAGAAGACTGGGAGTATGACAAGAGCTGCATTTATTATCCAGTGCACATAACTCCTGGATATGAATCCCAAATTGAAGCAAGCAAGCTATCCAGTGATGTGAGAAAACTTGACTGTGATTTGTAATTTTCTATCATTTTTACATTATTTACGGTAGTACATTTATGAATGTTTCTAGATTCAGTACAAAAATGCTTTTGAGAAAACAAAGGATCAGAATCGATTCAATGTGACTGATACTGAACAGTACAAAGAAATGAAGAAGATGGATGAGATTTCATCTAATGTAAGTACTAACCCTTATTCTTCAAAATAATTAGCTAAATTAGCGGTAAATTAGCTAAATACAGTATTTTGTTTCCACCATAAAACAAGTATTGTCAACGCAAACTACTACACTACCTGAAGAATGAGAAACACTGATATTTCATTTAAATATTCATAGTGATGAAAAAATTTTGACTATTACTTTGTGGCTACACTTGATTTTATTCTAGAATTTTGAAACATATGCCATTCAGTAAAATATAAAGCACAAAAAGGTTGTCTGTTTCTCAACATAATGCTTATTACATTCCTAACTTACTTTTGATTTCTAGGCAAAATATAGAGAAGAATATGAAAAAAATAAAGGAAAGAATTTCACTGAGATTGAAGAAACACCTGAAATGAAACTGTCAAAAGATTTGCAACCCATCTTGAGCAAGAAAACTTATACTGACAAGTCTAAGAAAATGATGAAGAATGTTACATTTGGATCAGGTATGAAACTTGCTGTTTGGGGCATTTTCATAAGGATATCACAAATGTGTTTCACTCCGAACATGGCCATGTATAAGCAGCCATTGCTGGGTGAAGAGATACTCCTTTTGATACTCGGTTTGACATTGCCTATCCAATTTATTTTACTCTGTGTAAGGTGGTAAGTATGGGATTCGAACCCTAGATTTTTATTAACAATGCTTCAATCACTTGGCCATTTCGATTCATTTATATGCAATTAGCATTACTCAATTCTTAACGCAATATAAATTGTAATTACACAGATGTCCAGGAAATTGCCCATGCTGTTTCTGCACAAAAATATCAGTCTGATGATGTGTATAGGGCAGAATATAAAAAGGAGATAGTTGGAAAAGGACCTCATGATGCTGCAAAAGCTTATCCTGAATATGAACATTTGAAAAATGTTAGCAAGCTGACAAGCAAGGTAGCTATTAACTTTATATCTTTGTTTCTCATTTGAATTGCTGGATTGAAATACTTCTAGTTCAATGCTATTATTGTATTTCTTATGTTTTCTACATTTGATGACTGCATATTGAAACTTAACATTGCAGTCTGACTATGTGAAGGAAGCAGAGAAAATTAAACATCATCATAACCTTCCTCTCGACTATCCAGAGTTTGTCAGAGCCAAAGAGAATGCATTGAATGCCAGTGATGTAAGTAGATTTTGATATCAAATTAATATTTTCCCTTTAATTGGAGTTAGATACCTTTAAAAACTACAATTTATTTTGTTTAGATAAACTACCAAAAACAGAAAAAAGAGGTCATTGACTCTTACAGAGGATTTCAAACCATGGATAGCACAGAACATCCTATTGTTCAGCAAGGAATTAAAGCTGCAGAACTTATGTCTGATGTAAGTCAGTTCAACACATTTTGATAATCAAATTAAAAATAAAACTAACTACTAACTTTGATGTTTTACAGAAAGCATATCGAGAGGATTGGGAATACGATAAGAGCTGCATCTACTTCCCAGTTCACATCACCCCAGGTTATGAACAAGCTCTTGAAGTGAGCAAGGTTCAGAGTGCTGTAAGTTATTAATACCATTTTTTCTTGTTTTTGTTATGTGATATAATGTATATTATATAACGAATACCATTTTGAATTTAGAACGCTTACACCAAAGACAATGAAAAGGATAAATCAAAAAATAAGTTCAACATCACTGACACAGATATGTATAAAACAGTGAAAGATGTATTCAACATGTCTGATGTAAGTATTCATTTACAAGAAATTTACTTGTAATCTTTGTATAGATATGTTTTTTACTAATACATATTTTAAGGCTAAATACAAAGAAGCATATGAAGCAAATAGAGGTAAAGGATTTACACAGATGGCAGAAACACCAGAAATGGCAATCTCTAAAGCATTACAGCCATTGTTGAGTCACAAAAAATATTCTGATGAATCTAAATCGGTAATGCAGAAATACAACCTGGATTCAAGTAAGTAGGATTGTGATTATAAAAACCAATAAAAATATATATATGCATATTATACATGATTTTATAATTTCCAGGTGTCCAAGAAATTGCACATGCCTTATACAGTCAAAAGTTTGCATCTAAAGCGAAATACCTGGACTTTTACAAGAAAAATGTACTGGGAACAACAACAAAAGACCCGAAAGCTTTCCCTGAATATGATCATGCGAAAGAAGTGTCCAGACTGACAAGCAAGGTATATTTAGTCATATGTACTAGACTGAGCTATTGAATACAGCAACAAATCAATGTAATAACAAAAATAATGAATCACAACCTTGTGTATATTTAGAGTGAATATGTCAAAGATGCAGAGAAAATCATGCATACTCACAATATACCGTTAGATTATCCAGAATTTGTTCGGGCTAAAGAAAACGCAAAGAATGCCAGTGATGTAAGTTTTTGTATAAGAGTTTATCAACTTAGAAATAATTGAAGACCAACATAACATTGTGTAATTATTTATGCAGCTGGAATACAAGAAACAGAGAAAAGAAGTTATTGATTCATACAAAGGATTCCAAACAATGGACAGTAGTGACCATCCAATTGTACAACAAGGAATCAAAGCTGCAGAACTGATGTCCGATGTGAGTGCTTTTTGAAAAATAAATCGTGATTTTGTACCAACGTCAGAACATTTTTTGCAGTGCCTCTGTTGTATATATATGTTCATGACTTTCGAACCTTAAATTATGAATTGAATTCAACCTAAAATAAATCTGACTCTATTCTAGAAGGCCAAGTTCAAATTGACTTGCCATAGTGGGTGCAGATAAGACCCGAATTAGATGGGAGAATTGATAATTTTTTTTTTATCATTTTTAGAAAGCGTATCGCGAAGATTGGGAATATGACAAAAGCTGTATTTATTATCCTGTACACATAACACCTGGATATGAACAAGCTTTGGAAGTCAGCAAGGTTCAAAGTGATGTAAGTTAAATACAATGAACAACTACTGCTTTTGTTATGAAATATTTCATTAAATTCAACTTGTTAATGTTATTTCAGATTGCATACAAAAAACAACATACTGCAGATAAGAGCAAGAACAAGTATGAAGTTACAAATACTGAAATCTATAAAACCGTAAAAGATGCAGCAAAACAATCCGAGGTAATATACAATTTTTGATCATATTTGGGTCCTGTTTTTCTCTGCCACATGGCACCATCATCTATTGTGTTTGTGTTTGAATAACATGATATTGTCTTTATGCAGCCACAACCCATGTCTAGAAGGTTAGTTGAACTGTGGGCATGAATTGTACTATGACCTAAGTGGCATTAAAACTTTCATTTCAAGTATTAACAAATAAATACAGATATTTTATTCAGATATCACTTCAATACCAGAAGAATAAAATGTTACTGTCATAGATATAATCTCTGATTTTAATGTTGATTTTATAGCTGTTATGTTAATTGGGACCACAGTTTTACTCTGAAATGAATTTGTCTGATGTTACTACTATTAAATTGTGCATATATTTATTAGAATTTATAATATTTTCCATTGAAAGCATTCAATATTAATTCCAGACTGAGTACAGAAAAGAGCATCTTCTTAACAAAGGCAAAGGTCATACTCAAATGGCAGAAACTCCTGAAATGACGATTGCCAAAGCCGTTCAACCTTTACTGAGTGCAAAATGGTACGCTGATGCAGCTAAGCAGACAATGCAAATGTATAATCTGGACTCCTGTAAGTTTTATATAATTTTCTATGCAGTCTGTATCGATGGTAATTTGTTTAAATTTATCATGATGATAGGTTATCTCCTGAAATTTTTTTTTTTCATAATTACTGCAATTTTTGAAGTTAAAAGTGCAATAGCAACATGAACATTGTAGTTAATTTTATTTAACACAGACTATTAGGTAGATATCTAATCCGTCCTGAAATAAATATTTTCCTTCTATATTTATGTGATTATATATCTATCTATAAATCCTTGAATATGAAATTAAAATGTTCAATAATTTTTTTACAGCTGTTCAATCGATTGCTCATGCACTTCAGTCACAGAAAGATACTTCATCTAGTCGTTACATCGAGGATTTTAAAAAGAATATTGTTGGAAAAGCACCGACTGATCTTGCTAAATCATATCCTGAATATGAACATCTTAGAAATGTCACAAAATTAACAAGCAAGGTTTGTGCGGAAATGAATCGCTTTTATTCACCTAAACTCCAAAACTAAATGAGTTGAGCTCATATAACTACTGAAATTGTGTGATGATTTTTCAGCTTATTATTCAATATTTTTGACTCAACATAACGAAAAGTATAGTATAAATTTATCAGTACATTTAACATTTTATCTCTGTAGGTTTATGATTTTTATGATTTCGAATATACAGACAAATCAGAATATTTATTTTATTAAATTGCCAAGCAACATTAAATTCTATTTGCAGAAAGAATACTTGAAGGACGCTGAAAAAATGATGCATCAACATCATCTTCCTTTGGATTACCCTGTATTTGTAAATGCCAAAGAAGTTGCTAAGAATGCCAGTGATGTAAGTACTACAATTACTTAAAACATGATAGTTTTGGTAAGCTCTAAATTTGCTAAATATAATGTCTATAAATGCTGAATTTAACAAGTTCATTCGATTCATTATGTGTTATCAAACACTTTTAATTTTGTGCAGATACATTACAAGAAACAACGAAAAGAAGTGATTGATTCCTATCGTGGTTTCCAAACAATGGACAGCACAGAACATCCTGTTGTTGTTCATGGCATCAAAGCCGCTGATCTCATTTCAGAGGTAAGTGAGGGAATGAATATTATTCAAGCAAGCTCTTTTAAATATTTGTTATTTTGTGTGAATTTTCTAGACAGAATGATTCAGTTTATAATTTTTTTTTTATTCTCAACAGAGGAAATACAAGGAAGATTATCTTGCTGATTGTGATTTGATATACTATCCAGTTCATCTTACTCCTGGATATGAAGCTGCAATAAATGCAAACAAGTTTAGCAGTGAGGTATGTTTAGGAATATTATTTATACTCATATCTATACCGGATGAGTATTTTACATTTCATTGATATTATATTTTGCTATTGCAGGTTGAATACAGACGAAAATCAGCAAAGGATAGTGACAAGAACAAGTACTTATACACAGAAACTGAACGTTACAAGACCGATAAGATACTGGATGATTTGAAAGATGTATGTTTTAATATTTGCTCTTGCTTAACTAGAATAAATAAGGCAAGAATTTCTATATTAATTGGAATTCTTTTCAAATTTTCAGTTCAACTACAAAGTTCCAAATGTAAAGTTCACTGCAATGGAACGCACACCAGAAATGGAATTGTCTAGTTTAGTGAAAGATTATCTTAGTGATTCTACATACCAAAAGCAAGCAAGAAAAATGTTTGACAAATACAATTTGAACATTGATGAACAAAGGTTGGCTCATGCTCTTTCAACAAATGAGGTATGTGATTTGTATATTATGATGTCTTTTAAAATTGTTGAAACGATGGTATCTAAAATACTGAAATAAAAATGTATCAGATGGCTTCACAAATAAAGTACCAAAAGGATTTCAAAGACAACATGATTGGAAAAGCAGCAGCTGATGTAAAGATTGCTCATCCTGAGTATGAACATTTGAGAGCAGTATCTAAACTCACAAGCAAGGTATTATTTATTTTTTTGGCAAAAATGTACTCAAATTTCTTCAATAATTTTTTCATACAAAATAATTTAATTTTTTTAGTCTGAGTACATAAAAGATGCGGAAAAAATTTTGCATCATCATAACCTACCACTGGATTATCCAGAATTTGTTCGAGCAAAGGAGACTGCAAAGAATGCTAGTGATGTAAGTACCGTAGTTATCACATTTTCTATAAGTGACAAAGTAAAACTGATAGCATAAACTGGTAACTTTTAAATATAAATATTTTCCAGATTCACTATCAAAAGCAGCGTAAGGAAGTCATTGATTCTTACCGGGGATTTCAGACTATGGACAGCAGGGACCATCCAGTTGTTCAGCAAGGAATAAAAGCAGCTGATCTTATGTCTGATGTAAGAATTTATTTCACATAAGAATCATATTGTATTAACTAAAACTTGTATGATTTGCACTAAACTGCTCATTATTTTCACAATTAGCACATGCTGTCTATTGGTTTGTTCTTTGCAGTTTATAATATACAATGGAATTTTCTTTTAAGGCTAAATACAAAGAAGACTACTTGGCAGATCGTGATCTTATTTACTATCCTGTTCATCTTACTCCTGGGTATGAATCTGCTGTGAATGCAAGCAAATATCAAAGCGAGGTAAATATTGTTTTGTATTTTATTTACTGTAAAAGTTCAATTTAAGTTTAAATTTTAACATGCTTTTACAGACCCTGTATAGAGAGCAACATCAAAAATCAAAATCAGATGTTCATTTCAATCCAGTGGAAACTGATTTGTACAAAGTTGCCAAAGAGACTCAAGAGGCAGTTAATGATGTATGTACTACATTTTTACATACAGTATAGACAATTATCTGAATGCTACAGTGTATTGTATGTAAACGCTTTTAACATCTTCACAGATTAAGTACAGAGATGCTGCATTAGAAAGACTGTCAAAGGAGCTGACTTCCTTAGCAGAAACACCAGAGATGGTGGTTTCACGAACATTGAAACCATTGACAAGTCATAAACTGTATACTGACCGCGCAAAAGAACTAATGAACAAATATCATTTGGATGTTGAAGTTCCGGTGAGGAAGACTTAATCAACAAGGATAATATTTATTTCGTTATCAATTTACTTCTAATTTTAACGTTTATTTTGTATTTCAGGAAATAGCTCAGGCTTTGTTTGCAACTCAAATACAATCAAAGAAAAGATATCGCGAACAATATGACAAGGAACAAAAAGGTTCTGCACCTCATAACATTGCTTTGTCTTATCCAGAATGTGATCATGCTAGGAAAGTCGGGAAACTCACAAGCAAGGTATTTATTATATTTTAAACAGATTTTCATACTAACTGGCTAACTATTCCCATACCAGACATGTCCTGGTCATGGTTCGCCATGTACTGGTTGGGATTTCAGCTAAATATTTTTCAATTGAGCCTATTTTATTATGATCAACAGAAAGAATATATGAAAGAAGGTGAAGAAATAAAGCATCAATTCACCTTGCCTGCTGATGCACCTGAACTTGTTAGAGCAAAAGAAGCTGCAGACAATGCTAGTGATGTGAGTGTGATGAGAATATTGTGATTTTCATCATAGCAAGTATGCTATGCAATTATATTTATCAAGTATGCATTATCAAGCATTTAAAGCTAAAACTTATATATTTCAGATCAAGTACAAAAAACAAATGCCAGAAATACAGAAGGCCTATCGAGGATTTCAAACAATGGATACCAAAGACCATCCTGCGATTCAGCAAAGCAATAGAGCTGCTGAACAATCTGATGTAAGTTGTTTTGTTTGTAGATGTAAAAAAATGTAACATAATTTAACATGTTAGACCTATTTTCCTAGCAAGTAGAGTGAATGGAAAACTTTTTTTTTAATATTGATACATACGGCAATATTACTTTATTTTATTTTACGACATACTTATTTTTAATTTTATTGAGCTTATTTATCATTACTAGTCCAAATTATTAAAAAGAAGCGCTTGAATTCTCCTATTATTCTAAATACTTGAATAATTATCCACAGATCAAATACAAAGAAGATTACTTGATTGAGAGAAGTTACATCTACTTTCCTGTTCACCTGACTCCAGGATATGAGGTTGTTCAAGCAAGTGCAGCAACAGCTGATGTAAGTTGACAATTTATCAGTGAACACTTTAATTTTTAAAATCTGGATTTTTCATATTTTCATGTTCAATTTAGGTTAACTACACTCAAAAACACAAGAATGAGAAGAGTTTGAATCGTTTTAACGTGACAGAAACTGATCAGTATAAAAACGTCCAAGATCAAAGAAAATACATGGATGATGTAAGTTTTTTATTCCAAATTTTTTACAATGGAATCGTACAAAGAATTTCAATTATTTTCATTATCTTTAGAATATGTACAAAAAAGATTTGGAAAATTTGACAAAAGACTTTACTCCAATTGCTGACTCTCTTCAACAAGTTCACTTAAATTCAATGCAAGGACTGTTGAGCCAGGTATGTTATACGTTTTTCAAATTGGAAATCTGGAATTATTTCAACATTCACTCACTTATTGAACACGAAGTGGATGAACATTTTTTTCTAAATTTTACAGACGTTATTCTAAATTTTAATTGTTGTTATCCTTTCGTTGTTGGGATGATTGTTTTTGTTGGAAAAAATCGCTCTTCTCTGAAGCTAATGGAACAATTGATTTCAATTTTTTTTTTTTATAATAATTGTTCATTATTTGGTCCTAAATTGGCCCTATGGAATCTGCTATTTCACCTAAAATTTTGCTGACAGAAGAATAATGTAGTCACCCTGATATAAAAAAAAATTATCTTTCAGAAACAATATGCAGATGCTGCAAAACGTAGTCTTGACAAATACAATTTGAACATAGATGAGATTCAAATTGCACATGCAGTTGCATCAGCACCATTGGCATCTAATGCTGCTTATCTGAGTGAATACAAAACTGAACTTGTTGGCAAACCCAGAAGTCAAGCTGGAATGGACACTTATCCAGAATATGTAAATGCAGAAAAGGTGTCAAAGCTAACCAGCAAGGTAAAAATGCTGCATTACTTTGATTTCTGTGAGTTTTTACATATAAATAGATTCCAATGGTTTTAATGTTCTTTTATTCCAAAAATTCAGAAAGTATATACTAAAGATGGGGACGAACTACGTCATCAATTCACTATGCCCGTGGACACTCCCGAGCTTAACAGAGCAAAGGAAGCAGCAAAGAATGCCAGTGATGTGAGTTAACACAATAATTGTAGAATATACTGTAGCAAAAATGCTTGCAAGCTATTAATCCAACATTACTATTAAAATTTTAGTTGATTTACAAGAAACAAAGAGGAGAAGTCATCAGTGCATTTAGAGGATTTCAAACAATGGACAGCAAAGATCATCCAGTTGTTCAACAAGGAATCAAGGCTGCTGATCTAATATCTGACGTAAGCTTTTACACCAGAATATTGTTTTGCATATTTTCAGAGGGACAGTTGTATCAGTAGTGTTATTTCAAGATTTTGCAGGACTACCGTATTTACGTTGTAACCAAAAATTGCTGTTGGCTATCTTCTTCGTTAGTTGATGTTGACTAGTTAACTACTTTGATATATATTGTGTTCCTACTATCTAGACTCCGATATAAAACAATTATGTTAATTAAAAGTTATACGTGCTCAATTGGGAGCTCCTGTTAATTTTATATAACAGATCAACTCAATATCCATCCTTTAGTATAATTTTATTGCTCCGGTTAAACAATTACGATCGTCAATAACAAGAAATTATAAAACACGACTTAAAATATAAAATATAAATTGTACCTTAAATAGCATTGTCCATAAGATAACAGCAGAATTAACTAGAACAACTAACCTTTCTCCCAAGTCCCAACACTCTATTTTCTTTGTCCCGATCAGTCTATTTAAATGGAATTGGGGGTTTCTCAATTTAGTGGATAATTTGTCTATCTTTATTTATTACTTTTTCGGTTTGTAGTTTGTCTCGTTTTTGATAGGAGGAATTTTGGATGAGTCGAATATCTTGTAAAGTTTATGAAATGACCTAATTTAAGTTTGAAAATATTTCATTGTCTCGTGAGTATGAATCTTTTCATGCTCGTGGAAATTTACAGGTGCTAAATCGAAAGTCAAGTTTTTAAGATTAATTGGGGTAATATTCAATGATTTAAAGTGACAAATTGCAAATTTGTTACAACGTATCATAACGGCACCAGGTTATAAGAGCACCATCACTAAATTGTTTAGATTGTGGTTTTATCCAATCATAAAAGCCGCATCGAACTATAAGACGCAACCGGTAAAAGTACTGGTTTTGATTGTAGGTGATTTGGAAAAAAGCACTGCCTGGTTATTCATTGGCCGCATAGTCGATTTTTGTGGGAAAAAAGGACTAAAAGTGCACCATATGGTCCGTAAAATATAGTACCCCTATTTTAATTTATTTGACTTCATTTTATATGAACATTATTCTTTTTTTTTTCAGGCTAAATACAAAGAAGATTACATGATTGACCGTAACCTTATATACTATCCTGTGCACATCACTCCAGGATATGAATCTGCTCTCAAAGCCAGTCAGTTTAACAGTGACGTAAGTTAATATAGTTACAATTGGGCAATGCTTTTATTTGCAGAATCTGAGATATTTATTGCTGTTAAGTTATAACAAACAGTACCCTTCACCTGTGTGTGGTCTGTAATACAGACTTATCCTTACGTAATTTCGAACCATGATTTGGTGATGTCTTTATTTTACTTTTACTTAGGTCAACTACCACAAATCTGCAAAACAAAATCTGGGAGATGTACATTACAACCTTACAACAACAGATGCATACAAAGATATGAAAGAATTGGGGAAGTTGTCAGATGTAAGTAAAACTAAACTTTCTAAACATTGTAAAACTTTTATTTCAATAAATCTTACTTTAATTTCAAAATTTATTTTAGGTTACCTACAAGCAAGATTTGTCAACTTTAACTTTTACACCTATTGTTGATGCCCCTACCATGCAACAAGCTAAGTCTGCACAAGCTCTGACAAGTTACTGGTTCTATAAAGATCAAGCTAAAAAAATGATGGACAAATACAACTTGACTGTCGATGATCAACAATCAACTCATGCTCTTTATGCCAGCAAGGTATGTTAGAAATCTACTTTTGTAGGTGTTTATATACTAGCATACTCTCATAGCATAGTATTTATTATGTGGAAAATATAAAGACAAGGGGTTCTCAAAGTTATTGGCTAACCCTTGGTTACCCTTTAGCTAATTTCAAAATGACTGTGTTATTTGATTGAATACTTTACAAATTTTTAATTTTCTGCTCTTTTTTATTTCAGCTCTATTCAGATGTTCTTTACAAAGACAAATATGAGAAAGAAATTAAAGGAAAAACAACTGCAGTTACTATGGAAAGCTATCCTGAGCATCAACATGCTATTAAGGCAAACAAATATCTGAGTCAAGTAAGTTTCACTTTTCTATATCAACTTTGATAGATTGAATGTAAGTGTTATAATGGCTTATTTGACTCGGTTATTCCATTAGACCGAGTATACTAAAGAAGCAGAAGACACCAAGCATCATTATACCCTTCCTGTTGATATGCCTTCCATCAAACATGCGAGAGAGGTTGCTGAAATGCAGAGTAATGTAAGTGAAGTATTAATTTGAATTATGCTATATTTAATCATCCATACTTATTAATATATTTTCATGAATGTTCAGATCAACTACGTAAAGTCAAGAAAGGAGGTGATTGATAGCTTCCGTGGTTTCCAAACAATGGACAGTAAAAGCCATCCAGTTGTCCAACACGGAATAAAAGCAGCTGATTTAATATCAGAGGTATACCGATTTATTTGATTTATCCATATTTTGGGCAGCAATTCTTTATAGATGGTAACTAAACCTTTTTTATTTTACAGCGCAAATATAAAGAAGATTACATGGAAGACAGAAATCTTATTTATTATCCTGTGCATCTGACTCCTGGATACGAATCCTACACCAATGCTAGCAAGTTTGCCAGTGATGTATGTACTTGAATCAGTTCAATTTAACCTTTATGTTTCTGAATATTGACTCATAATATAAAACCAATTTGATATTTCAATTATTTTTTGCATAGCTCACATATTGTAGGAAATTACTTTATCTCATTTTTATATATAAAGATCATTTTGTTTTGATGTTTTGTTTCTCAAATGATTTGGCTTGGAAATTTCTAATGTATATGTTACTTGCAGGTTGATTACAAGAAAAAGCATCGAAAACAGTTGGCAAGTTATCATAATTTCCCAGCTGAGAAAACACCAGGATATATTTCAGCAAGAGAACATGACCAGCTCACAAATGATGTAAGAGATGCATTGCAATATGATTTAAATTTAAATATATAATTTTATCAGTATTACTTTGTAGTCGGTTTTGTATACATAACAAATTACATGGTATGTGTATTTACAAAATAAGCCTAATTGCTAATATATTTGTCTGAACCCACATAAAAATTTCTGATTTTTCTTCTTCAGGCTACGTACAGGCAGAAGAATGTTGATTTCACAGTTGTTCCAGATTTAAATGAAACAAGATTGTTCAAAGAGGTTCAACCACTTGTCAGTCAGGTAGGCCGTTTTAAACATTTGTCGTGTATTATTTTATAAGCGTAAGTTTACTTATCATATGTATATGTTGCTTCCAGAAACTGTACAAAAACAAAGCAAAGGAACTGATGGGAAAATATCACCTCACTGCAGATATTCCTGAAATAGCTCATGCATTGTACATGACAGATGTTGCTTCACCAGTGAGTAAAATTTATTAGTATAACTATTAAATTTGCTAGAGAATTGTTGGAATCCTCGCCGTTGTAGTTGGTTCAAGTACTTGCTAGTTGGACCATCAAGTCCATTTATCAGAAACAAATAACAAGCTAACTAATCCCTTATTCGACATGGACGGGTAACCCGACATGATTATGTTGTCTTACCAGCTTTTCTCACCCCATAATAGATAAAAAAAATCCCATCCTTCTCTAACTAACAATATTACTATGGTAAGTCAATCTATTGTCTTCTTTCAGCTTGTCTATCGCTCAATTTATGAAAAAGATTTGAAAGGCAAATCAGCACAAGGATTGGAAAAATCCGAGTATTTTGCTCAAATCAAGAAGGCATCAGAGTTAGCCAGTAATGTAAGTTGATTGTTTGGTAAATACTTGTAAATTACTGTTTGTGGATTACGTTAACCAATCAATCATGCAATATTTTTCCCAGAAAAATTATCCAAAAGATCGAGATGCACTACGTAATCAGTATACTCTGGATGCAAGTGTACCCAGCTTCGAGCAGGCGAAGATCGCTGGTAAACAAGCCAGTGACGTAAGTATCATATTTTACTGTCTTGATGTTTTATTCTTAAAAATAAAATTTATAGCCTTGTATTTATTTTTAATTTACAGATTGAATATAAAAAAGGATTACTTGAAGCTCGTGAAAAGGGAACGTGCTATCATAAAATGGCCATGAAAGAAATTCCTGCATACCAGAAAGCTATTGATTGTGCTATCAATTTCAGTGATGTATGTGTGTGTTTTAGTCTGATCCTTGGAACACAGTGTAAAAATAGTTCACACTCCTTAATAATATTGTTACAAATGCAGTTTTATAAGTATAATGGAGAAAATAATTTTGTCTGAAATTATCATAAGGCAATGTTGAGCAGAAATATTCTTATTCTATCAAATAATAGTAGCTATTTACATGTGTTCAGTGTTTGCCTGTACTGATCCTTGTATATAGGCATAAAACATAAAAAAAACTATACATGCTAACGACTTGCCTAATGAAATAAAAAAGTCTTTATGAACATTTTCATAAATTTTTTCTGACAACCAACATAATAACGATACATGAAGTTTACCCAGATTGAATTTGTTTCACTTAGTGAATATAAAAAAAAATTGAATATATTAATAAACATTTTTTTCATTTACAAATATGTTTAGCACAAGTACAGAGAAGACTATGAAGACATGAAGAAATACATCTATTTTCCATATCATATCACTCCACAATATGAAAAGTATTCAGAAGCGAGCAAGTTGTTAAGTTCGGTAAGTAAGATTGATACTGTAAAATGACAAACAAATCAATCTAATTATGACTTAAATTTAATGATGTTTATTCTTTTCAACAGAATGAATACGCAAAAGATTTGAAGAAGAACCTCCAGTTACTGAGATACAACTACAATGAAGTTCCTGGATACTTACATCAAAAGGCATTAATGGACCTCATAAGCTCGGTAATATTTTTGAAGGAATCTTAGCAAAGGTTTCATATACCTATATTTTGATATGCGGATATTTGTGATTTCTGTATATTATACACATTATTTATTTGAGAAGATTCAATTTAAGATGAATCATTTATACCTGTTTAGGGTAAAAATAGTTGAAATAAATAGGGTACGGTAGTTAAAAAGTCACAAATCTGCAGACATGATATTTTTGTTTTTCTCATTTCGGAAGCTAAACAAACTGCCACATCCAAAAAGAATGATGTCATATCACCAGTACCAATAACTGTTAATGATGACTGTTTATGATGATGGCTAAAATACTTGTAGTAAGATGTAAACGAACAAAACATTTTTTTACATTTTAGCAAAAAGATAAGCAGGCTCTCAAGGAACTACATGCAACAGGATTCACATCAATTGCTGATGATGCTTTCCAAGAACATGTTAGCGGAGTACAAAAAAGAATAAGCAATGTAATATCATATACTTTTTTTTCTTGAATTTTTTTTTTTGGTTTTCCGCTGAAGAATAGATATTTTACTGAGAACTATTTCTTGGATTTTTAGAATCTGTACAAACTTGATGCTAAAAAAGTCATGGATCAGTATCACATCACTGCTGATTTACCAGACATCAAACTTGCAACATATGCTTCAAAGTTGGCTAGTCAGGTAAGGGATAACCTACAACATTTTCTTCAAAAGTAAAGAACTGGTTGGTATGTTAAGATGTTTTTTTTTAATTCTGTTTTTTTTTATTCAGAACATTTATAAAGCAGACTATGAAAGTGCTAAAGGAACTGCAGGAAAGCTTGACTTAGAAATGCCAACATTCAAGCTTGCCAAAAGAGTGAAAGATCTTGTTAGTGACGTAAGTAAAGCTATACCAAATAAAATTTATCAAGCTTGAAATAACAACATTTCCAACTCCATCAAGTTCATGCACCTGAAACAAATGCCTGTTTAACAATTCCCTTACCAGACATGTGCTGGTAACTAATGAGAGGCTGTGGTTTTCCATATGATTAAGCTGTCGCCTGTAGTAAATAAGAAAATTCTATTTGAACCAAATATTCTTTAACTTTTGTTTGTACCTCAGCAACTTCATCTTAAAATTTTTACAATTTGATTACTGTTTTATATCAAAATTATTTATTGTTCAATCCTATTTGCAGAATGTATACAAGCAAGGTGCAGAAGAAGAAAAGCACCGGTACAGTCTTGTTCCAGACAGACCTGATTTTGTTCATTCTATGGAAGTTGGACGTAATGTTAGTGATGTAAGTAGCAGAAGATATATCTTATAAGTGATAGAGAATTTTCTGGAAGAAATAAATCATTTACACATGTTTCTCAAGTGCTTAATACAGTTCTTACAATAGTTCTTTTGTTCAGAATCTGTACAAGAAAAAGGGAAAAGAGGAATCCAGCAAATGTCAGGCATACCAGCATCTACCTGCTAAGGATCATCGGGATGTTGCTCATGCCATCAAAATAAGAGACATTATTTCTGATAGTAAATATAAAGAAGAATATAATGAACTGAGGAACATCATTTATTTCCCTGTGCATTTGACTACTGGGTGAGTCTGTTATTTTCTGCGATTTTGATAATGATAAAATACTACAGCCTTTGATGGATCTTCTTAGCCCGTATGCTCCTGCTTATTAATAAATATTCATATTTATCTTTTCAGATATGAGGCCGCTGTGAATGCCAACAAATTTGCTTCCGATGCAACATACAAAGCCAAATGGAGAGCTAACAGATACAAAAATGAATTTAAAGTCAACGAAACTGAAGTTTATAAACATGATCGATCAATGCAAGAAAAGATCAGTGATGTATGTAAATCGAATTGCGTTGGAATAAAAGTTTTTCTCACTATTTATTTTCTGTGATGATCGATTTGATTTTTTTTACATTTTTACAGATTGCTTACAGAGCCAAGTACAAATCTGAACTTGGGAAATCTCCATATATCACAGATACTCCAGACTGGTGCCATCAAAGAGATATGAAAACATTGTATAGTGATGTAAGTTTCGAAAGTATATTAAAAAAATTTCATATTTTGGAAATACTTTTCACAAAACTTATGTTGTTTTTCTAGATATCGTACAGAAGTGGTGCAAAAGAAATCATGGACAAATACAATCTTTTGTCTGATGAACCAAGAATCAAACAAGCATTATTTGCCACTGCACTTGCAAGCGAGGTTTGTTTTTTATGTTACCGACACATATTGGAATTGTGAACTGTCAATTTCAGAAATTACCTTCGAGTTTGAAGATTTCAAAATTGTATTGTCACCGCTATAATGTTACAGTTTTTTCACTGCATTTTTATATATCAAATAAGTTACATTTTTACCATTTGAAAACTCAATGGAATTCTAAATGATAAAATTAAGAATTCTAATATTGTTGTAATAGAATTCTTTTTATTCTTAATTTACCAGAAACGATACCGGCATGAATATGATATGGAGAAGGGAAAAGGTGCTTCAAATTTACATGAAACGCCACAGATGAAACAACAACTTCAAGCTACTACGCTACTGAGTGAGGTTCGTATACAGTTGCAAAATTTTGCTGTGTGATTTTCAAGTTCTTTACTTTTCTCCAGAGCTTCATTATTTTTTCTATTTCAGAAACCATACAAAAAAGATGCTCAACAAATGCTTAGCAAAGTTCGTCTGCCAGAAGACACCACTGCAATCAAGCATGCTGCTTCAGTTGGAAAACTTGTCAGTGAGGTATGAAAATTCTTTTTATATTTGTTTTGTTGTCTAAAACTTGATTCTTAAAAAAATATTTGAATCAATTGCAATTTTCAGGATGACTGTACAAATTATTTATTTATTGTGCAATTCTGATTATTTTTTTTATAAAGACTTAGTAAATAGGAATATGTATCGAATATTGTCTGAATAATATGTTGTGAACGCATTCTTTCTTTTTAGGAGAGGTCTTGTGTATATGCTTCTAATTGAATCACATAAAATCCTGCATAAAATTGTTTACATAGATAGTAAAAGTCATTCTTTTAAACAGAATGTTTACAAGAAAGAAGGCACACAGAATGAATTGCAAGGATATAAAAAACTGAGGGTCAAAGACAATTATGCTCAGAAATTTTTTGAAGACAACAAGGATATATATTCGGAGGTCTATATTTGGAAAAAACATGAGATGCCGCTGTGTTCCTTTCTGCCATTCTCATTTTAATCATATTGCATGGAGACATGGAGACAACATTGGTTATCCGGTTTTGGGCATGGTTAGGTTTTCATATGAAAGGTTTGAAGTGCGTGCGTGCTTACTGTTACTGCGGTAAGTTTTCGATTTGCAAGTAGATATCAAAGTATCAGAATGTGTTGTTCTAATTTTTCAAAAAAGTCGAATGCATGTCTAAATATTATTCAAATCATGTTCAACCCTACTCTACTCTAAAGTTTGGATATATTAATATTTACAATGCTAGCTTTTTTCACAATATTGATGTTATATCTGTAGATTTGAAGCCTCATATTACTTATATTTTAAATTTTTGTAAATTTGAATGTGAAATAAACATCACTAAATAACATTCGATAAGTACAGAAAATTTCAACTTATGGTATATAATTTGCCATGTGAATCCTGTTTTTTTTCAATATAAAAGTAGTAATATATTCTGATGATTTTAAAAATGATATGATACCGTGACGAAATTACTGGATAATGGCAAAATCAACATATTATTCATCTTTGAATTGTAGAAATTTTGTTGGCCTTATTTTGAAATCATTGCCAGCCAAAATATAATGTTAATTCATTTCAAATTCATACAAGAGGCATTACAAATGTCATTATCCACCTTGTTGCATCCATATATCAATAACCTGTTTTGATATTTGCTTGAAATTTTGTGTGTTGTAGTTTACAGGAATATTTCAGAAGAACAAGAAAGATTGAGAAAGAAAACACATCTCTTTTTCAAAAGCCTTTATTTCTTTTTTCATTTGCCTGCTCATTTCCTATTCTCTTATATATTTCCTTAGTGGTCAGTTAATACTATAAAATTGCATGTGATAAGATTTAAATATATCTTTGTACATTGGCAAATCAATAACTTTTCATAATAATCATTGATAGGTGCAATACAAAAAAGAATTCAATGAGCAAAAAGGTCACAATATTCCAGTTGTTGAGACTCCAGAATCTATCAGAGTAAAGAATCAACAGAAATTTCTCAGTGATGTAAGTTTTTAAATTTGATGAATAAGATGTTGATTAGTGAATTAGATATAAAAATTATTATATCCCTTGTACAGTTACAAAAGTAAGTATCATTCTACAACACAAATGGGGAGTATTTTGTCTTTATTATAAGATTGAGTACCGTAGATCTTTTATCAATCAGCAATTGTTCATTCTGTATTGGTTTCTTATATTGAATCATATCTTTGTCGCAATATTTTCACATATTCCAACTGTTTTGTATTATACCTTGGTATCTTATTTATTTTTAATATGTATGTGTAATTGTTCAATTATATCACTATTCATATGTAGGCTGTGTATAAAAAAGATTTGGAAAAAGAAATCAGAGGCCAGGGTCTAACAACAGACTCTACCCCACAAATTGCTCATGCTAAACTTGCAGGCGAATTACAAAGCCAGGTAAATGTGCCTGCAGCAACACATGAGTGAATTTAGAAATTATTTTTTCATATGCCTGGAATGCATGCTATATTTTTAAGAAATTTCTATACACATTTTACTTTTAGATTATTGCAACCTTTCTTGATTTTTTTTTGATCATTTTGCTCACATTTTTTTGAATTTCCTATTAATAATATTCCTATTCCTACAATTTCCTTGTTTTGATATTACAATATTTTTTCTATTAAATTATTTGACTTAAACTATGAGCATGATATGCAAAACCCCCAAAAATCAGAACCCATTATTAACCCAGAAACATATTTTAAAGAAAACATAACTTTTGTGCAAAGCATCCAAGATTACTGAAACTTTTTGGCCACAACCATACACAAACGGAAATTTAAGTGTTAAATATGGCTTTTTAGAATTTTTTTTTCTTCTTTTTCATAGAATTAAATGAGAAATTTATGAATTTTATTTTTTGGGTCACCCAGTATATTATGCTTATATCAACATTTTATTACATAAATATTATTGCCATTTTATCAAGCACGCTTTTTTTCGAATTTTCATAATTTTGACTGCCATGTTTTATTTTATATTCAATAATGATGTATCAACATCAAGTGTGCATTTGCTTTTTTGTGTGAAACATTATAATTGTACATCTAAAAAAATCCAGACAAGATCAGTTTTTGGAACTCATGCATGCTTTGGAATGATGTTTTTGCAGTGATCTGGAGAATGTATCATTCAATTCTGAGGTAAAGTATATAAATTTAATTCTATATTATTAAAATAAAATTCTAATATTTGAATTTGCTTACTTTAAATGTTTTACGATTTTTGAAATGGAGTTTTCCTAACTTTTTTTTACCTAAATTATTCCACATTATAATCTTGGTCATACAATATATTTAGAATTCAAACTTCAATATTTTGCTGTAGTATATGATTATATGTTTAATAGCATAACTTTTCATAATTTATAGAATTAAAGTGACCTTTTTATTCTACTAATAAACAAATTTAGCTGCATTACAAAACTGGATTGGAGGACATTTATCGCTGGCAAAGTGGGGAAGCAATCAACACTCCAACCGCACTTAAAAACAAAGAAAACAAGGACATCATAAGTGAGGTAAGTAGTAAGTGAATTATCAAAAAGTTGGAAAGTTGAGTCGAAAAAAATATAATTTTTTATTAATTTACCTCAGAACAAATACAAAGAAGCATATGAGAGTGAAAAAGGAAAAGGTTGCGATGTTGTTACTCCAGCGATTGCACATGCCCAAGAAATAACCACTGTAAGTAAATTTGAATTATGTATGCAATTAAGGTAATATGCATATTCATACTAGGAAGAATATAAGATCATAATATGAAACAGAGTGAGGTAATTAAACTTCGTAAGTGGCTCAGCGATTGGGATACTGTCCTAAGCATTAGAAACTAGCTTGTCATTGTATCTCTAATTACCCTGCATGAGTTCGCAGATTTAAATCCTGTGGGGCATAATTATGTGCGTGATGCATGCTGGACTCATTATAGTACTGTGGTTCATGTAATACCTGGCCTGCTATGATTTCGTCCATTATCAAGTCCAGGCATCCAAGACAAATAACTGTTTAAATATTCTCGTATCTGACATAAACCGGTTACCGGATGACAGACAGTGGTTCATATATAATTTAGCTGTCTATCATATTTCCTCTTCCTATGACAAATATGAAGGTCCTATCTATGTGTTTGCATAAAACCTGAAGTAACACCTGGGTAGGCTGGGTTTGCTATTGTAACCTCTTTTTATAATTATCATCACTATTGCTCAGTTTTATTTACTAATTTATTAGTCAGAGTTGCTTAAAAGTAAACTACATCTTAAATATTTATAAATAGTTGACCAGTGATAACAAGTACAAAGAGAAATATGAAGAAGCAAAAGGAGATAAAACATGTTTCAGTACAATGGAATCAACACCACAAACTGATCATGCTAGAGACATCGGCGCCAAAGTTAGCAGCGTAAGTATCGTTATAATTTCTATTCATTTCGTGTACATTTCTGAAACAAACCACCAATGCATGCACTTTTTCTTGTCAACAGAACAAATATAAGGAACAACATGAGAAAGAAGACATTGGAAAATCAGCTGAATTGAAGGATTCTGTTCTGTTGCAATCAAATCTCAAAACAACTGAGTTACAAAGCAATGTATGTAACTTCTTTGAATTTTATGAATATGCAATCGTATATATCGGATCTGTGAAATTTAAAAAATCACTTTTTTTATGAAATGTTTTTTAAGAATTTATCAGTATGTAAACAATAATCTTCCTATTATAGCTCAAATATGGCAAACAAGCAGATGAAGCTATTGAACAATACAAAGGATACTTCCATCATATCAATGAAACACCCTCAATGAAGCATACTCAGAAGGTATTAGTAAGAATTTTTATATTAGAAATTTAACACAAGTAATAATTCCATCATTTTATCTAATATGACGCACAATTTTTTTCCACAGGTCCGGGACTTGCTAAGCAGATTCAAGTACAGAGCTGAATACGAAAATGACAAGACCATTATATATTTTCCATACTTTTTAACTCCACAATATGAGTCACAAAAGAAAGCCAGTGAACTTCTCAGTGACGTGAGTAGAGTTTGGGTTTTAATTATACTTGATGATTAAAGATAATTTATGGTAAATAATTGTTTTTTTTGTTTAGAATATCTATAAAAGCAAGGCAGAAAAAGAAAGAGGAAATATTCATATTCCAGTTGATACTCCCAGCTTGGTGCATGCAAAGGAAGCCGATGCTTTGTTGTCTGATGTAAGTAAAGAGAACCACAATTTTTCATTCTCTAGTTCACATCACTTTTCATAATAATTTACTTTTCTTTTACAGTTGATCTATAAGAAAGATTATGAGCAACAAAGAGGTAAAGGAATTACCTTACGTAGCTTAGATGACTTGCCTCTACTGCTTCATTCAAAAAAGATGCAAAGACTTGTCAGTGAAAACAAATACAAGGCTAAAAGCAATGAAATTAAAGACAAATACCATCTTGATGTAACTACTCCACAAATGATGAATGCCAAGAAAGCCAACAAATTGGCAAGCATTGTGAGTTTTCATTACATAGTACTGAATGCTGTGTGCTTTTCAAAACAGTTTAGTATCTAACTTTGATTTTTATCAACAGAATGCATACAAAGATCAGTATGAAAAAGAAAAAGGACAACCATACAATGTGACAGATTCATTTGAGATGAACCACCTTAAGCATTTGCCTGATCAGTTCAGTGATGTAAGTTTTATGAAAAATATAAATTATGAATATTTCATATTTTAAATTTCCTTTTTCATAAAAATAAATATTTCTCATTTTTTAATTCAACAGACAAAATATAAACAAGACTTGATTGTATCAAGAGGAAAAGTCATACAAACGGAAGACACGCCATGGTTGACGTCGTTTCAACAAGCACAAGACTATGTCAGCAATGTGAGCAGTGTGTTAACAATAATATTCAAGGCATCCACATACATTATTTGATATTAATTTTATATGATGATTCATTTTACAGATAAAATATGGCAAGAAACCATTTGACCTCAAGAGTCGATATCAGCCTGACAAGTTTAACGCTCACATCAAAAAAGTTACTGAAAACATCAGTGATCAGAAGTAAATATTTATTGAATTTATTGGTTAATAGTATATTTGAAGAGTTTTTTAAATTAACACATATTTTCATGATATCTATTTCATTTAAGATACCATGAAGACTTTGAAGAATATTTCAGAGGAAATCTTATTCCGGTTCCAGATCACCCAGAACTTCAACAAGTGTTGCGCAACTCAAAACTTATCAGTAACGTAAGAATAACTTTTACAAACATTGTATAAAACTTTGAAGCTTGCATTTCTTCGTCAGCGTTTTAACTAATTTATATCAATCCAACCAGGGCCTACCAATGAATGTATATTTCTGAGTGTCCTTAAACCAGTCAAGTATCTTCTTACTCTTTCAACTAAATGATCATTTACAGTAACAGCGATATTTGTAAACCCTGTGTGAAACATTCCTCTTAACTGCTCATTGATTGGAATCTCGTTTATTCAGAAAAACTACAAAGACAAGGCTCGCAAAGATCTCCAACATTATATTTTGGTTCCTGACACACCTGAGTTCCAGAGATTAAAAGAAGCAGCTAATTATCTCAGTGACATCACATACAAGGAAGAGGGTGACAAAATAAGAAATCAGTACACTATTGTCGCTGATACTCCAGCAATAATAAATGCAAAGGAATCACAGGCTCTTACTAGTGAGGTGTGTATAATAATCAATTTCACATTCACTATCTTTTCTTTCAGTGTTTCTTAGTTTCCACTGCTGTGCAGGGTGACATATACCGTAAGATATATACAAAAAAAAAAATACAAAAAATTGTTTGTTCTATCTACGCATGACTTTATTATTTGCCTCATATGCATCTGATCAAGATATTCAGTTTACAATATAAAGTTTGATATCATTAAAGTGATGCAATTTTGTGAATGAAACTACGGTAGATTTTTATGTTCTCTTTTTGCAAAATATATAATATAGTTGACACTAAAAATATGAATCTTGTTTATAGCAAGCGTACAGAAAAGATGCCAAACAAAAGATGGCTACTGAATATATGATACCAGCAGAAGGTACACCAACTATTCAACAACAAAGATATGCCACAACTCTTGCCAGTGACAAGGACTACAAAGAAAAAGGTAGTGATAATTAATCTGTGGTTGTCATGGTACAGGGTGGCCATAAGTCTCTATACAATGTAAAAAATCTAGCATATAGCTCGATGATTTTGAATAATTTTAACCATGTTTGGCTCTTCAACTCTGTAATGGTTGTTTAATTAAAAAAGATCTGCTTTTATAACGCATTCGATTCTTTTGACAGGCGAGGAAATTAAACATCAACCATGGGCTTACAGCAAGCTACAGGAAACAAGAGACACTAAACATGCAAAAGATATGGGAAGATTGGCTAGTGATGTCAGTACATAGTTTTGAGATTTCACGTCAATTTTTTGAATTTTATTTAATTTGCAATTCTTTTTTTATTTTATTTTTCTGCATTAATATAGATTAGCTACAAATCCAGTGCGAAGAAAGAATTGCAACATATCCATCCATCTGCTGAAACACCATGGCTCACCAAAGCCAAAGAAGTTATGGATAATGTCAGTGAGGTAAGATTAACAATAACATATATATTTATTTAACACTACGGAGAGAGTAATAATATGGGTTGCAGATATTCACCATAAAAGATCAATGCTTATTTGTTGCATTGATATTTTCAAAAACAGTAATTTATTGGCATCATCAAAACTACAATACTTTTCGCATATTTGGTTTTCATGTAATTTCATAGTCGTAGCCTACTATTTGCTGTAAATTTCGCTATCCATTTTTTGTATTTTTGGTAGACATCAATCTAGAATGTTATATAGAGCACGACCAGTTTTGCCAAACGATTCAATTTGCTGACATTTTGAATTTCTATACAGATAAACTTCATCAGGGCATTAATGATATGGACACTAGCATATATTTTTCAGTATAGAAATTAGAAACGTCTGATAAATATATCATCTTGCAAACATCGGCTGGGCTCTACATTTCTCTAACATAAATGTGTCTGTTGGAAATCATATGCTATTAATCTAGGTTACATAAACAATATAGGTTAACTTTATAAAAAGGTTTACAAAATTTACTAAAATTTAGACAAAATGTCGGAATTTGTTCATTCAGTGACAATCAAAATTCAAGTAATGGTTGTATACCTGAATTTTTCATATTATCTAATTCATATACTTTTTGAATTGTTTTAACTTTGGTTCATCAAATCAAGAATAGGTTCGGAATGACGGCAGAGACCGAAGTTTCGAAAGGCCCTTGAAGCTGTCAAACAAATAGATAACAAATAACAAAAACCATATGCACTTTCAGACAAAATATAAAGCCAAGGACAAAGATTTGCATCAAAAGTACAGAATGCGAGAGGGTGATGATCGCTTTATAAAGCATGCATTGGAGGTTAGTATTTGTGAATACTCAATAATATGTTCAATTTAAATAAAAGGAAATACTTTGTAATAAATTATCAATTACTATCTTACAGGTTCGAGACAAAATCAGTGATGTAAAATACAAAGAACAATACATGAAAGACATAGGAATTTGTTGGTGTCTGCCTTCAGAAATGTCCATTGATCATGCTATTAAAGCAAATGAGCTTGCTAGTGATGTAAGAATTGTCATTAACTAATAGTTTTCTGCTTTTGTCAAAAAAAAAGATAGCTGATATTGGAAATCCCCATAAGTTTTTGTTTAATTTTTGATATTAGAAAGGTCAGCTCTCACTCCAATTTATTTTTCCTGAATTGATTATTTTGAAATCTACAGTTATTTAGTATTCTTCATAAAGGAAAGGAATAATTTGAAATTAAAAGCATTTTTGAAGTAATACTGAAGTCTGATACAAAAAGTTAAATAATGGTAAAATGTACGAACATGAATTTGTGTCAGATACTTTTCGCAGCCAACATCATTGTTGTTACAACCTACGTACTGAAAACAAAACATTTAATTTTTATCTTACATCAAAACTCCCAGTATGTAAAAAGTGTGCATTAACGTTTTTGTAACTTCAGAACCAATACAAGAAGCAAGCTCAAAAACTGAAAGGTAAATATCACATCACAACTGATACACCAGAGTATGAAAGACTTCGAAAACTGAAGGATGAAATGAGTGAGGTAATGAATGCACTTGATATTTTTAAGTAGTTCTATATATTAAAATACTATGAATCAGTTTTGGGTAGGCCCAAGTCATTGACTCGACTTGAGTTGGACTTGTGTCACCATTTATCAAAGACTCCAAGGGAATCAACTCGTAATCAAAATTAACTTGATTTTGTACTTGACTCAAGATTCAGATGACTCAACCTGAGTGGCAACTCAGGGTTTAGGTACTTCTACCTAACACTGCTATGAATATGATATATTTCTGGTAGAAATGTAATACTCTAATTTTTTAGAATGGGCAGTAGTTGCCATGTTCAAAACTTTAATTATCTTTTTTCTATTCTACAGACACAATACAGGGATGAACTAAAGAAATTCACTGCTCTGGCTGCAACACCTGAAATGCAACATGCAACAAAAGTGTCAAGTCTTGTTAGCAAAGTAAGTATCCTGAATATGCAATTATTTCAATACAAAGATATATATATATTCAGGGCCGGGTCGTGCCTTTTAAAATCCCTAAGTACTTAAGATTTTGGTGCCCTATGTAAAATAATTATAATGAAACTTGTGTTATGTGTTATCTGAAATTGAAGAGGTAAGTAGGTTTCAGTATTCATTGCTAATTGAGGGCTAAGTTGCGACTAATTTGCATGATTTTTTGGAAACAGTTCTCATACAAACATTGATAGAGAAGTTTGAGATGATACTTGAGAACTTTATTTCAACCAGGCAAATATTAAGATCTGTGTCGACTGACCATTCGAACTTTTTCATTAAACACTGAGGCATCATTAAAAAATCGTCTATGGAAATTTATGTGGTGCCCACTTTTCCCTGGTTCCCTAAGTTTGTGCTCCTTTTGCTTAATGGTTAATCCAGCAATGTATATACCGGTACTGTATAAAGTATAAATGGGAATGGGTTTTGCAAACAGCCTTTTTTCAGGTCTTAGTGATATCAAGAATTAGATTTATTGAGATGCAAATTACGAGTATATCCTTATACACACATGTTTGTGAGTATTGTATGTTTGATTCAGAATAAATACAAAGAAGATCATGAAAAGTCAAAAGGCCACTACACAGTGCTGAAGAATGATCCAAAGATTGCTCATGATCAACAAGTTAATAAACAACTAAGTGATGTAAGTTAAACATTTTTTATTACAAAAAAAATATAAATTTTAGGATTTAGATAAACATTCTTTTATTCAAATTTTATTCAGGTTGCATACAAAAAAGATATCAAAAAAATGAAAGAAGATGGATACACTTTTCTGGCTGATGCACCAGACATGGAACATAATAAGAAACTACAAAAAAATATCAGCAATGTAAGTTATTTTTCTTGCCAACTTGCCGAATAATAAGAAATGTAACGAAGACCATCAAACAACAGTCACAACAAACCATTGATTAACTGATATTTTTCATTGTTGTTCTGCTTAGATTAGCGTCAGTAGTAAAATAAAAATAAATATATCAAAAACAAATGATCATTTTCTTAGTTCTCTTTTACAAATAATACTTTCAGACGGAATATAAAAGAGAAGCCAAAGAGCATAGTGATTTTACAGTACTTGAAGAAACACCTGAAGTGAAACATGCATTGGATACTGCTAAAATGCAGAGTAATGTGAGTAATACATCATAGAATGATACAGCTAATGATATTTATAACTTCTGTGAACAACTTGTGAATTCCATATCAAACATTATTTTTCGACAAGCAAAATAAGTTCATCAAATTATTATTTCTTGCAGCTTCATTATAAGCAAAAGGTTCAAGGAAAAGATATTGCATTGCTCCAGACCCCACATATGAAGCATGTCATGAATGCTAATAAATTACAAAGTGACGTAAGTTTTTTGTTTAAAATTTCTGTTTATGGAAGGCACTAATTTTTTTTCCCACTGATTCTGATACAAATTTTTCTTCACATCTTAAATTTTCCTAAAATTCACATTGAGTAAATGTATTTTTTTTTGATATTATGCAGCTGAAATATAAGGAAGTTTACAACAACGACTTAAAAGGTAAGGGATGGCGTTTCACTCAAGATACACCAACTCAAAGACATGTTGAAAGCATTGGAAAAGTGCAGAGTGACGTAAGTGATGATCTATAAATTTATTATTGTAGAAATAAGCAAACCTGTCTGAAATACATTAATATTGAATTTTACAACTTTCACAGTACAAATATAGGAAGAACTACAAAGACAATGTCGGCAAAGGTTTCACTGTTGTTACTGATAGACCAGACCTTGTACATGCAACCAATATTAAAGATGTTGTCAGTGATGTAAGTTTATTCATTTTAAAAATATCAATACAGTAGTTTAAGCACAAGATGATGAAGGGCCTCAGAGGTGTGGCGTGTTTTCCTTGAAGTCATATTTTCAAACTCATAGTCATATTCGAGTCGGAATTTAGACTTCAAGTGGTAATAATAAAAATCAAAATTTTTTCACAAAAACTCAAAAAGTATTAAGTTTACTAAAGATTTATACAAATTTACTGAAAAAGGGTATTTTCATCTGCCAAAGTTTCGTTATCAAAATTCGATTTTCTCGGCAGTCTGTGCCAAAATTTTTTTTAATCTGAAGTTTCGATTCAGATTTTTAAATTTTTCCCGCCTCACAGCCTTAGTTCTATGATACCTGGAATGGTTTCATAACAAACTATTATGTTTATAGTATGAGTACAAGCGTCGCCACAGAGACATGGTTGGAAAAGGATATACATTTGTTGCTGACAATCCTGGTATCGTTCATGCAGAAGAAGCAAACATACTTCAGAGCGAGGTAAAATTGTCTAATTTACTATAGTATCATTGAACTGATTCAATATTCATTTATATGATATTTTCATTAATTTACAGCTGCGATACAGGAGAAACTATGACAAGTCCAAAGGCAAAGGATGGCAATCTGAAGACTCTCCTGCTCATGGACATTTTAAGGAAGCTCAAAAGCTTGTAGACAATGTAAAATTCTTTTCATTTGTCTGTTGTTTTAAAATTGAATTAGGTAGTAAAACAACAAATTGATATTTACAGATTGATTACAAGAAAAGTGCTCAAGAGATCAATGCTCGTGGCACAGGAGCATCTATGGAGGTCACCCCTAGCCAACTCCACCATAAGAGGGCAGCAGAAATTCTTGATAATCGAAAATACAAGAGTGATTATGAACAAAATATTAAAGGTCGTGGCATGAATATGGACATGGTCAATACACCCAGTATGGATCACATCAGAAGAGCTGAAGCAATAAAGAGCGATGTAAGCTTCATAACTTAATTTAGCATATACATTTCAAATTATTCTGTTTTTTCTGAGCACTGATTTGCTATTTCCCAGTATGGCATAAAAAAGTGCATACGATTTTTAAATAACACTGAAAGCAAAACAATAAAATAACAGAAGCAAAATTTCCTCTTCATTCAGATTAATTACAAATCTCAATATCAAGAAAATATGAGAGGACGACCCACTGCAGTAATGGATGCACCTCATATACTACATGCCCAGCAGGCGTCACAACTCATCAGCGATGTAAGTACTGCACTGAATAATGTTTTCAGCATTTTAAACATTCAAATAGCTGACTAATGATAATCGACGTTAGCACAATAGCTTTTAATAATCTTTTCTGGTTTCAACAGAATAAATACAAAGCTGATTATCATAACAACATACGTGGTAAAGCACACTCAATGACATTTACTCCAGAGATGGAAAGAGTATGTGAAACACAGAAAATGATGTCACAGGTAAAGTTTTCTCATGCAAACAAACTTTTATTTTTTACCAAACTGTTTTTCTAATATAACATCCAAAATCATTTCAGAATGCTTACAAGTCTGATGCAGAAGAGCACAGATCAAACTACTCCGCTCCAATTCTTGATACACCAGAATGGAGAAGAATTAAACAAAATACAAAGAACTTCAGCACAGTATGTTAAAAAAAAACAATAGCATTGTTTATTATAGATATTCTGAAAAAATGAATAACAATTACTTTTAAAACAGCTAGCTAACCACTGACCTACCATGTTTTTTTGGTAACCCATTAAGTCACAAATTAATGCAAAAAAGGTTAAATGTCGAAAAATTATATTGAGTTGGATGGTATTGACTTTACTGCAGTTGAAAGCTGACAAAAAATATAATTATCTCAGAGTGGAATTCTTTTTCCAAACTCATTTGAAAATATACCCCAGTGCAGTAAGTATACATCATAAAACTTCACAATTCCAACCCAGGATTATAAGACTTGCAGAATGGATTCAAGTTTCTCATTGATACAGACATTGATGAAATATCTATGACCCAAATTTAAAAATTTTATCCGGACACTCCATATAATCGATTTTGATATGATATAATCATATTTTGTTACTCATCTTTTATTGCTTAGAATCAAAATATATTATTGATCAATTTCAGAGTATTGGCATCACATAGATTTCAAGATTGATCAAATCATAAAATAAAGAAATTGAGAAAATCAGTGATGAAGAAATAAAGACTATTAGCTTAATAATATAAAGTGTATGATAATGGCTGTATACATTGTAATTCAAATTCATTTCTCTCATTCTTTTCTTTCTATTCTTGCTTCTTCTTCAACTTCACCTTCATTTTCTGTCTAAAAAGGTCAAATACAAGGATAATTCTTCTATCGGTCGATCTATCAATGTTCTTGATACTCCTGAGTTTAGAACTGCTAAACGAAATAAAGAAAATTTCAGTCAGGTATTCCTTCTTCTAATTCTTCTTCTCTTTTCTCATCTTTTTCTAATTGTGCAAAATATTTTTATTTCATAATGCAGAATACAATTATCTATTTTCCTTTTTATTACAATACTTTTTATACTAGTAATGTTATTGCTGTGATTTTTTCATATTTTATTGGGAAAAATATGTTGGATCAGATATCTTTATCCGGTTTCGCAATATTTCTACTATCTCTTATTAACAAATTTTTTTTTTGTCAATGGCTGAGAATAATCAGAATGGAAATAAATCTTTAAGTATAACTTTTGATTACCGTATTATGAATACCTATTATTATGATATATATATAGTTTTGCTCTGACAGTATTTTTCCCACATTTATTGTACTCGATTGTTTATATTTAAATGTGTTATTGTCATATCATGCATTTTATTAGTTGCAATATGTTTGTTGTACTTTCATTGTGTTTTATTACTTTATGTGAACCCATTATTTTTATCTGATTTATGTCATTTATTGAATAATATATTTATGTATAAGTTTTAGATAACTTCTGTGTTTCTAATTCAGATTAAATATCAAGAGGATCGCAGTAAACTCAGAGGACAAGCAACACAAGTTACGGATGACCCTCAAATGCGTAGAGCACTTCAAGCAGCTAAAATTGCCAGTGATGTTGAATATAAAAAGACCAGAGAAAAGTCTGAAGAAATGGAAAAAAGAAGACAGCAATTAGTGGCTGAACAACAGCAGAGTATGTTTTTATTCTAATATCACATTTCATGAGATTGGAATATAGAGCAGCAAAATGCAGCTTGGCCGATGGCACATTGGGCTAAATACAAATTTGCCATTGCAACCTCTGATTATCCTGTAAGGATTCACAGGGTCAAATCCTGTGTGGGATAATTATGTGCAAGAAGATTGCTGGACTTTTCACCATTGTAGAGCGGTTCACGATGATCGACCATGGGTTCCAGTACCATTCGGTGTGTGTATCTCATCAGCCCTCATCTCCCCTGGGATAAATATAACAAAAATACTGATGCGGTCAAATCCTTAACTTCACATTCTTAACTATTATGCTTCGTTCAACATTTACAACATATTCTGTCAGTCTTTCTTCATTTCTCTCTAATGTACTGTTCTTACCTTTTCTTAAAATCTACCTCTGTTCACTCTTCAAATCAGAAAATCGCACAAAATTGCAAACAACGCTGAGGACATCACAGGTTGCACCTGCAAAACACCCTGCATTTTCGCAACGCAATGTTGTGCGTCATGGTCCGGTAAAGAGGTGGAGACGTCAACCAGGAAGCATTTTCGATTACGATCCTTCAGAATACGAAACAGAACAAGAATATGAAGATGGAATTGGTGCTTAACTCATTTGCCTATTTATCTTTTCTTTCTTTTTCCTAAAACTTTATCTCTAACCTTTCTCTTTCTGTTTTCTCCTTCATCTGAACAACAGCATTTCAGAGAAAAACTGAAGCAATTTCAAGGCCATACCATACAGACACTGAAGCAGACTTCGTTAAAAATATTAACTGGAAATCAAACACTATGGATAATAAATTGACTCCATGGACAGATTATATTGCAGGTTAATGAGTTGGATAACATATGATATCTTAAAAGCAATCAAATCTTATATCGATTTGAATATAGTCTCACAGATTGCTTGTTTTTTAGGCAAAGCATACAAACCTGTTCATGCACCAGGATCAGTGTTGGATTATGATCCAGTATCAAGAATGCAACAGATGCATGTATCAGACAAACAGAAAGAGGTATGTATTACACATATTCCGTTACATATATAGTGTAATTGCATGGTTTGGCTTGTCTTCTGTTTATCATGTGATTAGGTTATTGGAAAAGAGAAAAAAAATAATAACTGCGATCGTCGGAAGCATAAATAAGAATATGTATGTGATTTGAGGAGTAAAATCTGAATTGTGCTATCCATTTAGCAAGTTTCACATTATCAATGAAAAGAAGAAAGTATCATATAAAACTTTGTGACCATACTCAAAAATTCCATTCTCGATTGGATATTTGTAGTAGTGTCAAAAAGATTGACTTCATGAACATTGGCAAATGATTCTCAAGATTGTACCATGTGTCATCACATACTATTGTTGTTGTGCTATTATAAACGCTCTGTCGTGTGTCTTTAATGTCAGTGTGTTGCAATTTGCATGTTTGTTTAATGAGTAGTTTATTCAGGAACCTGCACCAGTGCATGTCAGTCCACCTTCATCCCCGATAAAACAGCAACCACAGGTACAGAAACAAGAACCGGTAAAAGCCCCTGAGCCCGAACCAGTCAAAGTTGAACCAACTCCTAAAGAGCCAGAACAATCAGCAGATGTTATTGAAGAACTCGTGAGAAAAGGAGATGGGGTATATTCCTGATGAACAAATTTTTTAGGACCTATACATTAAACTTAGGAAAGTGTGTACTAGCATGGAATGTTATGGAATATTGCTACTTCACTTTTTGATGCTTGATTAACTTTGGCAAAAATGGCATGGTGTGAATTTTATTATTGTCTATGTTCATATATTTTTCAAACAATGTTATGCTGTGACAAATTCTCATTATGAACCAAGAAAATCACTAATTAAATGACTCAGTGAAACTAGGCTGCCATGATGTACACTTTTTGAACCAATGTATTTCCACTAAATTACGTGCAATCCTTTTGCGTAACATGAATTTACGAAGTCAAGGCCATGTAATACCAATAAAATTTTACAGAAGAAAGTCTTTCCTAGAAGCACAACATTAATTTACTTGGAATACAGATCTAGTTAGGCCTATTTTTACGATTTAAGATGTATATATATTTAAAATAAATCTACCCTAAATTTCAGCATGTTTATCAAGCTATGTATGATTACGCTGCACAAGATGATGATGAAGTAACTTTCATGGATGGAGATGTCATCATCAATGCACAGAAGATCGATGACGGATGGATGTTTGGAACCGTCGAAAGAACAGGACAAACTGGAATGCTGCCATCTAACTATGTCAGTGTCGCGCAATGAGCATATTACCTTGAGACTCTGATTTTGAATTACCAAAGTTTTCTTGCTGCTCAGTAAACTTGCTATATTTTGTGTATGCTATCGAGTGATTTACAAGGTTTAAAAATGTACATATTATAATCCATTATATAAGAAGCATACTTTGATTCACGGTACACAATTTCTGTTTTGTATATACACATACACTGCTTTGCTGCACCATTATTATATTACTGCTTATCATGTAACTTGGCCGTTTGCTATTATTTGTTTCTGCATAACAACATATTGTACATAGACTTTCATAAATGCAGTGTTGTCATACAATATTTAACAATTCACCACATGTATGGTATTAATTAATATTGCAACGTTCATGCCAAAATAAACTCAATGTTTGTGTTGCGAATAAATTTGGGACTGTTAACATAGTACTGCTCTTTGCCATCCTTGAGGTCAATCTGGTTATTTCAGAAGTGGTTTGTTCGCAGGATCTTGAGGTTTTATTCTATTTATCATGGCTGATGGTATTTATGTAAAATGCAAAAACCAAAACTGGTGATGCAATCATACTTCTAGGACTTCAGAGGTCAGTGCGAGCTTGAGTTAGGAAATGTATTTCAAGCGTATAACATTGAAACGAATAATCCAACCAGACCTTTACAAATGTTCCTGTATCATCAGGTATGGACTTTTTCTGGCTTATTTTACTTACCTTCGTAGTTGGGGGGTGAAGATATTTTCGAACTTTTCAAGAATCACAAAAGACTAATCCGTGCTATGTTGCATTGACTTTACGACTTCATTATACAACAGGATTCAAGAGTCTTGCTGCAAACTAAAACAAATGTAGCCTACTTCTGTAATGATTCGTCGGACCTGATCAAATAGAATTGTCATCTTCATTCTTGCTATAGCATCTTTGCGTTACACGCATAAAGCAGTTAGCCTTGCATACCCTTAACTGATAGTTCAATATACAATGTGTAAATTCATGGAATTCTACAAAAAGTATGTTTCAGATGTCTGACCGAACATATGCCTCACCCAATGTCTTATAACACCTGCCCTGAGCCCATTAACAATTACCGGTAGTACGTTTAATGTGATTTGACAGTTAATCTGGTAACAACTGTCAAACAATTCTGAATATTGAAGCTTTTTTTTACCCTCAAAGTAGGACACTTCTGCTAGAAACAGATGAAACCAACAGGTCATAGTGTGCCATCATATTGAAGCTTTTTTTTACCCTCTTAAGTAGGACACTTCTGCTAGAAACAGATGAAACCAACACGTCATAGTGTGCAATTATTTGCAAAATTGACAAAAACGAAAAAGTAGGATAATAAAAATTTGAAAAGGCAGTGATAGCAGACAGAACATTACATTTTCAGCACTGACACCAGGGCCGATAAATCTGTGGAAAATTTGCAATAGATTCCAGGTTAGGATATTTTACTCCGATCCCAGCTCCCTACTATAACAAAATCAAATATTGATAACAAAAACATTGGTATGCGAGCTTTATAAGAATGCTTGGAAAACTTAGAACACTTTTTGGGTTTCTGAAGAATTTTGAACCTTTATTATCAATTATCACCATTGACGGTATGAAATTCGAGCTCGGACATTCACAGCCCTGGGAGGCATATATGCAAATACCAATATAAAATTGGAATTTAAAAAATGGCAGATGGAGTCAACATTTCCGTAGCACTGACATGGGTATAACTAACAAAACGATGTGATGTTGATTAAAAGTCATCATCGTCATCTTCCATCACTGATATTCGCTTCCGATTTTTTCGTTGAAACGAAATTTCCATTTCTTCACTGTTTTTAGAACTGGAACGAAAGCAAAAGTTATTTTCTAGGAAAAGATTGAATAAGGTTTCTATTAATGGGAATTTGGCATGTTTTCACCGAAGTCTGAACTGGATTCTATTTTTCAAACAGCCAGGGTTGAATCTGGATTTCATATGTTCGATGGTGATAATACAAGTCAGCATTTTCTTCAGAAACTCAAAAAGGTCACCGAGGTCAGAGAGCAATATTGACAGTTTATTAAAGGAGGTTCACATAGGCAAATGTTTTTGTTATCAAGTTTGGAGCTGGAGCGAGAGACAAATTTTTATCAAATCGAAGTCGACAGTCGATTGTAAATATTCCCCGACTCCACAAACATTTTCAAAATAGATGAACATTTTCCAAACATACCTTGAGTTATTATCATTGTTAGGAAGATCCTGATTTTCTTTGTCATCTTCATCACTGTCATCCGACATAACCATTCTTTTACTTTTAGGTTGTATGACGTCATTCACATCTTCATCTTCTGGGATTTCAGAGTTGCTGCAATAATTACATACAATACTATATTGAATACATAATGAAAAAAATTACAATTCAGACCAGAAGCTGTCGGTGCTCAGACAGTGTGCCTCATATACAAAATATTTATATCCAGTGTTGGGGAGGCCCGAGTGATTCACTCAACTAGAGCTGAACTCAAGTTACCACTTATCACAGCCTCAAAACAGGTACTCAACTAACTGTCGGTGAAACTTAGATCTAAGATTGACTCGAAACTCAGATAACCTGTGATTCAGCTCATGGCTCGAGGTTTTAAGATAGTTACCCAAATGTTTTTTTAGTCTTCATGTCATACACAAAATACGGTCTGAACTGACACAGACAACTTTTTTGCCACATTTCCTAATCACAATGTAGTTATATTAACAATTAACCTTATTTTAACTCCAGAAATCGGCATAAATATATATAATATGTAACATGAAATATATATGGTCAAAATAAAGTGTTGAAACAAAATTTGTGTCTTACTTGTCTGTCGCGACACCGGTTAAAATGTTCCAGATATACAGTCAATCAACTACCTACTGTCATTTTACACATATTTTTTTTAGGATAAAACTAAATATTTTCAATAAGTTTTATAAAATGAGCCTAAGAGTAATATTGCACCAACACACAATTCACCTCTGCAAAGTATTCATAACCACAGCGTTGGCTGAATCTTGCGAAATAGCATCAGAATCTTCATCACTATCGTCCAGCAGAATTCTCTTACGATTTTTAGATTGTACTAGATCTTTCTCCACATCTTCCGAATCATCAGTGGGTCTAAAATTAAGTAAACATTAGTGCATGATATATTGCAAGAATATTGGAGTAAGCCAATAATCTCTACCACCTTGTCCGAGAGAAAGATAATTTTAAAACCATAGCATAATATCAATTCATTTCCTAACTATTCACTTCTTATTTGTCTGCATTCAGAACTTGCCAAAAATATTTAAGTATCAATAGAAATTTATCCTAAAAATAATTACAATTGGCGATTTAAGAAGTTCAAATCATTCATGTGCACAAAAACAAGCCCACATGTTGCATAGATTTAATATTCATATATTAAACTTTTGATTCTCCTGTAGTGTGTGTATCAGGTTGGGGTTAGGCCATAATTTTGTTACGATTTCCTTATTTTAGTTCTATTACGAGTTCGGGGACTGTTTGTGTTAGCCAGGTAAATAAACCCCCTGCCCATAGGTTTTAGTCACTTTACACAACTTGATAGTTATTTTTCAAATGTTCCATGATCCTCATTACAAAAAGTACGAACGTTGCAAGTTTGGAAATCTCCGGAGTTATCAAGTATTTGGCAGTTCAGGTCAAGCAATTGCAGTGAACTTTGAACTCTCAACTCTGTTCCTGATATTCGATGAAAACAACAAAACTAAGACCTGACCTGTTGATTTCATTCCGAGATTTTCCAACTTCATCATCATCCTCGTCGGATGTATTTCTTCGCTTTCGTTTTGATTGTTGAGAAAGTTCCTCATCATCACTTTCTTCCTGAACTCTCTTTAGAACATCTTCAGCACTGAAAAAATGAAAGAACAAATATAAAGAAGACATAAAATAGTGTGACAGTACTATTTCCTAACTAAACATTGAAAAATGGAAAGAAAAACAGAATCAATCAAAACTAAATTTAGTTACATATGTAACACTCTTCCGTTGATCGGTTATAGCTTCCTCTACCATAAACTCTACGCATTCGAAACAAATAAATGGTTAATCATTCCATATTCAACATGGACAGGTAATCAGAAGAGATGCTGTGGTAAGCCGGCTTTTCTCTCTCCCGGGATAAATATGAAAGTCCTATTTTACTTCAAATTACAATTGCATATGATACATTTGTAAACAGCAAACCACCAGTACCTTTCAATCCTTTCAGGTGAAGAATCCCTTTTCCTTTTGACAGGTTGAGATAAAATTTGGACAGATTCTTGCAATCCCCCAACTGTTAGATCAGGTGGGATCCTCCAAAACATTTCCTGAATAAAATAAATACACAGGATGAGTAAAAAAAAAAAAAACTTCTTCCTGAAGAACTAACAAATATGAAGGTTGTGTATTGGTAAGAACTGAGAGCGCACAGTTTGCTGAAAAGATCCGTGTACCAACAATACTAAGATCGAGCAGTAAAAAATTTTCCATGGAGTTAAAAATAAAATGGAATCAGCTGAAAATAACAAAAAAGGTATCTGTCCAGCCTAATGACTTGAAGAACAGAAAATTTGAAACTGATTGATATGTTGCAACAAAACCACACGGCACCATGGCTCCAGGCTCAAGTTCTTTTTATCTTTTAATAGATTCAACAAAATTCAAACAAATTCAACAAAAAAGTATTCAACCTGTCCTGTCGAAGGTTTATGAAGTCCGATAAAGCGTAACATTTTTCTGAAAGCAGAATTTTGCATGGCGTCTTCCTGCTCTTCCATGAGTGGCACAAGAGGTACGGCTTGAATTTCTTCATCTGAAAAAAAGAAGAGGAACATATAAAATTAAAATAATTACATGAATGTTTGAGAACCACTGCTCCAGCATGGGTGCAGCAAGCGGGAGGGGAGTAAGGGGGTCATAATTTATCACCTTGACCCAATAACTCTCCCAGCATAACCCCATCTCTGTTTAGAAAATACTGCCTGCAAACCTGAACATTCTGAATAATGACATTTTAAAAAAAAATTGTGTTTCAATAAAATAGTTATAGAAGATATGTATTTAGGTTCTTACAAGATAAACAAATAGCCTTTGTCATGCACTCAGACAATCTTGGTTGAACATACATTTCTTTAACTTAGCTTTCAACTTAGTATATTGTATTTGTATAATACTACTTTATACTCAAACTCACACTTAAATCGTATTACATTACCTGGGTTGGCATTACTTCTATCATCAATAGCTTGATTCAGACTAGATTTAACCCAGTCAATTTGTGAAGAAAATCCATCACTTGATGCTTTTCTGATGCATGATTGTAGATCTGAGAATCGAATACAAAATATTTTTAATATTATATATTTTATAGTAATAAAGATGCATACTTTCACAATGCTTCCATTAGAAGCAAGTAAAACTTTAGAAGTAACCTGTATTATATGGAACATTTAAGATTATGCTTGTTCAGCGAAGCCCAATTTTTTTACTTGTTCAACCATTCTTATGATTGAGATAATTAATTCATTACCAAAAAGTTAAACCTCAATAAAATATCGAATACGGTATATTCCCAATCGGGTCACGTTCGGAAAATTGAACAAATCATTATGAAAGCGTAGAAATGTAATTTTGTAATGTAAAATAATTTTGAGATGAATATTGATCTTCTTGTTCGATTATTGCAGTTTTTAAAGTGAAATGAAGTTTATTCTTATATGGACATCAGATATCAAATTTTCTGAAACAATCTTGTTTCAAATTAGAATTAAAAAAAACAAGACGTTACTTTATCGAATATAATTACTTCAAAAGTATTCAACTATTCATTTAGTTTTGGACATTCCTGAAATCAATTTTCTACAAGTCTCCTACTATTCATGTTAGGTACGGAAATAGTTTGCCAGATATTTGTTTAGATGCACGGACTTGATTTTGGAAGAAGCAGAACATATCGCAATTCATCTTCCTCCTTGGTATTCGAACCTGCGAATCCACAAAGGGTCATTATATGTGCGATGGCAAGTGTATTCCTAACACTTAGCACAACGCAATCAACAGCCACCGAGCCTTTGTTTACCAGTTGTTACAGTAAAAAAGTGTTTTTTAATCCAATAAACCTGGCAAACACTATTCTTATGCTTTACAAGAGATCAATTTTTAATATACAAAAATTAAACTGCAAACAATTCCTGCACAATCTCATCCTACCTATCAGAGCCCAACTATCATCATCATCTGATTCTGAATCATCATTTCGATTGACAGCGTCTTCATTTTCGGAATCATCAGATCCACCAGCTATGAATATGACATGAGAAAAATGGATGAAAATTATATATACCCTGTCAGGTGGTGATCACAGGGTGTTTTATAGCATTTCCATATTTTAAAATGAAAAAGAAATGTTATAAATATGTTACTAACTTATTGCACTTATTGATGATCTACATGAAACTGGGAAAGATTCAAAATAATAGGAGATTGTCTGGATGTGTGTGATTTGTTGAGATCATAATTATGTCAATTCTAATAAATGATCTACTAATCAGAGCTCTGGACCCAAACAGTGGTGGAGTTCGGGCAGTTCATACGATCCCGTTCTTAGAATGTCGTGATAATCAGGGAACCCGTTCTTGTTTTTTGTTTTAGACATTAAATGACGTCCGCACATGGGTAACATGAACCACATCTGACGACTAGCATTATATTTGGATAAGTTATGCATCACATTTATGTAAAGCATTTCATGTTAATGTAGCTTACATAATCACATAACTACATTTTCTAAAATGAGGCAACCTGTTGTAAGTGGGTCTGATGCAAAGGAGAACCCGTTCTTTAAATGTTGAATCCTGGCACTGGACGAAGGTATGTTGCCGTTATTGGTCAAAGATCTCACGCTTATCACCTCAATAAAATGAGTTGGCAATGTCCTTGCAAAAATAGTGGCTCCATAACATTTGCTTGTACAGAGCCTTATACAGTGTGAAAACAACTCATAAACATTTGGATCAAATTACGAACAACCTAAAAACAGAAATGGAATCCAGAAATACTGACCGTGCATTATGGCATATTCTTTATTTTTACTTGATCCTTCTGCTCTCTTCCTTCGTTTATGAAGTTCTTTCCTTTATAAAAAAAAAAGAGAAAACCTTATGTATATGTACAGATGTGAAATATAACTTATATTATAAAGCACTGATTTTTGTAATAAAAGTACTTTATATGTTGAGAGTTAAGAAACGAAAGAAATTGCAACCATGAAATTATAAACTCTAGGTCTGCTAGTTTTCAGTTTAGCCAATCTGGGTGCTGCAGTGGATTTGAAGGAATGACAAGGAAACAAAAATGCTCAGTAATAGATTTTGCTATGTTTAGAATAGAATACACACGATTACACCAGATATATATTGACAAGACCAGATCCAGGATCCAAATCCAAAAGCTATGGCTCCCAATGAAACATGTGATGATTTACAGAAAATTTTAGACACAAATGTATTTTTGTTTCATGTGATTTGAGGCCAGAATTTCTCATAGAAGGAGCATAAGTAGTTAGTCTCTCTCGCGTTAATCCAACTGATAGTAGATTTGGCAGTATTTGAAAAATATTTCCACAACCCTATGTAATCAACTAACATAAAAGTTCGATTAGAAAGAACAAATTTCATATCGTTAGTAGACGATCTCATTTAGTCGTTGAGCACCTCACATAAACCAATGTGATAAAAAAAAATAGATACCTGTCTTGTACGAGACCCATAGCAAGAAGTTTCTCAATGACTTTTCCTTTCGATTTTTTGCAAGTCATCATTTGCATTATGTTCCCAAGTCGATCTTAATATTAATTAAAGAAATTGTCCAACTTAAAGGTTTAAACATCATCATAGTATTCTACATAATATAATTATATAGAAGCGTGACATAAGAAAATATTTTTTCTTTCAAAAATCGACCATGTGCGTATAAACCTAATGTATGAATCAGGTAGGGCTCTATGCAATATAGCCTACACTCAAAACCAGTACCGATACTATTGTTTTATAAATAAACCACCTTTTCACATTTTCTTTGAATGAAATAAAATAACCATAAAAATATTGAAGTGTTTTTTTGTTTGATGAGCTTTGTACAGAACCCGATATTCCCTGAAAACTGTCACGTTTTATAGTACAATGATATGACCCGGTGCGCCTCATGGTTCCGTAAAATACAATATGCATTTAAAGTATAATTCAAACTATATTTTTGTTTAGATAGATTACTTTGGCAGAAGAGGTTCCCATATGAATTGAGATGCATACAATTGAGACAAGTGAGACAAAGCTTAAGATAAACCACAATTATACAGTACTCAACTATACAAAAATTTCTATACAGGAAGCACCTTGGTTACAGCTTAAAATAAATAATGAAATATTAATGCATAAAAGTGATATAATCGGTAACGTGACTAATGAAATATAAAACCCAAATCACCATCAGAATTTTGGTATTCTTCAAAAAGTCTTCTTAATTCCATTTCTTCATCTTCTCTCCATACTGTTGGTCTTGGTCTAACAAACAAATGATACAATAACAGTATGGATTTGCTACATTTGATTGATGATATTTAAAAAAAAAAGTAATATAAAATTCAGATAATGGGTGTTGCTATTTTACCTTTGAATATTGACATTCCTATGTGAAATCATAATTGTTTCCAATTTTAGCAAGTAAAATGTTATAGAGGTCAAGATTTTGGTATGAAATATCTTTGAAAAAATTAAATTATAACACACTGAAAAGTGCATATATGGATGAACATCTGTCATCAAATTAATAACCAAGCGAGTATATGCCATAGATTGAATGCACGGCCAAGGTGCATTCCATCTATGGCATATACTTGGCAAAGCTCTCTAAAATTCTTATTTACCCTTTCTTTCTTTTTAATTCTGCGGCATCATTGGCAATACCAAGATTTAATAATTGAGAGACGACCTGACGCCTTGCACGAGATTCATCTGTTATTCTTGCAAGAATGCAGTCAACAACATCTGAAAATAAATAAACAATTTTGACAGTCATATGTTCCTCAGTCCTAGTTAGTTACAGACCTAAGGTTTAAGCCCTCACTAGACAAATAAACACCAAAATCATGATAAAATGTGTTCAATGCTATTAAACCATTTTCAAATCGCAGCACTCGGGCCATGCAATGTAACTATTTTTTTGTACAATATCATATTTGCTACACCAATTTTATCTACCGGTACTTGAATCTCTCAATGTTTAGAGTTATTGGCGACGACAATGTGCCTATGCTGCCTTTAGCATAATACCACTGCATTGAAAGGGTTTGGAAATTCTGCAGTACTGAGTCTTGTTGTATAGAGCAGGAATGGTCAACCTATCAACACCTAGCGACTGACTTATCCATAATAAAGCTATGCACAAAAATTAAAGAGTACTAGAAATACTTTTCTCTCAGAATTAAATAAAAACAACAATTGAATGGACATTCTGATGTCACTGTTGCAGTTGTAAATAAAATATATTACTCCATAGTATATCGTCTTTTGGGCATGTACAGCATTCCCCCTTTTTGAAACGCAAAACAATCCCTCCGTGACACTAGTGGAGGGCAATTTTTAGCATGCTGTTGAGTTGGATCAAAATCGATCAATCAACTACTCCAACCGTGATGATCGACTGGTCGATCACGACCGACGTTGTCGGCCACTCCTGGTATAGAGTAAAAGTAGTAACAGAAACAAGAACTTGTTTCCAGACATTCACGAACTGCTAACCTAATTCTCCATCTTTAAATTCATCATATAAATTAGCAAGTTCTTCTTTTTCTGCTTCACTCCATACAACTGGCTTTTTAGATCTGGAAGAAAAAAGTTTAAAACATTGTATTTTCATGGCAGAAAATAAAAATGAATTCGACAAACTAAAATGGCAAAAGACTATGCTAAAAGGAAACTTTGAAACAAGTTTACATACAACCAGAATAGAATGATAGGAACAAGAATAGGAATTCCATATTTATCTCAGGGGAGAAAATTTCTCCTAATCCAATTTGCTGATAGCCAGTCAGTCATTCGCAAGGAAATCTGCCAGAATGTAATATTTAATAACTTGGTGTCTTCAAAATACTAAGCATAGGTAATTAAAATTCAATATGAAAAAACTTTACTTTGAATTAAGTCACTTCTTTACTACCAAAATTATCGTATTTTACGTATTTAAGTTGCACTTGAAATATTTTATTTTCCCTCAAAAATCGATTGTGGATCAGGTAGTGAGTTATGCTTCATTGCGTAGATTCAAAACCCATACCAGTAAGTACCCTTTGCGTCCTATAGCCCTATGTGCCTTATGCATAAAAAAACAATCTGATAAATTTATTGGCAGTGCACCTTATAACCGTCATGGTCCGAAAAATATGGTAGATAACTGTTTTAGCTTTAACATCATTATAAATTTTTTTATATATTCATTCTACCCTGATGCATTAGAAAAAGATCCGTATCCTTCTACTAATTCATAGACATGAGCATTTGTTTGTTTCCAGAATAAAATTTCAGCAAATAGTTTATCATTTTTAGGAAGAACTTCAAAAAACTTTTGAACAATAAATTTTGCAAATTGGTCCAGTTCTCGCATTGTGGGATCCAGTAATGCACATTTGAAAATCTGAATTAAGATGAAAAAATAGTTATATTGGGTTAAAAAATGGTGAACATAGATTTAAAATTTACAAAAAAAAATTTTTATGACCGGATTAAAGGACAATAGGTCAATAGGAATTATTCGAATGCTCTTACCTTTTGAAAACATCTAAATACAGAAGCTTGAAATAACAACCCATACATTTTTAAATCGTAACATACTCGATGAAGTAATTTGACGATACAATGATTGGTATGTTGTGAATTTGTTTTGAATTTTGCCAATAATATCACATATGGTTGAACAACCTTGTAGTCTGAAAATCTAAATAGAAAGAATGCACAAAATGGATAGTATAGTATGAAAGCATATGTCAAAACTAAAGTTTAATTAACAACTTCAACACATATTATAGGAATCGATATATATTTTTATTCTGCATAATCATATTCTTTTTGCTCCAACCAAGGCACTACACAAGCTAGCTGCTGCTAGGCCAGGGCTCTTCAAACTAGGGGCTCCAAACTGTAGGCCCAGACCCCCCAGTAAAATATTTTTCGACACTCATGTTAAACAAAATATAGATCAATTTTGAAAGATTTGGCACTAGCACTGAAACCCATCATCACAGAAATAGAGTCAAGATTCTATCCTTTGTGCGAGAATTTGCAAGCACATCGGCCTTATAAAATATAACAAATTTTTGCTGTAATATAAAATTTTATTTTTATTTTAGTTCCTGAGAGTTGCGAAAAAAATTTGGCCGTACCAAGTGGGTCATGATGAAAAAATTTTGAATAACACTGCACTAGACAACACTATAAGTAATATTCCTAATTTCAAAAAACTGAATATAATACGCAATTGAGAGTACAAAATGAACACACAAAGTTAAAATTCAGAAAATCCATCACTGAAAAGTAATCAATTAAAAATCTACTTTTTAAGATAATCAGTCAGATTAAATTCAACTTCTCTGCTTGATGTTTGAATAGATTCTTCTTCCTCTTCTTCATCCTGTTCTTCTTCCTGATTTTCTGATTCTTGATTATCTGTAGCAAGACCTGTACATTGCAATCAAATATGGATTACACACTATTGCTATAGAGCAGACGGTCGATTGGGTCTTCTGTGAATTTGTGCTATTCTGTAACCATGATTTTTTGAAATTTCTTGCAGAAACTCTAAAGGCAATTACCGGTAGTTCACCGGTACTGTAGTAAGGCATATGCCAATATTTTTGTTATCAAAATTTTCTTCAACCTGAAGTCGGGAGCAACCAGTTGTCAGGTTTAAAATTTTCCGCCAACTCAACGGTTCTGCTTATAATAACTTGTTATTTTCACAAAAGTAATACAAGTCCTACCTGTCATATCAGCCAAACAAATCTCCTTTAGAGTCGAAACATCGTCTTCCCAAGTTGATACAGAAGTTCCAAATATGTCAATTTCTGGCCATAGTTCTCTGAAAGTAACCAACTGTTGGAGTTACAAAATTAACAGTAAAATTCACTGTAATATTTGTCCATAACCACATATGCATCAACAACTGACACAGAAACCATAGCATCAAAATTGTGTATGCCAGACGATAACAGTGGAATTGGAAACTACATTCACATATGGAACATTTGACCGAAAAACCTGGCGGACGGACCCCAATGGGTAAATAAAAATTGCATTCACATATAGAAGGACTGACACAAAACCATGGCATAGAAATTTTGTGTGATGAACCCCAATCGCAGAATGTGAAACCGCATCGCCATATGCAATATTTAACACAAAATAATACAGAAGGTTCAAACACACTGATTTAGGACATAACAAAAAAAAATCATCACTTAAACTTACCTTGCTTGTTTCAATATCACGACTGCTTCTGGTATTGTCCTTGAATGAAGTTTGTTTTGAATTTTTACGAGCGCTTTCTGTTGTTGTTCCTCCTCTGGAACATCAGAAGTTGGATCAAACAGATCAGAAACAGGGCCTGCTTCTGGTAAATCACCATTCTGCAATGGAAAAAATACTTTAAATCAAGACAATTCAGCAACTAGAGTAAAAATGAATGTGTTTATAAAGAATCTTGCTAAACCATACATAGTAATGTATAGTGATATACATACACAATTTGCCCGTATGGGTATTCGTATTAGTACGAGTAAGCTTGGTAGTTACCATTCGTTATAAGTTTCACAGAAAAGTAGTCCTTGCAGAAGTTTTGATGCTCATTTTGAGAGTATTTTCGAGAGTTGGCGCTTATAAACAGGTTCATTATTCAGAACTACTACTTTTTTTAAACAACATTTAAACATGTGCCGCTCACAGTTACAGGTTTATTTTTTTAAATTTTTCGCTTAATTTTCGTATATTGCAACTAAACTAAAGCTTCTTAGAAGACAAAACATTTGATTTACTTTTAATTTTTGGAAACACACCTAAAACGAGACTTTATTTACAACCATGCTTTAAATTCTATCTATGCGAAAGAAGTGTCTGAGCAGTCACATAAATTTTAATTGTTGCCCTATTTTCAACTGATTGCTGACTGATTGGTCATTGCTACAGAAATACGCAATGAAAATCGATGCTCAGGTAACATCTATAAGATGCAAGCTGTAGAAAGAACTAAACTAATCTTTATCCTCAATTGAACTATAATACATACATAGTCTAATCTTGAAAATGTTTCATTGTTTTATTAGATGTCTGTGATATTTTCTTAATTGAAGCGATGTTTGTTTTTGGTTGATTTTTTCATTTTCAAATCTGGGATATTTTTAACAAGTTGACTTTTGAAGTGTATTACTTCATCAACTTTTGTATTTACAATAAAGAGCATTCTCAATCATTCTGCAAATTCTGCTCAAATTAAATTTCTATGATTTTAGAACAGTTTGTGTAAATTTCCCTGTGAAACATGGCCCAATTTAGAAAAAATATTCCAGGGCCTATTCAATACTCTTCAGAATGTATTCAAAATAGTGAATTCTGGGCATCACTGAATGTAATTATTTTCCAATATTCAATCTGTTTTAGACATCCCTCGGAGATGACAAAAAATTTTGAATGTATGATAACGTTACCTGCAAGGTTGTTTTTACGTCTTCTTCAATTTCACTCCACCTGATTGTTTTTTCTTCGTCAGTCAAAGTATTAGAATCTGAAGCTGCTGTAGTTGTAGATCTCTTTTTCTTTTTTGTTTTCCTTTTAACTTTTTTCTTCTGTACTACAATATTACTGCCTCTGCATTGTCAAATAGAAACAACTTAGAATTACTGATAGGCTGCTAAGAATTCAGTCGATATCAACATGGAATTTCAAGGTTCAAGGGCCACAAATCATAAAAGTTTGAGAACCCCTGGAGTAGACCTTCTGGGTATTTATTCAAATTTATATTAACTTGTTAATATTTCCACAATTAACTTTTTTAAAATAATAGTTTTTAAAATGGAGATCACTTACTTGCAATAGTTTTCGAATAATCTTATAAACAGATGAGTTGTTTGTATCAAGTCATCAAGAAATCCGTGTGATAGTTTAGATTCATCATATTTACGAAGCAATGTCAAAAAAATTTCACGATATTCTGGTGTGTAGAAGATATTATCTGATTGGAAGAAAACATTTGATGGTAATTGCTTAATTTTAGCAGAATAAAAATATTCAGTATGAATATTGGAATTTGAAGGTTTATTCATTAGTAACCATAGTTTTGTCGAATATTTCCCGATTTTTAGTAGAAAAATTCAATTCGATTTGGAGTTCCTTAATACTAAACTATTCTGATTTGCCTTTACAAAGAAGGTTGACTTACTTCAGCATTTCTGCTATTTTGGACACAAAATGTACATAATGAATCATGAATTCTTGTTGTTGTTGGGTGATCGTTATTGCTGAGAATGAATCACCTTTCTCCACCAATAATTGGCCATTAGATCTCTAATTTGCATTATTTTAAAGCTGTTCTGGACCGATAGAAGGATATTAATTGTTTCAAAATTCCTATCAGACCTAATATTTTCCCAAAATTTTGCTGTTAATATAGATTAAATAGAACACAAAATTTATCCCTTCACAGTTCACACCCAATCGCCTACGTCACACTTGTCCGCTTTTCTTTTCAGCAAACTCAGTGTTCTGGACCTTAGAGGCTATGTTCACGAATTCCAGCTTTGTTCGCATGCAATTTGGAATATGAAAAATTTAAAATTGATTGGATATTTGAACTGCAGATATCTGCAATTTACAGGCTTTAAACAGCAAACAAAACAAAGTCTGCTCACTCAATAGCACTTTGGCACTCTCTGCAACAGTTTCATTCTTCGATGATTGCATTGTTTGTACAGTAAGGAGAAATTCTTTGTAACCTTGCAATGCTAGATGCATCCTGCAAATCGATAAACATACTGATATAAAAAATGAATGAAAATAAATAACGAAATAGCACTTGTATTTTTAAAGTTGTAACATAAGAAAGCTAACCTTATACATACGAGTTACTCAGATTATAGCTATCTGACAGGTACAGTCATGTAACTTCAAATTCCAGAATATTATTTATCCTAATTTTGAACTGCTCTATCTTTATTAAATTCTAGAATAAGTGCGCTAGGAATCCTAGGATCCTTTATATCTGCTTATAGTAGAGGAAACCATACTTCGCAACGCATTTGCTTTATCATACAAATTATAGAACACTGAAAATAAAATTTAGACTTTATTAACATCAAATTATGCCCTAAAAGCTTACTCAAATGTAACAATCAGTTTGAGAACCATTAGCTTATTTGCGAGTCGGTCTAATATAAGCGTTGGAATAGTACATTCATGGATGTCCGAAATGAATCAAATTGCGGACCTCCTGAAGTATGCGCACCAAGATGGCGCACAACCTGAACATAGTATGTGCGTACCAGTAGGATTAAGGTTGTGCGACATCTTGATGTGTATACCTCTAATCTAGAGCAACTAAATTTCATTATATTCAATATAAAAATTTTGAATGTAGTTTTGAAATATTCGGTTTTGACCATCCCTGATTACATTCCAAACTGACAGCATTGCTTCGGGGCCAGAGGGTCACAAATAACTTCCCCACATTATAGCTCCACTAAGTTTGTCATAATTTTTTACAATTTTTTAAAGCGGCACAAGCTGCCAAGCAGTTGGATTTAGCAAGCCTTGTTTCCAACAATGATGCATAAACATTATATAAGATATTTGTATTTTGGAAATCCTATCTATACCTTCTTCCCCAAGTCTTAGATTCCTGCTTATCAGTCATCATTAGTTCCATGCAGTTGACAATACTGATATCGATGAAATGAAGAGTAGGAAGTTGCATTGTTTCAGACACAAGATCAATATGAAATTCATGTTTTCTAGGAGAAATAATCTCTATGTTACGAAATCATAAAAATTGAAATTTCTTCAATAATAATTAATTTAAAGATTTTTTAAATAGCCGGATTACTAGATTTAATATTTTTGATATAACAGATTTGAAAATAATCTTAAAGCAGCAATTCACCAAATTTTCATGATGACGCTGTCAATTCATCATTAGATATCAATGGCAATCCTGTCCATACAACCTATCAATAACATAAAATTTTCCAGAATATTCGGTACTCCCGGCGGCCGAATATTCAACCACATATGTCACATAGAATAGGATTTTCATATTTATACCAAGGGGAGGAAAGATGGCCTAATTGTATGGCAAACAACTCCCGTCCGGCTACCAGGCCATGTCGTGTAATTAGTCAACCAGTTATTCCAGATGTATGGACTTAATGATGGAGCAATAGATTTCGAGTTCAGAAATCCCGTCACTCATAATCATCCTCCACAAGATTTGAACATGCAAACCCGCACAGGGTAATCAGAGGTGCATGGCAAGCGTATTCCTACTGCTTAGCACGATGCGAGAGAATCAAAAATTTGTGTATTTAATTGTATTGTTCATGATTCCAATAGCCTCCTATAGTAAGTTGGTTTTTCTGACACTTTCTAAATAGGATTTCTGCCAAAGAAGATAAAAAAACACGGTAATTTTACACCTTACTACAAGACCAAACCTGTTAAATTCCATTATGAAGCTCATAATACTGAAATAATAAGTTTCATCGTGTTCATCAGAATTCTCTCTGCTTAATTTATCCTTCACATTGAACATCAAATGATTATAGCCATTATTCAGAAGTCCGATGCAAAATTCTTTTAATATTTTTCTGACTTCTAAAGTTGATCGCCTTGGAAATAACATTATTGGTATTGGTTACACCAAAGATTGAAATGCAAAGGTATATGCTCTTCAAAAATGCAGTTTATTTTAGGATAAAATGGTTTATCTTTACCATAGGTTAAAATTTTGTAAGTGGAGGATAAGTGGCGTTTTGAATAATTGGTTTGGAGGTATAAATTGTGGCAATCAAGTGAAAAACATCAACAATATTACACAGTACACACACCTCTTAACATTCCCATCGATCAATGGTCTCCTATGTTTTGCTTTACGAAGTTTATTTTTTCCTTCATCGTAAGTAAGGTTAGAGCACTTCTGTAGAGATTTGTGAATAACAAGTTCATTATTATCTGCCAAAGCTGATTTTCCTTTAGCAACATAGGTCCCACCAAACCTCGAATGCCTGAAAATAAATAAGTTAGTATAGGATATATTTCTTCAAACTGGGCCCTCGATTCCAGAATGGAGCCACGAAGCGGTTCTCTTATAGTAAATTGACTGTAATTTGCTTACAGTAATTCTTTAGCTGTGAAGCATGTTTAAAAATTCCAACCTTGAACTTTGCTGTAATTTTCTCATCTGTCTTCTTTTTTCTTCTTGTAATCTTAATTGTTTTAACTCATCTCCCTGTCTTTCACGTTCTTGAGCATTATTCATTCCAATCAGAGCATCTACATTCTAAAATTGTTGTAATAAACCGATTTAGTGGGGCAATATTCCAAAATTACAAATTATGTTAATGTCTAGATCCAAAAAACACAATGATTGCTTACCTGTTCTTTAAGCAGTAGTGAAATAATCTCAGCAACATGTAAACACCATTGTTGTTCTGTTGTTGAACTGGCCAAGTATAAGACCATTGAATCAATCCCAGATGTATGTAATGCTCTGAAAATAACTTTTGATAATAAATTTATAAAAAAAAATAAGAAAAATGAATCAGCCAACATCTTTGAGATATTAATTAAAAGGTGGTAAAATATTCCAAGCACATCGGTCGCATTAAAGGTACTCTCAATTTTTCAGTTTTTTTTAAATTGCCACTGTATTATTGAATTCTACTTTCATTTTTATTTTAGTTCATGGAGAACTTTTGTGCGAGAATATGCAAGCACATCGGTCGCAATAAAGTTACTCCCAAGAAGCATTATTTACTGTATTCATACATTACAAGTCTATCATGTGTAGACATATTGTCAGCAGTCTGATTGTCATCTTCAGTGGTTGGAGGAACATGCAGCAGATTACGACATAATACAAGAATACGTTCAACAGTGATCGAATCATCCGGTGATCTGTCCTCCCAATCTTTTTCAAGAATATCATAAACTTTTTGTGCCAATACTTTCCATGTTTCGTCATTTGAAAAATTCTTATGAATAAATACATTTTGAATAAGACTTCACAAGAGATGTGAATTTTTCATCTATTATGTATCGAAACATGTTTTCCTCCTTCGAATAGAATATTGCCATAAAATAAGTCTCAAAATGGATTAGGTTACTAAAATCAGACTCATTTAATCACTTGAAAATTGATGCCCTAATTCAGTAGAAACACCTGAAGGCGAAGCCCAAAATTATTAAACATTCTTTATTCAGTTTCTGGAATAGCATCTCACGAGTACCCACCTCTTTATATTCCTGACTGTGAGACAAAATATCCAGATAATTGTGATATTGATCAATTTCTGTTGGAATTTTGTTACCATAACACAACAGAGCTGGTTGAGTAAGATTCACCAACAGCCTATAATAAGAGAATTTCTAACGAAGTAAAAGCAAAAAGTGAAAACTATAACCAAGAAAAATCGGAAAAGTTTCAAGAAATAAATCAAGGCAGTGGAGTAATCTGACATATTTCCTTGGTGTTTGGAGCCAAAAAATAAAAATAAATAAAAAATTTTTGATCAAAGCATTTCTAACAGCCATAAGAAAGTTTGCATACCCAAAAGCTTTCAATATCAAATTCTATTTCCATGGGAATTCAGATCTTCAGTTGAAATTATCAAGAAATAGGAGTGGGGAGCTAAAGTCTTGAGTCCATTTTTTTATGCAACTATCGAACTGGAGTTGATTGTAAATTTTCCCCGATTCCACAATTCTGATTTGCATTGGACAACACAGAAAATTTTGAGATTTTAAGTCGAAAATCAGTCAGAAATAACTTTTGAAAATAAATCTGTGAATCATTGAAGCATCCATTATTAGTTGTTAAGCTTACCTTAGTACAGCAGCACATAACGCATCATCATCTGGGTATTGACGTAGAATAGGAAGAAGGTCATTTCGCACAATGTGCCCTGCTCCGAGTTGTATGCGAATTTCATGATTATTGTCCTCCGAATGTAGAAATCTTATGAGACATTTCACAGTGTCTGCAATGGAATGATACTATGAACATCCCAAACAATAATTCTCCATTATTAAACTGTTGACTATTGTCCTCACTGTTTGCACCAATTGTACCACCTGCAATTCATTTATAACACCTGCACCACTCACAACAAACATACCACTTGCATCATTCAACTGTACACTATCAGCACAGTATCATTTGCACTATTTGTAACAATTTTACCACATGTCCCACATGCACCAAACATACCACTCAAACCATATGTCCCACAGTATCATTTGCACCACTAGAATCTCTTGTCAAATACCTACACAATGAGAGGTCTTAAAATGATGCCTGACATAATTTACTAATTGAAACGAAAGCATATCAACTTTATCAAGTGTATTTCCAGAAAAATATTTTCAAAACATGATCATGCCTGAAGTATGAATATGATCACCGGTAATAATCTTTCAGAGGATGATTAACCTTAGAAATTGTAACAAACTAGCAATATGGGTGATATTTCACTCCCAATTAGGCTGACATTTTTAGGCCAATTTACATACAGGCAGCATTAACATCCCATGACATGTAATGGCATACTACACATTTCCCTAACACTATTAAAGAAATAAAACACAAGCTTAGCTCAAAAACGAGGATTACGGTATATATATTTGCTTATTGATAATTAATATGATTGCGATATACCAGTATTTCAATACCATTTTCAGCATAGTTGAACACATTGCAACACAGTACAGGTAACCAAACCTACCTATGCAGTCAGGTTCTTTGAAATATCTGTCATCTTCAAGATAACCAAGAGCATTACAAGTGGCAAGAAGATCACTATCCATTATATCTATGCATTACCTATACACTACCAACTATGCGAGACACAAAATACAATCAATAGAAACAATCCCATGATATTATAAAGACATTATTGTAAAAGAATATCAAACCAACAAAAACTGGCCGCAATATCATAACATAGCTTAGCACTAGCAGATAGTAAACAAATAGGACTGTGAATTTATGATCAGCCATAGAAATACTGAGATGAAACAAAATCTTGATGTAACTCTCAGATATACAGAGTGTTCATAAAGTCCTGTTACAATTTCAAAATGCAGTTCTCAATATGCTTGGGATTGTTTTATTTTAATCAGTGCTAATTCAAGTTTTTTCACTTCATTAAATAAACCTTTAATATACGCCCACTATTAATTAGTTGCATGAAGCACATCAATGTTCATTTATATAGGACTAAATGAATCCCCTGTAGTTCAATAACCAATATTCAGTTGAGTTGTTCCAAAAGTTGTTGAACTTTTTTACCTCTGATAGCAGCGCAACCCATGGACTAATATTGAAAGACAGCATGTCATTGTTTTATCTCTTTGCTTGATAAAATTACAACATTTAGTTGTTCAAATTTCATTAACCATTCTCAGTTTACAGGTATAGTACAAGAGCAGGTAAACTTGTATGATCTTCAAATGGACATTTTTACCAACTAACTCCAATAATTCATTTTTATAAATAGAGGAACACTTTCATATCATATCTTCTTTAATCCTTTGCATTGCCCAATAACAAACTATCCAAAATACAATTATCCAGTGCTTTTTGGTATACTGTAAATTCAGTTGTTTTCTAACTGGTACAAGATTGCAGTAATCATGGGAAAAAATTTTAAAACCCAATTTTTGAGCCTATTTTGTAAATATGATGAAAACTTAATAAATGGTAGCAATTCCAGGAAAATATATTGAACTACTGTGTTCATTTTGCCCACATTAAATATCGCACAGATAATATTCAAATATTGCCCAAAATAGGCGTGACCATGGGTAAAGGAAATGACACTGTACATCACAGAACAATAATAAAAAAACAAGAAAATTCAAGAGTATAAAATAAGTGTCACTACGCTACCGAATCAAACAAATGTATTAGTAAATGGAACATCACATTTTTACAAAATTTTGGTATGTTTGATTGATACTTCTGAGTTCTGATCTTTCGACAACATACTTAACTTAAAAAATATCAACAAAATTTGAAAATAACAAGAAAAAGTATGCTCGCGCGCCACCTCACACTCCTAATAAAATTGCAGCAAGCGGCAGTCTACCTCAATGTGAAAATTTGGGAAGAGTTTAAATAACAGCAGTCGACATAAGATTGATAGCCATGTTGAAATATTCCTACAAGAGAGATTGTAAAAACTCACTATCATTAGCCACTGTATTAAAGTTGATATTTCACGCCCATCCATCAAAGCTGAAATATTTTAGGTCAAAGTCATGTTGTGTAACGTAACATTATAGTTTCAAGATTCAACTTGACTGAGTTCAACACCAGCTGATCCGTTCTCTTGATCTTCATTGTAAATGTTTTCAGCCATCTGCCACACTTGCATAATGTTATCTTCTGACACTGAACAAATTGTCCAAGGTTCATTTGGATTCCAAGAGAAGTCTGATATTTTAGAAGTATGTCCGCCGTGAACAAAAAGCAGTTCAGGAGGTCCGTCCTCTGCATCTTCATTCGATTGTTCTTCTCCAATTTTACTGAGATCCCAAACGTTCAATCGTCTGTCTGTTCCACTCGACGCAAGTATCGTTTCAGTATGAGGTGACCATTGAACTTGGAAAATTTCATCTTTGTGACTGTCAAATGAGTGTAACTTGAGTTTTAGATTTCGCAAATCCCATAGTGCGACAGTTTTATCAGCTGATCCAGTTGCTAAAATGAACTCACTATATGGGTTAAATGAAAGACAGTTGACTTCAGCTGCATGAGCGCTGACAGTGTGACTTGGTTTATCAGAACTAGTAGATCTTGTGTCCCAAATCATCAAACTTTGATCATCAGCGACGGAACCAAACAAACTTTCATGCAATAAATGCCATGCTACATCTTCAACCACAGCAGAATGGCCTCTGAAGATCCTCTTAGCATCGAGGGTCTTTTTGTCTTTAGGTGCAGAATTGACGTCCCAAAGGCAAACAGTGTGATCATCTGATGCACTTAGCAAATGACCAGCAACTTGGTTATTCCATGACAAACCATAACCCTCTTTCAAATGACCTTTTAAGCGAAGATCAGGGCAGCTTTCACCATTAGGATTTGGCTTGCTGGGGTGCTTGGTATAGTCAAAAATGAGGACATCACAGGAGGGAGTTTTTGTTGCAATTACACAAGGATTTTGTGGCATGTGCCTTGCTCTATTGACTTCTCCTTCATGATTGATTTTGATCTCAATTTCGATTTTTCCAGCAACAGATCCAAATCCACCGAATTCACCCCTTTCACCATCATAGTTTGAGGTATCAAAATGCCCATCGTCTGTAGGAAGTTGTACACTACCAATAATCAGATGATTCTGTTCATCAGTAGTATGAGTACCAAGAATAACACGATGTACAGTGTATTCTTTATTCTCAGGTCTGGTGACATCAGGCAACCATTGAACTGTAAGACTCGGCCATTCTAAGGCATGAGTCATTACAAGGTCATACAAAAAAGGAGTGTTTTTCTTCCATATTTTATATTCTTCATTTATCACTCTCTCTTCCAATGCTTCATCACCACCTATGGCGGCTGAGCTAGAGGCACTTTGTGTTTGAGCCATAATTTTGAATATGCTATAGCAAACGATATGCTTACTTAATAAAACTATAATACCGCAATCTAGATACACATGAGATAGAGAGAATCAATGTTAGTGTAATCTTAAGCTAAGAAAGCAAGAAACAAGACGATTTCACAATGAATGTTTGGCATCTTATCTTGACAGCTATGACCGAATAAACGATTAGAACAATAAAAACAAAATAATACATGATTTTTTCACGCTGTCACCTTACCAGTACTATATACTTGATAACAAAATTTTTTGAAATAAAAATTAATTGCACAAGGTACGAAATATTCATTAATTCATTGCATACGAAAAAGCTTAGGCTATTGAAGAAATCACTATTATTAAAAATATTGCAATGCGAAAAAAAATGGACAAATACAAAAAAAATTCCACCACTAGAATAGACACAAGCACACACCATATCTAAAATCCGACCATAATAGATTATACCAATTAAGTTTACACCAATGAGCAAAATACAGGCCTAAAGACTTTAAACATAATCTTTTTCATTCAAGTTCAAGAATCTGAGTGCATTCCTAAACAGCACCTTTTCCTTTGTCTCAGAATTTAAAGATTCCGTTGATTCAATCAATTTACCAGGGTGATGTTCCCCCAGGGGAAAAGGATAATCTGAGCCAAGAATTACATTATCCTCACCAATAACCTCCAATAAAAACTTTAAAGCATTAGCGTCATGTACAAGACTATCTGTAAAAATCTTCCCAATGTATTTACGCGGTCCAAATTTATTTTCTGTTGCACAGAGATCTGGTCTTACATTGAAACCATGTTCAATCCTTCCTAATGTATATGGAAATGACCCACCGCCATGACCAAAACATATTTTTAACTTGGGGAACTCTTCGAGAACGCCACCGAATAAAATACACTGTATTGCGAGTGTTGTTTCCGCGGGCATTCCCACAAGCCACGGCAACCAGTATTTCTTATACCTGCCACCAAGTGACATGTCCCAAGGATGAACAAATATAGCAGCATCTAATTCCTCTGCCTTTTTCCAAAATGGTCTTAACTCTTGAGCATCCAGATTCCAGTCATTAATATGAGATCCAATTTCAAATCCACTAAATTTCAGATCTTTCATGCATCTTTCCATTTCACCAAGCGCAAGTTCAGGTGCTTGCATAGGCAATGTGCCCAGAGCAGCAAAACGCTTTGGATATTGTTTAACGGTACTGGCTAAATCATCATTGATTATTTTTGAAAAATCCAAGGTATGTTCTGGTTTGGCCCAGTAATTGAACATCACAGGAACAGTAGATAGTGCCTGAACTGTAACACCCGTAGCATCCATGTCTTTGATTCGTTCTTCGGCCGACCAACAATTTGCATCGATTACTCGAAATAACTCGTCATCTTTCAACATCTTTGCTGTCTTACCATCACATGTATGTTGAAGCTGAATAAAGCCTCCATACCCATACCTATCTTTCAAATTTGGCCAATCTTTTGGAAGTATATGGTTATGTATATCAATTTTCATTTTGAATGTACTTGTATTCACGTTATTCAATTAAATTTTTCTAAAACAAATAAGTTTATTATATTTATTATAGATAGCAATTTGATTAGGAAAACACCATGATAAAACCCTCAACTGTTTTTAAAAATAGATGAAATTATCAATTACATAATTAGGCATTACTCTCAGCACAAAATATCAAATAAACAGCTGTGATAACCCCATTATTTTAGCCAAAGTAACACCAATTGCAGCAGATAATTGTACTCAATTTAACACATTATTGTTAATGAAGATAGCAACTAGAGGACATCTGACATTCAAACCAAATATATGTTCAATATAATGTTTCCAAAGACTACAAAATACAATACCAATCTAGAAAATGCTCTTTTAAATTTCGGGGGTAAATTTGAACTGGCTTTGACCTGATATGTGCTATTAAACACAACGTACGGTAATCAATTTTAGGCATCTACTTCCACAATACTACATCGAAGTTCTTTATTCCGAGATGATTTTTGCCTTAGTAGTTGTAAGGTATTTTTAAAACGGATAATAGAAGAAATTTTGAAGATAAATTATACTTTCCAAGTTTGGGAATAAGTGAAGTAAAGGAATAGTCTCTGACTGTAAATTGATTTTTAAAATTTCCCCTATTAAAAGTGAAATATTTTAGTAAACATTCAAGAATATTATTTTTCTCAAAACATTATTCATTTTTGCATATGTACATAATGTTTCCTAATCTGATCATGGCTTAAATTTTACTTTGCTTTAAACACCCTCACAGTCCCATCTTCAGAAGAAGAAATTAATTTTTCACCATTAGACGAAATTTTAATATCATAAATATGTCCTTTGTGACCAGTAAATGTATCAATGAGTTGACCAGTTCTTGCATCCCATGATCTGCACTTGTTATCCAAACAACCAGTATATACAACAAAACCACCTCGACTTGATGGTTCCCAACATAATTTTGTGACGCCTTGTTCGTGTTTACAAGAATGCCTTAATAGTCCAGTTTTATAATCCCATATATGAAGATACCCATTCAAACATCCTGTAGCTAATAGATGTAATTTTAGAGAAAACGCAACGCATTCAACACTTTCAATATCGCTTTCTTCATCAATATTTTCCTTGTTTTCAGTTTTATTATTATTACAATTATAAGTAGCTGAAACTTTTCCTGTACTTGTGCTACTCAATTTACATGTTCCATCTACTGAAGCAGTGCCGATTAGAGTTCCATCTGCGCTGATGTTAAGGTCTGATATTCCAGCGGTATGCGCATCCTTACCCTTGGTGTTAAAAATAATATTTGTTGTTTTTAAATCTATTCCTTTCACAGTGCCATCCCCGTATCCAATCACAGCTGTTTTACCATCTGGTAAAAAACAACCAGATGTGGTCGATACACCATGGCTGGCAAACGTTTTACAATTATCTTTAGGAATTTGCCACATCCAACATTGACCATCATTTGTACCAGCTAAAAGTATTGGAGCGACGGGATGCCATTTAATCCACTCCAAATCGGAAGTTTCGAATTTCCATATTGAAGATTTAGATGCGATACTCCAAACTTGTATCACACCACTCATATCTCCTGTAGCAAGAAGTGACGAATCTGCATTAAATTGAGCACAAGTTACACTGTCTTTATGGTCAACACACGTAAATAAAATTTCACCGTCGTCCAACGTCCATACATATGCAATTTCATCTTCACCACCGCTCACCACAATAGAACTGCTTTTATCTACATCGACAACAAAAACTGGCTCGTTATGTTTTTTGAATATCACCACACATTTTTCATCAATATTTTCCTGATCGTCATCATTGTCATCGTCGTCATAATCAACGTCCGCATCATAATCATCTAGGGTTGTCTCTTCGATTCCATCTGCAAGAACTTCTTCATTGTTGTCTCCTAATGTTACTTCTTCAAGTACATCCTCAGCATATATAATGTCATCATTATTGTCATCATCCATATTCTGATATTATTAAAAAAGTAGAATGAATTTATGTCAAATTCGCTGCTAACCTAGACCTTAAAAGTAGAAAAAATAACATGTAATAATGTATCATCCTATCATGACTTCATTTTTATCAAATACCATATTGCTCAAGTTTATGAAAGGTTCTAAATACCAGCACCTGCAGACAAAGCATAATATTCTAATCCTATATCTGTATATGCAGAAAATCATGCTAACACAGGAATAGGCGCTACTGAAGCTGCTACTGTAACTGTAAGACAAAAAAATTAATTCTCTCTACTCTTGTATGACAGGTTTATTTTGACTCTATAATAATTATACATGTGTGATAGAAGATAAATCTGTACGTTAAATAAAATACTGAAATAATTGATAAAACAAAAACAGATCATTTTTTTTAACTTGTATGTGTGACTCACTTTTTCACATCAAACGCCCGAGGAATCCTTTACTGCTGCTCATCGAGTCTGTTTATTATTTATGATTATATTATTTGTGTTACTTTTGGCAAAAGAGCATGTGTATTGTGCTTACAAACAGTATAAACTTTATTCATACGTTTTGCTCGTTTTTCGGGCATTTATGTTATATGTTTTGTTTGTTTCATCGAGTTGTGTGTTTTCAGAATGCCGAAATAAATTGTATTTTATATAATAAAATAAGAAAAACAGGATAAACCTAAGAAAAATTACATAGTAAGGGAAACACAAAAAATGAATAAATAAATAAGAATCACTTGTCATACCAGCATACCGTACGGTAGTTACTTTCATATTAATATTTTTAACAGTCGCCAAATATCAGATATGATTTGGTAAACAAGAGCGTACAATGAAAAAAATAATTAACGTTATTTAAAAGATATCGCCCACTGATTATGATTGGAGTCGGATGCCAAATTGTCATTGTTACTAACCATATTCTGATATTAAATCAAAACACTGCCAAACTATTTGAGCCTCCGTTTATGCCGCCAGACAGCCAGACTTCAGGCAGCAAAGTGACTATATTCACTTAGTTAGGCAGAACCAGGGCTGCCACTTTTGCCTGACTAAAAACATCTAGATTGACCCCAAAAATCATCTAGAAAATACATTTAGATTTAAAGTCAATAAATTCAATGAAAGTAAACGAAACAAGAGCATATAGCTATAGAGTTTATTATATTACAGTATTACATGATATACCGGTATTATTCAGCAGCACTTAAATAATTTTATAATTTTAAAATCCTGGAGTAAGCAACTTGAACTACACAAAGTATTCTCACCAATCTGCCACTTGGCAACAATCAAGACAATACGGTACAAAGAACCGACTCATCGGACCAGAGTTGTTCTTTCTATTTAATTAAAAAGTCACTTGTTCTAAACATGTTTAATTCGTTATTCGAATAATTTAATTACATATGGAACCGGTAGATAATTACAATATAGGCCCAAATAAGTTTTATCAATCCTACATCAATAAATTTAATTTACTTCTAAGTAATGAAATAATATTCATTCCCATATTACAGTACCGGTATTCTGGTATTTTACACACCCCTTTTTTCATTTCCAACTGGATCGTTGAAAAAAAAAATATATAGATTTTATAGCTAACATCTAGACTCAAATTTTACATCTAGATCTCGAAAAAAACACCTAGATCTAGCTATAAAACATCTATTTTTTTTTTTTTTTAAAGGTCCACGTTGTGGATTCATAACAGTTTTGTAAAAATAAATAAATGATGAAAAAATAATAATCATAGAACATAGTTACATATAATAAACAAATATATTCGTAAACATCATCCAGTATTATCCAGCAATTCATATTATTCCATTGTTGATTCCAGATAAAGTTTCCCATGTTTATCAGTAAATATACATTAATTTATATGTTTTTAATTTATAGCAGAAAAATAAAAATTTATACAATTAGTCATAGATTCTTACAAATTATGTCTAGTTCTTTTATAAAACTAGGATTATGTCTAAGTTGTTCTATATTTCTCCTTGCTAAAACATCTAAGTTAGAGTCTGAGAGTGGCAGAACCTTTAAAGTAAAATACGGTACCTACGACGATTTCCCGCCGCTTCACATGGCGCAAAAAAGTGCCGCGAGCTGTCCGATTCGGTTACCCGGATTTTCAGACGGATTTTCTTTATCTCTAATTTAAAATAGCGCCCGGTGTGGTAGTAAGCGTCTGAGACGATTCTTTGAATTTGACAGTCACCAACTAATTGAAGAAACTTCGGTAAATAAACAAGAATGCAAACCTAAACAAATTAACATGTATATTGACAGCGGTCATTACTCAAAGCGTTTTTTACCTGGTCCTATCGGGTATTTGGAGATAGTACCCAAACATTCTTTCCAGATGTATCGACTTGATGGTGAAGAAAACCGCACGTGACCAGTGGTTACGTGAACCATCGTACACCGACGAAAACTCCACTTGGTACATATTGTTGGGCACACGTTTGCCATCGCATCGCTGATAATTATTCCAAAGGTTTGCTGTCGGGATCTTCCGTAGAAAACACCCGCTACTATTGCAAAAATGCGAGATTTGGGCCACGTTTAAGTAATCAGAACAAAACAAACAAGAGAGCTACCCACAAATATATGGACACGTTAGACCAGAGCGAATCAGTCTTTACCGGTACCTTTGACGCTACCGGTACCCTCAAAAAAGTTCTGAATTTCCAGTAGCAAGAATTTTGCAAAATCAAAACGTACAGCCAGTCATGACACTTACTAAAATCCGTGCTCCTATGGATAAAAAATAATACAGCAAAATTTTAGACGAAATATCAAATTTCATAGAATTCAAGCAAAATTTTGAAATAATTAAAAGTAATAGCCTTCTAGCGAAGAAATTAATCTTTAACCACTGAAAATTTCAAAGCAATTGGTCCAGTATTCGAAGAGAAAAGCGATTTTTTAAAAACGTGTCAAAGAACAAGAACAAGAACAACAACAACAACAACATAATATTGAAACGATCGTTATGGCCACTAAACGTGTCCAAAAAGTCATCATACAGTTAGGGTTAGGAATGACTTGACTTTTTACAAAAGATACTTTTACAAAAAGTATCTCACGTGAACACTGGTTGGCTACTTACTACTTCTTCGCTGTCCAAATTTGCGCGGCTAAAAGTATCAAACTTAACTATTGTGTTCTCCCAACATATATATGCCACATACAAGTAGCCTGCCGAAAGGCGACTTACGTACTTGTCATCCACTACATTAAGTTGTTTTATTGACTACTTTCTCCTCTCCAATAATTATGGGAATCATATCCAATTAATTACACATCTACACATTGTTTCACTCAAGTAGTTTTCGGCTGAAATCTATTTCTAGTTCAAATTACCAAGGAGGTTGTCACACAGGAGGCAGTGATTGGACCCATGTTAAGCATCAGACGTTTATGTTAGTAGTCTATACTAGAGATCTATCAATATCGCTTGTGTCGCCGATATCAACGAAAAACGCCGATAATGATATTTTAAATTGCCGATATGGATAATTTGTAATTATTGTCAACCTAGGGTTAATTTATTCTATGTCTTAGGTGCCAATTTGAATAACAGATATTTCAGTACATGAAAAATTGATATTTATGATTCAGATGCATAAATGGCGTGTCGCAAGGCTCACTTCTGCCGTTCTTTGAAATACTTGATTTAATTGCATGGTAAATTGTCGATACCCGATACCCATATATCTCCTAGTCTATACCAGTTGAGAAAAACAATTAGTAACAGTGACGACGCTGGCCATCTGCATCTGGCCAAATTGTAATTTTCCACTTGCGAGTAAGCTAATTCTTCTACCAATAAGCAAAATTATTATGTAAATGGGGTTACATTTGTCTCTGAGAAATAATGTATATTTACGCATGAATCTAACAACCTTTATTCGTTTATGTCTAAAGTAGACCGAAGTGTCTAAACTCTAACGTTTGCAAGCCAATTCATACCAAATCGGAAATTGTGTTGATGGCTTTATTCAGTGGCAGTACAAAAGACAGAAGTTAGAAACAAATAATATTACGAAAATAATACAATATATACAGCAGCAGAAAACAATGAAACTTATGACACAGGCCTAAAATTTGTCAAAAAAGGCAAAAATTTATAGCCTTCAATAAAATAGTAAACATGAACATTGAGATAAAAATGTCGAGATATCTATATAGAGTGTGGGTTTTCAATATTGCAACGGACACAATATCACTACCCAGTCCCATTATACCAATTTCAATTATCATATCATTGCGCATGTAACAAACTGATAAAAATAGGATTTTGTCTCTGCAATATCATTTAAACAATATGCTTAAATTTCACAAATGAAGGCAAGTCATTCATTTCAGACGATAAAGTAAAAATAACAAGGACTTTAAAAAGTATAGAACTGACAGGTAAATCAAAGGATGTATCATAAATAAAAATTGGCAGGCGGAAAATTCATGAGAACTTAAATGTTTGATTGAGTATTGTCAAAAATATAGTTTGGCAGTGACAATATGAAGAAACATGAAAAGAAGTGACAGCAGCGGTTCCGTTAACTGGAATGAAAATTAAAACGTACCAACTACGCATTCTATTTTATATGAAATAGCAGCTCAGAGAAAAGAATTCATCAAACAAAAAGTTTTTGTAAAGCTGTAACATGAGCAATAAGCAGTGCAGTGATCGGGAAAATAGCAATGTCACATACAATGTACTGGACAAAAAGAGTTATATTTGGTACAATATTGTAATGTTGGTCCTTTTAAACGCCAATCATGATTCGCAAACTATGAAATTTCATTTAAAGAATTTATGATATCACTCGGCATGAATCCAATCGATATATTACTTTTTCGGAACTGCCTGAACCATGAATACAGTGGCTTTTAACCTTCGGACAGTAAGTCTCAAATTAGCTTTATTATTTATACCGAAAGACTTCTTCTAACAAATTATGCAAATCATGAGACATAGTTGTATATTAAGATTCCTAGCTATAGCTATAACAATGCCGGGAATAATCATAACATATTTGATAAACATTTATATAAATTACCTTTGAAATGTAAGAAAGACCGGTAAGATTGAACAATTGACCATACAAATTTCACTAGGAAACCCTATTCAGAAAAACAAGGTTAGTATTTATGATTGCTTCCTTACTTTGACAATTGTTTAGGCACATACCCACCCGATCATTACATCTGCGATTGCAAAACTAAAAAAAGCTGATCGATTGTAAGTTAAAATAGATTAAATATCAGGTCCTGTTAAGTAGAATGTTGAAATATTTCCGGAAGTGCGTGAGAGTAAGCCATTGAGACAACTTCCAGAAAAATAATTATTTTATTGTGGCATCATCTGAAGAAATTTATTTTCTTCATTCAAGGTACTCAACATAGAACTCATGCTGTTTAATGCCATATTTGCTGATGGATTCATATCCCAACATTCGTTAACAACTGCAGCTAATCCCATCTGTTCATTTACTTCTTGTTGTTGAAGCGATGTAGTGTAGGGCTTCTCTAATAGAGGAGTTACTAAGGGAACAAGAAAAATAAAAATCTGGTTAACAAAAGTTTCTATCCACTAAGGGGCTTACGTATAAAATATGCAAAGCATTGATGATAAATAGATATCAGGTAGGTTTAGTAGTAGGTTTACCTGTTTAAAAAAATAAGATAATATTTGTATGTTTTCATTTTTACACCAACATATATACATAGTGGTTAGATTCAGGTTCGCGCGAATCCGTTCCTAGAATGTCGTGTGATATCAGCGAACCTGTTCTTTATTTTTATTTCCGACGTTAGAAGAACGAAGCAAATTGGTACCGTGCACCGCAGCTGACGACTAGCGTTATACTTGACGTTTTAGATTACGTAAAGCGTGTCATGTCAATGTAGCTTACGTAATGACATACATTTATTTTATTAAATTAGGGAACCCGTTGCTAATGAGTTTGACACAAAAGAGAACCCGATCTTAATACTGCACACCACTGTATATAAAATTATACCTATTATATATAACCCTACATTTAGGTTCTCACCCAAAACCACTAGAAAATTCAGGCCGCTTAATTAAATGTGACCCCGACAAAATCGTATGAGTACATTTTTTACATATGATAAAATATTCAGATACAAATAAAACTTTATGAAAGAATGCACAGATCGTAAAACTTCATTGCATCTCACCTATCCTTGTTGATAACCCCGACATTAGAGGTAAAGTGACATCTGTATTTGTTCCACTCATGGCATCAAAATTATCATCTGCATTATCAGGTTTCTTTAGAGCGGATTCTATTTTTCAAACATATAACAATAAAATTAAAATCAAATGATAAATTCACATTTCAAACGACAAATAGAGCTTTTAACTACTAGCGAAATTAAGCATGATTCTAAATAGTTGGTATGATTTAAATGCAGTCAGTCATTTCTCACAATAATTCTGATAAACAATAAATAATTTTGAATAATATAAAATAGTTCCATTTCTATACTGTAAATATCGATAACATCACATATCATACCAATGTATTCGTCTCCCTCGTCAGGTCCCGTTGTACTGTCAGCTGGCATTTTCATGTAGTTGCGACCCTGTTCAACAATGGGATGAATATTATAAATTTGAAGTATCGGTCTAATTAGACAGTGATATATTGTATGTAGATCACATGGCTGTGTGGACGGAGTCTAATTTTCCAACTTATCGGAGTAGGCAGTCGGAGTCGAAATTTCAAGTTCCCGGAGGTGGAAGTCGGATTCGAAACTTCTGACTTCCAATAATGATAGTACAAGTTAAAATTTTCTACAGAAACTTGAAATGCATAAAGTTTATAGTATAATAACCGAGACTTGAATACACAGAGTATTTTTTTTATAAAAATGTGAATTTTCGGGATCAGGGGTTTACTTTAAAACGTAACGAACAAATCGTCTACAAGGACGGTAATACTTTTAAAGCCAACGCGCGCTAACCACTGGTTGACTGGTACCTTGCATACCGAAAGCGTTTGCTATTGCTTCGATTAACTATACCGTTCTAATTTCGCATTATTACCTTATTTGTGTCATCGAAACTTCCCGATATATGCAAAGCTGGAATGCTATCAATAAATTCTTGTTGAAGAAAAGCGTCAGGTATCTAAACAAATAATTCTGCATTAATATAATATTAAATGCAACCACGTACATATCCCACTGAAATAATATCCCACTTACTTCTGCGTCCGGTGTGCAATTGATTCGTCCAGGGTATTGGTTTTCAGCTGATGACGTGGACTGATTTCTTTGATTTGGATTTCTCATTCGTGACATTCTAAATCTATTTATCAGGGAAGCGTCGCTGTTGGCACCGGATGCCGGCGGCCTCGGAGTGATGCCTTCTAGTGCAAACGGCGCCATTTGTGCTCGGGAATCATAACCGTTTGGATTTTGATAATAATTCTGAGATGATTGAGAATAATTTGCTTGTGGCGGGGTAGGGTTTGGATACGAAGAAAGCGTATTTCCGTCGCTACTTTGTGGCAACGGCATTTGTCTAAATGGTGCCACGTCTTGAGGTCCGTAAGGAATCATTGTGCCGTCATTGAAATTATGATAAGGTTGAAGAATTTGTTGGTCGGGATACCCGTGTTGTTGATACGCATTGTTTCTTTGCATGTTGTTAGATTGTTGTTGTTGTTGCTGCTGTTGTTGTTGTAAGTACATTTGCTTCTGTTGTGGATTTATCATAGCAGGATTCATGTAACCTGAATGATAACGTTATGGTGGAATTGACGATCAAGTTTAAATGCGTAACTTATATTCTATTTCAGCCTAACATGGTTATATTTTCTCACTTTAAATAGCATAAGCTTTAAATTAGCATCAAAATTTTATAGTAAATCTTATCTTGTTTTGATACTTTTGACCAAGGCTACATTGGTTTATCTTGTGAAACAAGATAAGTGAAACAAAAGATAGGCAGTTTGTATCACAATCCGCATAACACAAACGCAATTGAAGATCGCACCGCTTCCAGATCCTATCTGTCCCATTATATATTATTCATACCTGCTTGATGTTCATTTTGCATCATGTCGGACATCATATCGGCATTCAAATTCTCTTGCAGTAAGTTTTCATTTACTCCACCAGGCGGCATCATATTATTATTATTTTGAACATGTCTCAACAAATGTTGTCTGTGCGAATGATTGGGATTGAATTGATTCATGGATCCGTCGACTGGTACTTGTCGATGTTGACCATGCATTGGCTGATTGGTATATTCTCCTGCGTTGTTCAGTGCTAAGTTACTTCCATTACTTTGGTATCCACTTTCGCTACTAAAGAAACTGCCATTACTGTCAGAACGTTGCCTTCCGACCTACAACGTAAATGATTAGATTTAGAGAGTTGAATATCTTCGTGAATGTGAGCGATTCTAATATCTCACAAATTGACAGGTTGTACGAAACTGAACATAAACAACATATCAAATATCAAACGAGAAAAGGCGTCAAACATTTAGTGTGGGGCAATGTTGGTCTACACCATAAAGTGCCAGAGTTCGGATACAGAACCAACAAGAAGATTAGGTTCTAGTTCGCGGTTTTTCACAGCTACTAGGTATTTTAACAATCCGTAATTAGTATTTCCGTATACTTCTCAGACGTGAAAACGTTGACAAATTACGGCTGATATCAATTTTTTTGTGCAATGAAAATAATTTGACACATCAACTGGATTCGAAAAAACTGAAATGAAATTTGCACCTGTAAATTTCCTGCAGACAGAAAGTTATTATATCCCAAGTTAGGTTGCATTCCCATATTTCCAAGGTTATTCGGGTTCCCTTGATTTTGATGATTTCTGATTCCAGGTAACGGATTTACATTATTCCAACTATAATAACGCTGAACGTTCGGCAGACGATTCGTATCCATTTGCTAAAACGGAGAAATTGTAAAATGTGAAGGCGATGCAAACATGTAAAGGACTTCCGAATCCCGACATACAACGACCTCAAACTTTGATATTTGCAGAAAAGTTTAATATGAATTTTACTATAGTGAACGGCAATGCTTCATTTTTTATTTCCTGTTCCAATTTAAAAGTGGTGCAGCGGACACAACCTGTTGTCAATTTTGTTGTAAAAATTTTTTTGCTGAAAAATCTAACCTGAGAGGGTGTTCTTACTGGATCACTTGCTCTTCTGTTACCATTGCTTGGTATATCGTGAGGCAGTGGCGTTCGCGTTGCTCTGTGGTATGGCATTTCACTTCGTCTTCGATTTGGTAACATAGCGGCGGCATTACTGCCATGGTGTGGAGGCGGGATTACACTAGGTGGCCCCATAGTGACATGTGCCCCGTTAGTGCCGTATCCAGGGTTGGTCATCGATGTAGGAACGTTTGATGGATTGGACAGCGTTCCGTTAGCACGCGCAATGGCATCTTCTTGCAGCCTGTTACAGTGGAGTTTTGGTCAAGAATCATTATGAGTAGTCTATAGTAGTATTGGAGAGGCTTAGGACATTGTCACGATCCAGACTAGAGTCACCATTTATCAAAGACTCGAGTAATTTAAATGAAGTGACTCGTACACAACTAATCGCCAGAGAGACATAACACAGTGATTAACTCGGCTAAGGATCTCGAGATTCGGGTGATCCATGACTCGACTTGACTTGCAACTTTAGATTTAGGGACTTCTACTCTACACTGATTATTGACTATTGATTTGGCCTATTGACTTTCAATCGTGTAAGTACGAAAGCGTACTAAAATTAAGCCTTCATGTATATTATCTTTCTTACCATTTTCCCAGTTGACTCCTTGAATATGTGTCTCTATCAAGCGGTGTAGGAGGAGGTTTTCCTGTTACTTCATTAAATTTTGAAGTCAAACGATGAAGAGTATATGGATTCAGAGATGGTAAAGTAGGTGAAGATGCAGAACCTCCGTGACCTAAAACATGGTAAATATGATATATATAATAATAAGAAAATATTCTCGGGATCTAACGCTAGTCATGTAACCCTAGGTTTTAGAAGTTTACCAGCTGCTTATTTATTTTTAATTACTGAGTAGATGTACCTGGAGCGACTGATATCCCACTTGATTTTCTTGAAGAACCCAGTGATATGGGATCATACGACCCCGCAACTGGTAAGTGATGTGAAGACGCCTGCAACACGTAACACAATACAATATTACAATTCGGATTTCGCAATAAACTAGATTATTTCGAAATCACTTATAAACATCCCTCATTTTGAATTAGTAAAAATAATGATGTTTTCCAGAGCACATATTCTTCGTTTACTTGCGCAACATTTCATATTCAGAAAAATGTCAACAGTGACAAAAAGCTGCTACAGACTAGGCAAAATTATCTACCTACTTACTTTTAAATTACAGGTGATTAAATAATTGGAATCAAAATTATCGTTATGAAGACGCAAATCAGTTTTTAAGCGTCAACTCCAAAAAATATTCTTAAAATAAGAATAAAATTTTTTGCATTGGAAAAGTATACGAAGTATATTTTCTGTGCTAATGGTCGGGCTTGCATCCATACACACCTGACTAGACCGCCTGCTTGTATTCGATATTCCGGATGGTTTCCTGCTTGGGTGACCAGAACTGGTGCCACTATCTCTACGATCATGTCCTAGCATCGCTACTTGACGATATAAGGGAGAAATTCCCCCTTGCATTTTTGCGTGAGGATTTGACTTGTTGTAAGATTTAGGAGTGTTTTTTGGACTTGCCAAAGTTGTTGATGACACTTCATCCGTGCCACCTCCATTGCCTGGTGAACAGAGAACACACATTATAACGCCGGTACAATGAAATATTAAAAGAATTTTTTTGTTTATATAATTTTCTGCTTCATATTGTAGTTCATCAGTCATCACCACATGCGAGAAATCACAGCAAATTGTTCGACGAATGGATAGAATTTACCGAAAACACAAAAATTTTTAATTATAGTAAATCATAAAAAAACACTTTTTAATTTTCGAATTCTGTTTAACTCTAATATTCCCACCAAACAAAATAGGCACTCAGAAATACACAAAAAAAGTTTTGAATAAGTTATACAATTTGAGTTTAAATAAATAAGATTCAAGCAAACATACTGTTTAAACTTTTCGGTGAATAATGTGGGTATGGAGAATTCCCAGATCCCTTTTCTGTTTTCGTTGTTGGTAGAGAAGGCAGCAAGTAATCTCCCAATACATCAGGTCCTAATGATGACAAACTTCCTCCTGCATTGCCTAATGAGAGACTTTGCATTTTCTGGTTCACCATTCTAGGTATGATGTTCTGTCGAAGTGAGGTTCTCCTTCTAGACTGTAAACCGACGCCTCCACCTGACGTTGAGTCTAAATGGAATATTTATTAAAACACGTGGTGAAATATTAAGAACTAGAGAGCAATGCTGAAATATATAGACACGAAGGTTGCACATAGGTACCGGTACTGTAACGAATAAGATCACAGCGTTTTGTGAAAATATCGGCGGACAACCAATCAGGAGCCGAATAATACGGAATAGAGAAAAAATATTCCCCATTAACCTAAATTAAAACTCCGTCTAAAAATCCAACTTTTGTTGAAATACTAGGTACAATAAGACTCATGTAATGACTGAGGGCAACGAGTTTTCTAAAAAGATTGGCGGACAAGCAATTAGGAAGCGTCAGATAATGGGAAATAAAGGAAAAGTGTTCCCCTTTAAACTGAAATAAGTCTCCCACTAAAAATCTAACTTTTAATGAAATATTGGGTCCAATAAGGGAAATTTGATGAAAAGTAATAGCTCAATAGCAACCTCTTCCATCTTCAAGTATTGGAAATTTAAAATCGATTGGACCGTTAGTTGCAGAAAAAGACGACTTTTTGTCAACAACAACAACAAACAAAAACAACAAAATTAAAAACAAATCTAAAAGTGTCAATCTCAATAGTACTAACCTGGCAACGGGTTTTCATCAACAACAATATCTCCATCACTATCATGATCATGACCGTGTCCTGCGTTTAGTTCTACTCCAGAATCATTATTATTATGTTGTATATTAGCATGAGGTGAATGCTGTGGAGTTGTCGACATGTCGGATCCAGAAGTACAAGTAGATTGATTGCTTCTGGGATTGATGTTTCCTGGCGTGTTCTGAATAGTCATAGGCAAATTTTTTCAAGTTTTAAAAAAAATCGCATACGAAACAAAAACAAATACGATAAACAAAGCAAACGCAAAGTTTTACTGGGAAGGGGGATCCGTGACAAACTGATAATGAGGTTCTGATATCTATAATTAAAAGTTTAGGGATTTCAGTTTTTTGAAGCACGGTTGTCAATAGTGAGTATAATATAAAAATCATCCTATTTAAAGCATTAAATACATATTTGGGGCTTAGTCATACGTTGTTTTTTAAGGGGTTGTTTATTGGACATCCAATCCGTATTTGAATTGGATATACAGATGACCTTCATAAAATAGAGCCCAGATATTTCTAAATTACTTCTACAAAAATGAAGAAAATTATTTTACACTCAAACTTTTGTTTGTGTATGTTTGTACCCAAAAGTTAAGTAATTTAGGTCGCATTGCAAAAACGTTATGTTACCTCTGAAATATGTCCCAAATTACCTGGGTTCTGTTGTTTCGAGGTCATCCGTTAAGTATAAAATTGTAACACACATATCATTGAGGAGTTAAAAAAAAATAAAGAAATTGTTACGTTCCGGGGATTAGTTGTTAAATATTGCTAATATATTTTCTTACCGCATCATGTGGACTTTGATGATTTCGAGGTGACGTAGGGTTGCAACTTCTACTGGTCGATGTATTATTGTTTTCATCTTTTTGATTTCGTGGTTTTCCACCATCCGATTCCTACATGACAAAAATTTGAGTTGGCCGATTATTTCATGTTATTGGAAAACGGAAAACATACCAAGTTTTATGTATAACTTAGTACACAAAATATCAACTTAATTTTAATGACTTCGTTTGAAATGATTAGTCGTCACAATATATACCTGTTTAATTGTCCGGTCGTCCGAGTCTGGCTTTTTCGACTCCTCTTTTTTTCTTTCAGCTCTCATTCGTTTGGTTACATGAGCTTCAGGTCCGTGCACAGTTTTTACGTGTTTACGCAAAGAGCTTGGGTCGGTGTAACGTTTGGTGCAATTCAATTCACGACAAACATACGGTTTCTGAAAAAAAAAAACATACTTTCAAAATTTTAAAAAAGAAACAAACAGGAAACACGAAATTAGACATTACCTCATTTGAATGTGTCCTATTTTGATGTTTTGCTCTATCAGACGCGTTGCTGAATGCTTTTGTACATCCCGGAAATTCACAAACATAGGGTTTCTCTCCAGTGTGGGATCTCAAATGTGTCTTCAAATTTTCCAATCGCGAGTAAGCCTTTGTGCATCCTTCAAACTGCGAGAAAAAACATAAAAGAAATGCTTGTCTGTTACGTTATAGAAACTTACGCAATATCAAAATCGGACTATTCAAGCAATATTTTGATAGAAATTTATATGAGCAAAACGCTGCTAAATTTTATTTTTTTTTCCTAAAGAATTAAAAACAGAAACAGGCGACCAAAATTTGCATATATCTTGTAAAGTTATAAGTATCCAATTATTTCAGAGTCTGATGTGAATATTTTTGGTAATGTCTTGAGAAATATGGATTCTAACATGAAAACAAAACATATAATTGACAATTAAAAAAGATTTTGTAAATTATAACACAAAAATAAAAGAATTAGCAAATACGCTTTTTTGGACTGTCGTCGTCTAATTACTCGTAGTGGAATGAAAAATTCGTCTAAATAATCGAATAAAAAAATCGTACAGAACATTTATGCGGCTTTTCTCCTGTGTGTCTTCTCATATGAACCACCAGCATATACTGAGCCTTGAATGGTTTTTGATCTCTTGCACAATCTCTCCATCGACAAACAAATTCCTTCTTTTCACCATGTATGTGATCATTGTTAATGTGCTATAAAAAAATAAATATGTTGTCTAATTAACTAGAAACGATATAACAAAAAAAGACGTACATTTAGTGTTCAGAAATATAGATTAAAAATAAAGGGAGAAATGCAATTTTTTTTTGTACTTGCTTTTTGGGTTTCGATTTATTTTAACGTTACTGCTTTGTCACTCATTCATCCAAAATGCTATCACTTTATTAAAGTAACAATGCATTCAACAAATGCACATTTCCAAATCACGTGAGACTATTTCCGGCTTTACACCTGGCAAGAAGTTTAATCAGCACTTTAATTTTAAGTCAAATTCTTTAGTATGTGCCCTAGGATCAAATTACTTAAACATTAATCCGAACTTGAACTATAGAACTAAATAGGTAAAATAAATCTCGAAATAAACTCTGGCCATGATAGGATGAAGGATAAACCAGCCCAAATGAGTATTGCCAAGTTCAAAATCCTATTTCCCACGGGGTTTAGTATATTTGGCAAGAACAAAGTGACCCCGTGACGCAATAAAAAGATTGCCGCGAATTTTGACGCAAGTCTGAAAAACCTTTAAAATGGTGGCGCGAACCGGAATGACCTTTCAACCCTGGAAAGATGATATTACAATTTTGTGGTCGCGTTTATAAAATACAAAAGGTGACAGGGATTGAGAATTTTTTAAATTACAAGCTGCAATGCTGGTATCAATATAAAAAATCGCAGGTGTTTGACTTGCGAATTTGAAAAACAATGAAAACTTTTGAATGGTAACTTTTTGCAACGCAATTCTTTGAATTCTCTTAGTATCAAAATAAGAATTTTCGTCGTAAAGTATTTTCAAGTTTGCGTTGATTTTTTAAATTTTAACTAGGTACAAAATTTATTTACTACCTTAATCGAAAAAGCAATAGCAACTAACAAACTAGCATAATCTGGCGTCCGTTTAACGCAAAACATTGGAAAATACTAAACTTGCTTCGCAGGCTAAAGATCTCGGGGCAAGTGATGCCCACCACCAAGCCAAGGATTTAATATTAAGTAATGTCAAGACGAAACGATTATGGTCGTTCCAAAAAAAGCGTAGCAGCTCACTCCACGCGTAGAATAAATACATCAATAAGACAATATGGATGATAGTTTACATGACCACGGGTAAAACTGCGTTGGTTAATAAAAAGTTACCCTATCAGGGTTAATGCATTCCTGTAATAAACCACAATTACTAAAAGTGTCAAACGGTTCTTAACTTCTCAGTCAGAAAATTAGACAGAGTGCATAATTGTGGTTGCCAGATTTCTCCCATGTATTATGCCTCAATTTCTGATAAGATTACGAGGGGAATATAACATTTAAAAGCAATTCATCACTTCCGAAGCACCAAAACACTTTTAAGAAAAGTGTATGTTTATACCATTTTATATAGTAAGGTCCAGGCCAAACAATGCCTGCAATGCGTGAAATTTTTTTTTGCATTTAGTTCATGCACAAAAAAATGGAGCTATATTGTGAAAAGTCTCTTAAAAGGATTTTTATCAATATTATACACTCTGCCATATACGAACAAGCGTAATTCAATCACGTGAGATTTATAGCACGTAATGTTATCTGGTTTTTAAGTGGATTACTTACATGCACTAGTTGTTCTTGCGTGTCGAATTCTCGCAGACAATTTTCCCATCCGCAGTTTGTCTCGTATACGGTTTCCGATTCATCTGCGTTACGTTGAGGGTTATTGCCACCTAAACGAAGATACAAAAATTCAGTTTATAGCAATATAGCACTGACCCATACGTGATTTATTAATACGTAATGCTTGATTGACCAAATACCTAAAATGCTTTTTCTGTTTATTCTTCTAATCTTACAGAACAATGATAGGTTATGCATAAAGAAGTGAGCGACTGGAGTATAGCGACTGAACGGTGGTTATAAAATGTCCTAATTTCAAGTAAAATCATTTTTTTGTGGAAAATTATTTGAGCAGTTTATCGATTTTTCATGATTCCCACGTAATAAATTAACCCAAACCATTTGACAAACGCTGCGTCTATGGCATGCTAACGCTAAATTGTATCACCAAATACTATTAGTTTTTCGCGAAAAATATTTGCATGCAAATTGCAAACGGATCTCAATCGCAATCGTCATTCAAAATTCCTAGTTAATTAAAACGAAAGTTAAAAATTCCCGAAATATATTGGCAACGAAAACTCTTGAGATAACCTGGCGTCCTGGCGGTTGGGACAATGACACATACCAAATAAAAATATGGATAAGTGAAATAATTGGTATATGAGATTGTTCAAAACTTTTGATTTTTATGGATATGTTCAGTCATTTTTTTGTCTTGAAAATAGCTCCAGTCAAGCCATGTTTACGTAGAAAAGATGACGTAAGAACTTCATATTTGGCATATTAGAACGTTAAATTAATTTACATTATAAACTGATTTATATTAAATTTTATGCGCATGAATTTATTCACACAATTCCGCAAATTGACAGACAATATTACTTCAACGAGTGCCAAAATGTCACGGCATTTTGTTTTACAAAAGCTTATAAGGCGTTGTTACAATTCAATAGGAAATAAAAATAAACTTACGACAAAGAGGTCAAGTCCAAATACAATGTACTAAATGCCTTGGAGCGATACATATCAAAACAATTATTGCGTTACTTGATATTACAAACAGAGAAAATTTTAAACGTACGACACGTAGAAACGCACAAATTTTTTAAAAATTTGGATTCCTCGCATGTACTTGCGTTAGGGTTTGAAGTGTATTTCGTTATCTGGTATTTGAATCGATTCGATTGTGCAACTTTACAATATACGAATATTTGGCAACACAATCTTTTGTGTACGTAATGACCTATGAGAGGGGTCACTTGGGGTTTGCTCCGCTAAAGCACGTTAATTAGTACCGGTGTAGAAACGCAAAGTAGGGTCATCTCATCCCTACATAACTATAGTACCTTCTCACCTAGTAGTGGATTTTTGTACACAAGCGTTCATTTATAAAATCAAGCGTGTTCTCCGTACTAGATATGTGAACGTGTGGCGTTTCAAAGATATGGGCAAACAACTTGAAATAAAAACAGTAAAATTACGTTTTATTCAAATGTTTTCTAACAGCACAGATTCTATTATGTTATCACGTTTCGTCAAAATGTCATCATTTGTCAAACAAGACACTGTTTTGTCTTGAAAATCACACACATCTCATACCGTGATATATCCTGTTAGCAGCTGTCACCGCTGGACTTCTGGGTTCGGTTTTAATCATTCCGTGACCATATTGTATTTGCTGTTGTTCCGCCTGTAACAATCATTATCAACAAATAATATTGAAACTGAAGATGGGAACGAAATAGCCAGAATCGGTACAAATGAATAAAGGAAATATTAACAATTGAAAGTAGCCTACATTGGAATTCTGAATTATGGACGATTAAAGAACTCAAGAAAAAGCTTTTTGAAATGGGCGCGATGGCCTAGCGGAAAAGGCGTTAGACTCAAATGTGTTGGGATTGCAGGCTACTCAACTGTGATTCAATTCTCATGCCCACCACCTCACATTGCCCAATCGCGGAAAATCCGGTGATTTCAAAATATAAAGTAGCTTTTTGCATATCGCTTCTTCAATATTCTCGGGATTAAAAAACCGTGTTTTTGAAATTGACAGTGAGCCAGCCACACAAGCGTTATCAGTTATTTTGTTGGAAACCCAAATACTTTGACCATTTGTCAGCGACAAACAGTTTGCTAAACCAAAGTGCGTCGAAACAGACAATACTTTTTTTATTGTTTGAATACATCACTGAATCGGTCCAGTTGGTGCAGTCAGAACATACAGATACTTTTACGAAAATGGATACGACCTAAAGTGGAATCTAGTGATACTCAGAAAGAAAACCTCTATACGGGTATGCATATACATTAGAAATAATTTTATATCATCTGAAAAAACGAGACAATTTCACCAATGCCTAACATGTTACTGAGTCATATTGAAGAACTTTACACACAAATGCTCTGGTATTTAGCAATTTTTAACTTAGATTTCCACATTGCTTTATCATTTCAAGGCAGATAGTGATCAAAAATCTTGGCTATGTAAATTAAAACCACACATCACTTACAAGTCACTGGGAATTTATTTGAAAAATGTAAAAAAATGACATAAATACAGATAGAATGTCCATCATAATTTATCATTAAATTTATCGCCATAATCCATGAACACCATAATAAGCATATATTCAAAATTTTTCAATTGAATAAATGGTCTTAATAGGCACTATCACAAATATATTCCTAAAACATTTTGTATGACCAAAGTCAGACTTGATCAGATTAACATAATCAAATATTTTATGTAAGTTGACGACAATTAAATATGAATATTTTTAAAACAATTTTCTGATTTTTGATTGAATTTAGAGGCGACTACGATTAGGAAAATCGCGTGCATTAGTCCTACATATATATTATCAGATTACGCATACGTTAATTTAGCGTGTTTTATAATTCTAGCATAATTTTAGCAAATATTTTACAACAATGACATTTTTTCCAATTATCTCGAAACTTTTATAATTACTATACCTTGTTATCCGGTCCCATCATTTGTTGACTTCTGTGATGTGCAACATTTTTCTGCATATTCGGGTGATGTCCAGGAATATATGGCACGTGACCGTTCCTCGGGTCAGTGGGTGGAACAGGTCTTTGACTTTGGTCAAGCGTCACGGGATTCCCCGCTACGCCGACGAAAGACCCGGGTGGAAATCCAGCAGACGCCACGGCAAGCTGCCTCGAAAATAACTGGGAGTGCATTGGAGAAGCGAGACGAGGATGGAATCCCATTTGTGGACTGCAAGATATAATTTTATACTTCAGTTAGGAATATGGATTGATGATATATCGTCCCAATCGCTACCAGGATGGCCTCCTCTATAGTGGGCAAATTGGACTGCTGTATATGATGTACAAGTTACATCCACATTTTGCACACAAAACTACATACAGTTTTCCAAAAAGATCTTTGGTAGTAATTGACCAATACTAGACAGACGCTTCTAACCTTCTGCATGTACAATAACAACGAAATCTTAGAAAAATAAACCAATTATTTTTAATATCGATACTCGACATAGTGATATATAGGTGTGTGTGTGTCAACTTCATGACTTTAAAGTAAACACGACCAGTGATGAGAAAAGAACATATTTTTCTAAAATATACTTTTTATAAATCGATATAAAAATAAATATCACAATATTTACCTTATCCCTCTTGCAGATAAATGTCCGTAACTACCAGCACTTCCAATCGACGAATTTCTTGAATTTCCTAAACTATTTGTGAATGGAAGAAGCGAGTTTGGAGAAGTTCGAATCATCAGATCTAAACTTAGACTATCTGATTGTGATGGTGATATTGATAACGCTCGTTTTCGACCTTGTCTAGATCTGAAAAAGAATATTTATTAACAATAGTATTGCCTTTATTTAAAAACACTATCATAAAAAAACGCGCTAACCAGAATGAATATGTTTAAACTATTCATTTGAAGATAATTAATTATAGCCAGTGCTTGGATTTATAGTCATGATGGGCAACACGATGGGCAATATAAGTTTAGACGCTATCGATTTAAATGCTATCTTCATAACAAATTTCCAACATTATGCTCTTATAATAAACAATAGAGTATCGTTTTAGGTAAAAAAGACCAACATTTTACTGATCCAATATAAAACAAGAAAGCGATGCCCAAAGATTTGAACACGAAGACCAAAACGGAGTAGTACGGGCTATGTAATCTGTTCCAGTAGAACTAGTACTGGTACTGCAGTCTTAACGACTAACGCAAACTCGGAACCGCCACAAGGTACACAATTTTTGATGACGCCATGTTACAAAAAACGAATTTTATAAATTATAGAACACACAATTATAGAAATTTCTGAAATAAATAAGAGTAATGGCTTTCTAGCGAACAAAATACCATCCTCCACCACTGAAAAATTCAAAGCAATTGGTCCAGTAATTAAAAAGAAAAGCGTTTTTTCATACCAACAAAAAAAAAAATTCCAACAAGAACAACATAATATTAACAAATCTATCTATATGTACTTCATATTCGATAAAATATCAAATAAATTCCACTATAGCTTATTTATAACATACATCTACGCTGCACTTCGTGACAAGTTACTTTATCTTGCTCTACGAAAAATTTTTTTGATGCAAAATCCATCCGACCAGGACAGTAGAGATTTGATGTATGAGACTTTAATATCCATAACAAATATTTATGTTTCAAAAAAGAGCAAAACCTTTCAGCCCAAATTTTATTGTGTTTGTTTTGTGGTCAAAATTTAGAATACATAAAATTAGCGTACGCTCTTTTTGTTTGCATCGGTGACTACAGGTGACTTGAAGTTGAACAAGGATTAAAAAAATACAGCAGTACAACTGAGTTGGTATTTAAATTATAATTTAAACTCTTCTTTAACGAAGATGCTTCATAGAACAAAAAGGAATGAAATTTTTGTTGAAAGCATAAAAAATATGTTTATTTGTATCATTGAAATAAATAATAGATCCTTGCGTATCAGTGCCTGCTTATGCAGAGCATTGTTCAGAGTGACGGTGTGAAAACATGCAATTGAGAAATAATATAAACGCGATATTTAACCCTTGAGTTTTATTTTTCAAGGGATATCTTATTAGGCTAAAAGCGGTATGTTTCGTGGAAAATCGTTATATAGGAAATTCATCAATGAATTATTATTACGGGTTCAGTCTGCACTCGTACCATTCGTACTTTTTGATGAATGGAAATCGATGAAGAATAATTGGCAAAAATAAAAATCGCGGCAAGAGCATTTTGCTGTAAAACAAGTATTGTGATAAAACAGTTAGGCTTTTAAGTACCTTCTTATATAAAAAAGATTCGTTTTTTAAAAGCATGCCCTAACCCTATAAACATAACTTTTTTTTATGACGAATACTTGTTTTACAGCAAAATGCTTTTCAAGGCAATTTTTCATGCGGCAAATTTTCCTATGCCGCGAAATTTCCCGAGGCGAATTTTCCCGACACGAGTATGGGAATGGGTATAGACACGACAAGACTATGATTTCGTTTCGTATGAAAAGGAACAAAACAAACGGTGAACCTACCTCATGTAAAATGGACTAGATAGCCGTGATACATCTCCACCACTCCTATCAAATGACATCGCTAACGATCGGTCAGCGCCTCCAGCACCAGCTACTGCCGCCAGCCATGACTGCTGTTGTGCAAGTTGATAATAAGCTAATGTACTAAGAGATGATTGACTTTGTCCGCCTTGTGGCATTCCAGCTGATGATACAACTCCATTTTGTGCCCCGCTCACTCCAGCGTTAGCCAAAGACGTGGAAGCCATGGCAGCAGTTGCGTTAGCTTGTGGGTTACCGTAATACGGGTATGGAAATTTTTCACCATCACGCCCTGAAAATAATAACGTACAAGATCACTACAAAACAAACGAATGCTGTGCAAAACTTGTTCATCGGAAATGCTTGCGCGTAACGTAACATAAGTAATTTCGATTGTTACAATTATAGTGTTACGTTAGTAAGCCTGTATACATTGTCATTCAGCAAACTAATGAAGGTATATACAACTTTAGACAACGCCACAATGCGTGCTTCCTAATCTAGACGAGTAAATAGCATAGTGGTTTTCAAGCTTTTATATAAACGCAAACTCAATACTGGAAAAACAAAATGATCTTTGAAATGTAGCAAGTTTTATGATAGTGGCAAACGTATTTGAATATATTGAAACAATATAATACAACAATATGGATTCTCAGATTTATCGGAAACTTTTGAAACGCCTGGACTTCGCTAGAGGAACCCTGGGTGCCGCGGAACCCCATGCAGTTGAGAACTACTGATTTAGCGAGTCACCTCCGTATCAGTTTATTCAATTTAAATCGTTTGGCTGAGATGTAGTGTCAATTTTAAAATTGGCTTCATTCAAGTTTTATGGTAATATAGATCATGAATCCTAACATATCGATTTTTCGGTACTCCTGAAGTATGCGCTCCAAGATGTCGCACAACCTGAACCATAATCTGGTACACAACCTGAGTTCAGGTTGTGCGCCATGTTGGTGCGCATACTTCAGGAGGTCCGATTTTTCTTCCACGACGACATGAGGATAAGAAAATTGCAATATCTTGTGTTCGTTCGTGATAAAGTGATAAAAAGGTAACGAGAAAGTCCATATCTGTACTTTGATCATATATTATGATAGAACAATCCAATTAGGAAACTTTACATCTATTAATATTAAATATATAAAGCTGATCTTGTCAGATATTGTCAAATGAGTTAACTTTTGCCAATTTATCATAAACATTTCATCAAATTTTTCAGTTTTGAAACTAGGAGGAAAATAAATGAAATTTGAGAAACATAAACTACACTCAAATACCTAAAATTGTATCTATGTTAAATTTCCTACCTTGTATAGAATGCCTTGGACTTAGCCCTCTGGCTTGTGACAATATTGACATGGTAGGTGAATGGGTAAGAGATCTCATGTATAAATCCAATGAAGCATTATTGACTGGGTTACCCATTCCTGGTCCAAAAAAAAGTCCTGGTGTACCGTTCACGGTTTGATGAAGGGGTGATTGTGGAGCAATAGGCATCAATGGTATCTCTGAAAGTACCGGGCTACTTCCAACTGGATCACTGAAAATATATAATGAAAGAGTTACGTGTTTTGAAATATATATAATATTGCAAATAAATATGTTATTTTCGTGGCATATTAAGCTCGTACCTATTCTTCGAATCAGTCATTGGGCAGGAGCCTGGGGTATATACACAATTTATTAGACCCTGAGATGAACTTGAGAATCTTCATCCCGATACTTTTACCCCCTTGGGTTAACCCCCCTGGGTCAGCTCCTTGAATAGCTCAAGTTAACAATACAAGCAATACAGTCACAGATTTAAGTGTGCTTTTAAGCACTCCTCGCAATAATCATTTTTACAGAGTACACATAATAACATTATTATTAATAATACGAATCTTCGAGAAAACCCGACAGTTTAATTAAATAGTCTCTGTTATAATTGAAAAGTATTCGAAAAAACTAAATTTACACAACACAGAAATCTTACCCATGCAAACTCAATCTTCTGGGGTCAAAAGGATATCGACCATCTCTTATCTTGGAATCCACAGGAATATGAGGTTGAACGTAGAAATTCCCTAATCTTGGATCAACACCAGGACCTGACAATGTAAGACAATATTGACAAATAATCAAATGATATTAAAGCTATGAGTATCAACTGAATACGCCAGAGTTATATTTCCAGGCATAGCGGGATTTTTTTCATATCAAAGTATACTCAAATTGTATAAATCGATCAAATGAATAACAAATACGGAGATGCAAGGATTTGAATAATAATGTCACGATGGCCTCATTACAAATCTTTTTTCCTAATCTCCAAATTAGGAATGCCGATGCCTTTCTCAGGGCATATTTAGTCGATTTAAAATCCATAACAATAATCTCATAACCGAGGGTAAAAATAGACCAGCTAAACCGAACATGAATATTTGGGTTTCAGCGCCGTCTTTCGTTAGAGAAAGTTAGATTGAATTAGGGTATAGTCCCGCCCTTCTCCAAGATAAAGAGAATCAAAGATCAGAATCAAAGAAAACATATCAGAAATTCGAGGCAGTAGATTGTACCTATATTTGCACTTAAGGAAAACAATGAATGTTAGTCTATATCAGGTTATTAAAATAATGAAAAATCCTATAATCGCGTAAAATGGGCTACTGTTCTATTGGGTTAAGTTTTGATATAAGCAGATTGGTAGATCTCGGAAAATCACATGAAATATTACCAGCACTTTGGTTTGCTTGTTTCGAATATTCCAATTATTTGGCCAGCTCAAATTACTGATATATATATATATATTTATACAGATAAAGGGCGCCTCCAATACGGTAAGACTCAATTACATTGCGCAGACCAGGCTTATGTTCTGAATTATTTTATTTTAGACTCCGATTTTATTTCAATACTGTTTCTTTGTTATATATATGCCAGCTTTTGTGAAACAAAAACAATATCTGATTAAAATTTTAGGCTTCATAATACAATAACCTATATCAAATGTCTTTTAACAGATTTGATATCAGTTAACCATTATATATTTAAAAACAAAAAATTCAATAAAATATAATCATACATATGCCAAAGATCGGCCAATAATGGTAAAGAGCAAAAAGTTCAGGATATAATTTCAATGCGTTATCTCTTGTATTGAATGACGTTGCAAGAAAAACCACGAAGCCTCGCTTGCGGGAACCATAATGTGTCATCGCTGATAACAAAACACTTAAGTTACAGTTGAAGCGGGTGAATGAGGCAGGCAGCGGATTTTATTGCTTATGGCAATGTCCCAGCTTGTGATACAAAATCAATGGTGACCGTACATTTGAACCCATGTACATTTGAACCCATGCGTATATCCACGGGTTCAATCTATATGCGGGTGCTAAAACCCATGGGTTAGGGTTAGTATGGGTTTAACTATCCGTGAAACAAAAAAAATTCCATAGGTGCAATAGCATACAGGTGCAATTGTCATGGGTTCAAATGTACGTGGGTTCAAATGTAATGGAACCAAAATCAATTGGTATATACCGCGTTATTAAACATAAATATAATGCTACAGATAGCTGTATATAACTGTGACAAGCGACAAATCGCCTCTATCCGCAAATATTTCATTTTTCACCGACGTTTTATGGTTCATGCATTATTATTTTTGCAAATAATACTTCATAATTTTAGCTATTTTGATCGTGATAGGTCAAAGACTGGTAAACATTTTTATGGTTGCATTTGCATAGGCTATGTCCCGAATTCAGTTCCCTAATAACAGTATCTGGCTCCGACTATCTATCTGAATGCATCCATCCATCTTCTATATTTTGATCATTAATCTTAAATCCATATCTTCAATAGGATTTACGGTTTGTATAGATTTTGGCTTGTCCAGAAGTCGGCATGATATTTTAGAAATTCAGTCATACAAAAAGTACAATTTACGCAATATGAAATAATTCGAAATATATACCAAAGTTGCCAAACCAGTTACCAAAGTTGCCAATTACTGATGGTAAATATTATGGGAAAATATTCATTAAACAATTCGGTTCTAGCCTCTCCTCCTCTCATGCGTTGTTAATTGGGTGATTGATGAGAATATTCCACAGAATTAGTTACCAATTCGGAAACAAAGGCGACTTGGGTGAAAATAAATAAACAACTAAAGCTATTTTGTATTTTCTGCGGTTTGCTAGTTTTTCTGTGTATGCGAGACCCTCCTCTATGCCTTTGTTATATTTATTAAGATTTATTTTTAGAACGTTTTCCAACAGAGGTGCAAACGTATTTAATTTGCACAAGAGAAGTTTTTTTTAATATTAAATGTTGAAACTCGCCAAAGCTAATCGGGGCACATTGGGGTCCGCCCTGTCTTCACAGTATACTTATAAAAAAAAAACTCTAATTTTAATTGCTACCACAGAAAATCGGCGGGCCATATTGTATTCATTTTCACCAGGAAGGCAGTCAAGAGTATTGGTAGGTATAACGATGGATCATAATAGCATTCATGAGGTTATAAAAATAATGCATCGAGAAATTCTGACATATTGTGATTTGTGATTAATATATAACCATCATTTTTCTTATTTTAAGCCTTCCATTTGGCAAAGGCTCTGTATAGGAAACACATTCAGATGAACGTAGATAGGAATATTCACTTTTATTGTGTAGAATACCATATCCAATTACTTCGGTGACGTTGAATTTAGTAGGCGGTTGAAAAGATGTTATGTGAACGCATTGATCATGGATGTCGCTATTTTTTGACACAGAATCTCTAATTTACTAATTTTATGTTTAAAATCGTTACCTTGAAGAAATTGCTCATGGTTTTTATGCGTGACGTCACCGGGAGCCAGTGGTGCACGAAAAGAATCATGGCCTTCTCGTCTTTCAGGGTCATAATCTGAATATGAAATTAAATCTGGCGTAAGGGGAAGTAAAGTAAAATAAATATTCTAGGCCATTTATAAGGACATATTTACTGATTTTATCGTCTTCACTTTGATGTCGCTTTGAAGACAACTTTTTAGATGCAGCATTCGACTCCTCTGCGATTTTTCCTGTACAAAATAGAAAATGTAACGTAAGGGTTAAGTCCATCCCAATAAAAAGTATATATAATAAGAAATCATCTAGGCTTTTTGTTGCTATTAGAATATCCTCGCCGCATTGTCAGAACACTGAGAATCAAAGTCTATTGATAAATGTATTACTTATGAGGTAAAAAGCCTATCTCGGCTCCTTTCATGTCTGAGACGCACTATAGCTAAAACGCGGAAAAACAGAGAAATTTTATAACATCGAAGTTAAGGAATTTTGGGCCGTTAAAGTTTCCCATGAAGTGTGTAATGCAATTAGTCTACCAAACTAAAAGAACGAGATTTGAGTTATTCCTACCCGACCAAATAGATGCCTAAGATAACCCATATTAACGAAGCAAAACTATTTTTGATACATGCTAGTTTGAGGGTACTTTTTGCATCACCAGCGTGAAACTTCGAGCCTTTTATCTACCATTTGACTCACTTAGTAAAATTCATAACGCAGCCAATTATGCTAATTTTGACAGCGATTTTTCAGGCGCCTGAATTTATGAGATTGTACTCTCTTTGCTCGCAAGAAAAGTCACAGGACGCGTGTCGGAGCGATTAGTATAAGTGGATGGGAAATTATTATCATAACAAAAATTAGATAAAGCAATATTAAAAATAATCTATTCCTCGGATATACGATATTACCATTCTCCCGTGTAGTCACAGATACCGAATTTGCTACCAATTCTAAACAGCTTTCAGAAACTTTGAGATAATAGACAAGTTACATACGTCGATGGATCAAGAAAAAAGGTAACAAAATATTGCCAACAAAAGCGTGATTTTGAGTGATTTCATTGGAATTGTATAATATTATCACCCCGATCTATTTGCTAATCAGATAAAAATGATCCTATTACCTAGTGGCGTCCCACAGCTGGGTGGACGATGGTCCGGCACCCCTATAGCTCCTCTTCGACCCCGCCCGGCTTGTTTCTGCATCCGGAGCCTTTCGTCATCCTCTTCTGGAAAACAAAAATTGAAAATCTGAAATCATTGTTTCTGTCGATCACGATTTAGAATGAACGTGAAGGTTTTTTTATTTAGAATACATACATGGATTTTTATACATATTGATGTATCGAGATTATTGCTTTGCAACTTCGTTCCGATTCGATAGTATCCAACAAATATATTACACACCGAAAAGGACGATATGCTTATAGGTACCAGTGGGTTGAATAAGACACAAACCCCTGGTTTTTAAACAGCGATGTCAACGAAGTTTGGCTAATGCGCTAAATAATACGAAATAGTCATAATAGAACAAATTTTTTGAATACAAGACTAAACAAAATGGTGGACAGCTACTACCTTTTTAAATTCCGTTACGTTTATTGTTATGTCAATATAAAATATATCCATATAATCTAGACAAAATCAAAATTAATTGGTAACTATAATATTTTTATATGGACACTCGAATATGGACACTCTAACTGGCATGGATATAACCTATATTGAGAGAACAAGTTATATTCAAAATCTTTATGAAAAAAAGTTGAGAAACTTTGACCAGAATACTAGTAGGCCTATAGGGCGTTGATTTACAATCGACAAATATAGTCAAAACATAAACCGTCGTCGCAGAGTTTCGCCAATGATACATTGATAACAATTCTACGTTGCCAAATTCAACCAAGCATAAACTGAGGATTAAATCTTCTAGCGAGCAGGGACAGCAGCGACCGATGATTGACAACGACGTCGATGTTATCGGCGCGAAACGAAGCGAGAAAAATCTGGGAGAAATGGGGTCGTACCGTTGACAAAATTTTGGGAAGACGTTTAATTCCACCGAAGCAAAACGGGGACTGGATAGATTACTATGGATTGTTTTCCTAGTTAACTAAAATTTGGGATTTATATGGGGTCATGCTAGAATAAGCCGAAAAAAAATGTAATAAATAAACAAAATAAATATATATATATATATAATCTTTGAAATAGTAGAGAAAACAAAAATATATTCTTTATGTTCCACGCTATAAATTTTAAAATTGAACATTCATACATTACGTAATTTCTGACAATAAAATTGGAAGCATTGATGCGAAAACTTTACACAAAATTTGTGTACAATACAGTTGATATGAAAATGTTCCTGTAAATTTCTCTGACAATTTGAAAAATATATAAAATTAAAACTTAATTGGAATAGTATAATAACTAGTATACGTAATTAACGACAATAGGGTTAACATGATTCTAATATATTACACCGTAATATTGACGATGACGGTGAAGAATGAATTCCAGAAAAAAACAATTTACGGTCACTGCCGTTGGAAAACAAACGCAAACTTTACACTAAAATTCATATTAAATATTGATTTTAGAGGTAAAATAGTCTTCCTATTTGATAAGACATTGATGATACCATTTTAATTGAGATACTAAAGGAAATTTACAGTAGTTATTGAGTATATCTACTACAGCTATCTTTAATTATTGAATTATTTTCATAGATACGGCTTCAACTCAGGTATATACAAACATGCGAGGGACAGTTGTGCGATACAATAATGATTCATTCTTGGCTAGAAAATATTGTTCCTTTCATGAGAACGAACGAGTAAAAGAAAACTTCCAAATTCCTCTCAAATTAATTTGTTATAGTAAATATTCCGTATAGTCTTTAGGGACCACTGTAAAGTGTAAGAAATTTCCCTGGAGATGAAGTTGTATAATTTGAAAGTTTTATGTAAACAAAAGACAAGTTCAAATGGTGGCCAATACAAATTAAAATCAATTAAAATAACACTGCTCAACAATTAGGAGCGTAAAACGGGTAACGTTCGGATTATGTCTCAGAATGTGGAAATTATGTGTTTTTTGTATCGGAAGTTCGAAAATATGCGAAAACGAAATATTCAAAATATTTTTATTCCCACTTCACCAAAATGTAACTTTTTCTAATTTAACCTAAAATATTCAGAATCAATGAAAATAAGGTCAAAAATTTAGAGATGGATCAATAATAAGATTTACTGCAAATCAAATGCTCACTTTACATACCTGTTTCACTTGTTTCACTCCGCTCTAAATTAGCAAGTAAATCGCTTAAATAAACATCTTCAGTTGTTATAGGCATTTTTCGGCAAACGATAGCAATGATACTTTATCCATTGTAGGACTCTTACTTTCATAAAGTAATATTGAGCGTTGCCGTCTTTTCAAAAATTGAATGATTACTTAATGGTATGCAAACTATGTTACTATCTACGTATTTTAAGCTTAGTTATGCATAGTTGAATACGTAAATCTATAGAAATTAAGAAACTTGGTTGACCTTATGCTGGCAGTTTTTTGGACGAAAATATACATTTTTGTATAAGCTTTCCAGGTATTATTGTATGTTTCCTGGAATCATTTCAGGTTCGATTCTAGATCAATCATGATAGCTTTTGTCAAATCCGGCTTACATCCCAACCCAGGACGCAAGGGGTTGGCAATTTTGGTGCTTTCAAAACCCTGTAGCTACCAGTTCATGGACATATTAAATGCTTGTGAGCGAGCTTTGCTCCGACAAAATGTTCCCCTAAGGCCTAAATTAATCGATTCTATTGCATAATTTAATGTCAGCCAAATACACAAAATATTATTGTATTAGCAGCAATATATGGGAACAAAAGTCAAAAGACTCATGTGCTGACCGCAATGCCAACAAATTCTCAAATATAATAATAATTTTACCGAATACTATATGAGATATTAAAAGAATGGTCACGAATGCCATATGGAGTAGTGTCCGTGAATTACGAATTGGGAAAATTCAATCTTTCCTAACATTTTGTTTGTGATATATTATGATTGTACTAGCATTTATCTCAATGTGGTGAGTGATACATGGATACGTTTATACCGTAATTCGCACGATAATGGTATTCACAACATAGCGGAAGGTTGAAAGTTCATCGCTACACGATGTTAACAAAAATAATCTCACGGGAGTCCTGGCATCCAGTACGACAATTAACTATACTTTAATGATAGGTTTGATATATTTGCGTTAAAACGATCACAGGGATAGTCCGCACAAGTCATGGTGTGATAACTAATTAAATTACGAAAACGGTTGCATCATTCCTTCAATAAAATATGCAAAAAATTTGAACAGAGTCGCACGCACCTCGTGAATTTTTATTCGCTCATTCGCGTCCAAATAGCATGTATGCACTCATAACTTAACAAATCGTTTTTAACAAGTAAGGGGTCATAATAAGTTTCTTTATGATATGAACAAATTTCTTTTAGAATTCAAGTTTACAAATTACATCATAATTTCGTAAAACACGTTTTCCGCATTTCAAAAAATGTACTGTTGATCGTTTTTTAAGACGGGAAGTGGCATGGAATTTTATCGCTGCTCAGTGGCGAGTGATGTCCAAGCGAGCCTAAACTTGCAGTCACTGTAAAGTACTGCTAACAAGCAATGGGTCCAAGATTTCTAAAAAGCAACTATTATATAAACAAACTGTATCACCATTTAAATTCAACCACAAATAATTTGAAATAGAAAATCAATTTAGTACGTCTGAGGTTGGGCAATATCCAAGTCGACTGGTGCAAGAACTGGGAAATTTCAAACAACGATAACGGCAAAGTTATCCCGTCGATTTTCCCGCCGAAATTCCACGTTCTGTTTTATTTTGACAATTGACAACAAGAATTTTTATCACTACTTTGCAAACATTCAATTTTGCGAATGCATTGGTCTAATCACAAAAGTGGTCGACGTTAGGCCAAGACGTTCACCACACGTTTCCTGTTTGTACTTGAGTTCTTGTCTGGAACTAACTGGTTACCTTGCGCTAATCGAGGCGAAATTAAAATACAAAAGCTTTGTAATGAAGCGTTAAACAAATGATACATAACACAAGCTGCGAGTGAATTAGTATATTAAAAAAAACGTCCATAACCCTAAAGTTCTAAACCAAAGTTATCAAGTTTGGTTCATTCGCGACTGGAAGGCTCGAACCAATCGATAAAGCCGAGTTCTCCCTGAAGCTTTGATATCGACAAATGTGACACATTATCTAAGTTTAATTAAAACAGTTTTAAATATTATAGCGATGTTGTCAAACAATATAATAGACCAAACCAATTGTAAATAGGTATACTAAATATACATAGTGAAGTCTTAGTTTGGAAATACCATTAAATTGTGATTTCAAAATGGTCATTTTAAATTAGAAAAGCCAGGCTACACACGTATTTTTATGTTCCTTATGAACCAATTTTATAATAATTAAATCAGATATTCCATATTCAAACATATTTAAGTATATATTCACGACATCGCAAACTTATTCATTCCTGCACTTCATTATCCATATTAAACAACATAATTCATTAATTTAATAAGTAAATTGGTGGATTCTAAAAATGGAAGTCAAATCGGTACAATTAGAACTGTTTTATTGTGAGTGCACCACAATGATAAAATGACTTAACGAAACACTTCTCCCTTATTAATCAACTTGTCTGATACGATTTGATTGAAATAAGTTACTGTTAGTAACACCATTAGTTACAACTATTTTTAACGAGAATACGACTATCACTGCTCCCTTACAAATATTGTCCTCGCTAAAAACTGTCCGGCATACAGTCCAAGTCTACATTGGTACAACGAAATCCTCTAAAAGAGAGTGGCATCTACTGCACTAATAAGGTCAGTTTTTCCCAAACTGCCGGCAAAAAAAAACGTTCCCAAACTAACAAATCGTTGTTGCCTCGATAAAAATACCGTCTGCTGTCATCAGCCTTATTTTGTTGTCGCCGTGGGTGGTCTTAAAATTACTGGTGCCGTAAGCCACAAAAATCGGGCCTTTTCTTCGCGCCCGTTCATGGATGGCTGATCGTGTTCAGTTTTTTAAAAAATGTAGCAAATATGTAAAAATATTTAAGTAATTTTGTGCATAAATGAACATTCCCATCAAATTATAATTTGTCATTCAGACGAGTAGCCTTTTTGCCGCTGAACATCAATGCCCGTAGGCTTATCCTGTCCAGGATTACGTTGATAATCCTTCCGTAAGTCTTGAGGTCGGCTATTCTATAACACAAGATAGCAGCAACGACCATAAACAAGAACGTGACCAAAGTAAGTTTATCGCCGCACAACCTGTGGCCGTCTAAAAAATATCACATCCGGAATATAGTCTTACTATGCCACAGGTGTGTCCTTTGCTAAAGTTCAAACACCTGGACTGACACATTATAAATACGTATTTGAAATAATATTAAATTGATCTAAGTCATAAATTCTTGACTAGCGTTTTAAATATTAATCACACGGCTATTGGTTAAATTACTTGATCACAAATAACGCAATCATGTTAACGGACCCCACAAGAAAACAGACATCAGTCATGAAAGTATTTCAGAACCTCACAGAGTGTAGCTCCAGAAACCCAAATTAATTGCTCAATTACTATCTAATACCCTAATTGTTTTGGTATTTTTAGGGAATTTCTAGTAGGCGAAAATTGATACCCTATTGAAAGGGAAATCGGCTACGAATGGGGTCGAAAAGATTTGGTGGCACCACGTGACTCATGAAATTTGAGCTTATCACCCAAATCGCCGGGAGATAATGAGTCCGAAAAGACGCAATTTTGGGTCAACAATCAAATGAAAACTGTATGCGCATGGTACCAAGTCTAACAGAAATCAACGCCGTCCTACATAACCCGTTTTCAAATAAGACAAATGATTAAATGTCGTGTTGTTGACAAAATAAATTAACTTATTTCTTTTAATTAAACAGCCCGTTCTTAATAATAATTAATATCGACATTCTTTGACTGTAAGCTGGGAGTTTTTGTTATATATTTATTCAAGACATTTTAACTGCCAGACTTTTAATAGAATACGTAAAATAAGTTTTATTTCATCATGTCGTTGGATTCCCGTTCTTGTTACATTAGAAAAGAGAAAGATTTTTGTTAATGGAAAAGAAAAGGTAATGTCGAAAGTATCACGCAGACAAAAAGAAAATGAATATAATTCACATTCTTTTGTGATTCACAACAATCCATGTCTTACAACATGTTGTCAAATTATTCAAATAAAGAACATATACATGAAACATGGTCAACATCAAAGGATATTTGACAGGCCGGCACTGTACATATCGGTAAATTGTTTCAGCTTGACAGAACCAATGCAAGGCGGCGCTAGGTATAACGATGCTATTCTTTCTCTGTTCACATTGGCTTATCTAAATAAGATGGACTCAACTAAACTGTTTTAATTGAAAGAACCCTTTATATTAGTTTTAAGAAATTCATAAATAAAATTGATATAAACTGACAGGAACTTAAAAATTTAATTTCATATGGTGAGCATTAAGAGGTTTTAAAATAATAATCCAAATTGTAATTTTAAAAACGAGAAGAATAATTAAGTAATGAATGCCTAACTATTTCACAGAATAACTAAATAGACCAGAACTTACATTTTCAAAATGGGTTTTATACGATTCACAGTAATGCATATTGATATTCTTAACTTTTGATAAAGCCACTGCATAATGTTAAATTCAATAAAAGTGGGAAAAACAAAACGCGTGAACGGGGAACGATGAACGCTTTTTGATATATATATATATATATAGTTTAAATTTTTCCTCATTGCGCTAACGAGCCATAACTCGAAAAGTACTCTCTACGTACGGCGAGAAATGAATATTAACCCTACCGATCAAGTTCCAGTTCCGATAACGTTTTTTTTACTGATGAGCAACTATTTGGCTTAGAGGGCTTATACCGCGTCATTTATTCAATGCTAACTATGGCAAATGAGAAAGATGTTTTTTTTATTTCTACAAAGTGAGTCCGTATGTTCGATTGACTGCTTATTCAAAGCCTTGTTGAAGGTTGATGTAGGGCAACTCATAAGTCTTTACATCAGACTTGAACATACATATACCATCTATATATTCTACTCTCAAGTTGAAATCCATCCATGACAGACGTTTGTCAAGTTTAAGTATTGCTGAGACAAAGAATGTTGGTAAAGCTCATGCTCAGTCCATCGACCACGCCGTCGATACAAAAATGTATTTTGGGGTTTTCATGGTGTTGGCATCAAATAATTATAGAGGAACGATATAGGGTTGTCTGAACACAAAATATGAGTCACATTCAACGGCTGAAAACGCCAGCCTTATCCGGTAACAATCCGCCCAGTTATTATAAACGCTTCATCGAGTTTCTTTCCTTTACTGAAAGCGATAAATAATAATGTAGGCGCCGAAAGATGGCTGAAACATTTTGGAGAAAATGTACGGCAGCCTTTTATTGAAGCAGAGTTCCTAGTATGGCAAAAATATTTCAAACATGTTTTATATGACGCAGAAAATTGTATTTGCTTGCAAAAAAAGCCTAAAAATCTAGAAAATCTACATCAAAATATTTTGCAGTATTGTTTTTCAAAAATTCACTCTTATTAATTCAGTACTTGCATAGCTTTGCTACATAATTCAACAAAAATATCCACCACATAAATGACAAATAAATATTTAAGAAAAAATATTTGCTTGATTACGAAATACAAATGACTTCATCACATCGCCAAGTTCCGATCCCGCCACTTCGTAATTTACCTCCATTAATTGAGTCATAGCGCGTGAAATTGTCGTATAAGTCGGATGTCGGATTCCTCGCGATAAACTGACTTTATTTAAGAAAAACATTTGATAGCAAATTCTCGTTTACAGTTCGTTTACAATTACACGCTCTGCGCCGAAGGCATAAATATCCGTCTTACACGTTTCGTTTTGGTAATCTTGTATCCTTAATATTGACTTGTAACATTAAAATTTCGATGATTGAGTCACTCTACAGGTGCACAAGGATGGCTCGAAGGAGGGAAAATTTTACAAGATTTGCCGATGGGTCATAGATATTGTTTTGCGAATCGCTGGATATTTGAACCAAGTTTTAAAAAATATACTATGAGAATTCAGTCCAAAATCAATTTGCGCGTTGTTTTGAGGGTAATAACATTACAAGATAAATATTGCTTTAAAGACTCAAATATTTTTATGAACTACATAAACTTATTTTATACTATATTTCTCACTCATTTTTACTACCCCACCATACGTTTTGAATTTAAAGACTGTAATATATATATATGTATATACTTTTTTTCTAACAGTAATAGTTTCATACTGTTTATTCAAGGATTCTCAAGCTAGAGCAAGAGTATAATGTTCATAGCAAATCAAATTATCAATGTCCAAAATCATAAATTTTCATCACATATATTCATAACGCTGTCACTATACAACTTTCAAATATGTCTTGCAACAACAGAAACATGAACGGAAATGTTATTTGCGGTCGAAATTATTTGATGGTTGAATACGGATTAGTGACGTTAGACAATATTCAATGCTCAATGTTTGTGAATGCAATTTGAAGCTCTTGAGTTAAACTACTCAATGACCATATACTTTTCGGTACTAATTACTGATTGCTACATTTTCGGTATCAAAAATTGAATTTAATATTCCTGTGCCACACTGTTGATAACTTTCAGGATACTTTTATTGCCGATTTGCCAAATATAACTGCTGATACTGTATACATAGATTAAATTCAATCAACAAGTTTTGCGCTTAGCCTAATATCAATCAGAATTTTGTTATGTATTATCCTGTTATTGCCCGTCACCAGCGTGATTCTTTCCCCGCGTTTCACTAAGGACTAAGGTAAACAGAAAGTAAAAGATCTAACCAAACCTCATATAAATATCATCAGTGAGCAGAATCGAAAAAGCTCAGAAATTAATGGTGGGGTGATAACAGTACAGTAAATTTAGTTTACCAAAATTTAGTTTTAGTTTAATTTACAATTTACATATCTAATCCAATGTATATATATTTATATATACTCTATTCTCATCTTTTGTAAAGAAATGCATTACTTTCAATACTTACCACTAGAGGTCGTGCTCGTTGCTGCCGCCGTTTCCGTTTTTGTTGAATTCGAATGCGAGTTTCTATGTGAAGTTGGTGTAACGTTACTTAACAAAAATCCGGTTGATTGCTCACAGTAATCCACAGAAGGGCTTCTGCATTGACGATGTTTTTCCGTAGGGGAAGGTGAGCGAGCCCTAAAATCATAGAAGTATCTTGGTATGTCGTGAAAGTAGCATAACTGTGTGATTCATGCTTCTCACGTGATGATTTTTTTTTTAATAATGAATACAAGTGCACAGAATTAAAGTGAAGTAAGTATGAGGCTGAATCAGCCGCTAATAACAAATCCGTTTCCAACTTTGAAAAGCTTTTAATTGGAGCTTTGATGTAGTATCACGTTAATAATATCCTAAATGAATAATCACTTTTTAGGTTTGTTACGATCTTCTTTACTTCAAAAAAAAAATGATGACTTAAAATGATTCTACAAAAACAATCATGTCGGTTTACCAAAAGTTCTATAATTCACTTTCAACAAACCTTTTGCTGGATTTCTCAGTGGTTGAAGATACGTGATGCTCGTCTGATTTTGATCTTACTGGTGAAAAAGCAGAATCACTTCCAGATGATAGACTACCAGTTCTTTTCAATGGTGGATAAGTCACAGGCGCGTAACCACCGTGAGAAGCAGGAGGATAAAACAGACCGTTAAAATACGGTTGAATCGAGCTGTCTGGATACTGCTGATCGTCAGAATAATCGTCTTTGGCTCTCCGTAAGTTGTGATGATTTTTTTCCGTCTTTTTCTTTATTTCGTGGTGTCGTCCTTGTGTCCCTGGAATGCGTTCCATATCACGAAGTTAATTTTTGACAAAACCATCTCACACCTGAAGCATCGGTTTAGAAATTACAAATAGCCTACTCAAATAGATATTTTGCCTACTGCAACCTGACAATACCCAATAATGTGAGCAGTGTAAACAGTACAACACCAAGTCTTGAACTTGACAAAATATCGTGTTGTCCGCTTCTTTCAATAATCTCGCTGACCTGGGCAGATTGAAAGTTGAAGAGCCGAGCATTAAAAGCAGATTATCTACCTTGTGATTGACTATGGGACATATTCTAAAAGATTCTAACGAGTAAGCAATTATCTACTTCTTAGGGGCCGTATGTACGCCCTATTGATGGGCTGACGTAAACAGTGAATCGCCCATGACAATAATTAATTTGAGAAAAAGAAAATTTGAGATGTTTGCTTTGATGCAACAAACCACACGATCATAAGAGTCAAAAAGAACTAATTTATTGGTATTCTATAGGATGTGATCCAGCATTTAAATGATTAGACTGATAAATAGATTAATTTTAAAAGCATGACATTATTACTTTGATAACACAATATTGTGCTAAAAGCCACATCATATGATTTAATTAGATTTTGCAACTCTGCCAAAAAAGAATCACATCACCCAACCTGCATTATACAGAAACTTTTTTGTCCGGGTAACTTCAAACAAGCGGATTTCGAAATTTAATACTTTTTTGAGGGTTGAGGTCAGTTAGGTCACGTAATTAAATTTTACAACTTGAAATGACTGGAACTGTACAAAATATAATCCGCTACAAACAGACGACGGCGCATATCCGGCCCTTCGAAAATAGTACGTTAGTTTTAGTTCATGGACACAACTGAAGAAAGAAGACTTCTTCCGAGATTTTATTTAAAATCGTAAAAATCATTACAGTGTTTGGAATAGCAATAGCAAAGATGAAAAATACGCTCAAAATGTGTTTTCAGTTTTGTATTTTGTTAATTTAGTATGTTATTTTTTACTGAATGGGAAAAAATAAAGTTGACTATGACTACTATGACTCATCGGTGGCGCAAGCGACATAATAAAGTCACAGCGATTGTAGATTTAAAAAAAATGAAATAGCGTATAATAGCATAATACATCTACACTAAATGCTTGAAGTCAAAGTTAATCTATAATAAATATTTTTAGATACATGCCTTAGTATAAATCTCTAGCAAAACCATTCTTTCTGGACTACATTGATTTTAAATGTCTAACAATTGTCTCTCGAGCAATGAGGTTAATTACAGCTTACAGCGTCGTGATTGACTTTTTTTGATTGTCGAATACCGCAACAATTCCTTATGTAAAACTATAAACTATCTGCACAACTTATCGCAGGTGCCCAGAAGCGATAAATCGTCTTTGTAACTCAACAATATAGATTCTTTTGGCAGAGCAAAAGGCGGAAAACTAATGTCTATAACTAAATAAACCAAGCATAGCGGAAAGCGATAGACTGTAACGGTAACTTGATATGAGAGCATGCTCGGCGACACCGAGCTCCATAAAGAAAATTTCTCGCGCATTTGTCGACGCCTGTATCTATCTGTTTCCATAGAACATTAATTAAATTTCATATTTATACGATAGAATTAAATTAATGTAATCGTGATTCGAGATGTTTCATAACATTTGACGCATTCGTCTGAAGATAGGAATATAACAAGAATCATAAATATGATGCAATTGCATCGAAAATAAACCAATCCCTTCACTCACTTAAGTTATTATTTTTACAATATTAATGATGGTTCCAGTCCAAGCAATCTAAAAATAAAATCATAATATACAAATTTCTTTAAGGTCAAAATGAGCACTGCCAGTTGGCCCCGACCAATTTAGGTTCCAATTTGCACAGTGGTTATTATACAATATTTTCGTAAAATTCAAATCAATTTAGAAGATGTTATATATGTGTATGGCCAGTCCAGAGAAAAAAAAAACCAGACAAAAATTTCAATTTCGAGTGCAATTTTACCAAATGCATTAGCACATACTTAAAATGCAGTGAAGCACAATTTTACTGGAGCGACTTAAAATCTGCGGGAAACGGCTAATCTAAAGTATGGGTTTGTCGCTTTAGGTACAAAAAAGAAGTGAACTCGAAATAATCCCAGTAAATAGGTGCTTCGAAGTTCAAAACAGAAGGTCTTTGTGTTTATGCCTGCCTATTATATTTCTTCACTAGTGGTGGTTAACAGCCATACACAAATATGCAAACACGTATTCATGAAAGACGCTTCTGGAAAATAACCTTATATAATGACCTAACAAAAATTATATAAAACAAAAAGTGTGGATTTAGGTGAATGAACGACTGGGTGGAACTGATATTGTGACCAGCGACTAAACATAAGATAAAGTGGTAGCGCAGGTATGTTGCGTGTCATCTATGGCCATAACTCAACTGACAAACCTACTCGCAGCTTGATTGCCGTGAGAACTGAGGAATCAAAAAGCTATAATTGCTGAAATATTTACACCATATCAAAAAATATATTCGTGGCCAATGATGTTTTGGTCTGTGCCACGCTCCGTTTGTGAAATATCGGAAGAACTATTTTCCTAACAAAATAAACCTCCCTTTCGTACTTCGTTAAATTTTGGCGACTCTGCAAAATATTATTCTCGATAATCATAACAAATCTTTTGGCACATGCGAAGTACTCCTGATTTCTGAAAACTTTAAGAGTGAATTAGGTATTCGTAACTTTGAAATCACCAAACGAGTCAGTTAATGGATTAAATAAAAGAAGTCAGCCGTGTTTTTATAGACTGATCAATCGGGCAAATAATGAAGAATCCTGATTCTAAACTTGCACACACATGCTACACTTAAACACAGTGTTTTCAGAAAAAAAATATACAAAAGTTAGCATTTCGCCATCAGCTCAGATTTCAAGCTCGCATGCTTCAAACTTAGCCTCAAGCTATGAAATTCGGCACCAAAAATGTTGCTGAATGAAATATGGTTTCGTAGATCGCAATTTGTCGTAATATTGCACCTCAAAAGTATCTAAAAACACGCATCGTTATTGGATACAATAAAAAGACATAAAAATTGACTTCAACGTGTAGGACGGGTAAGCTGGAATAAAAGCTTGAAGCGACCCTTAACATGTCCGTAATTATTGCTCCGTAGCGCTATACCGTAACTAAGCAAGGCCAATTGGAATACAACCCAGTCGAGATAGCCAAGAGTTTATGCATATATTTCCTAAAAATGTTTTCTTAGATTTTATTTAAAATGTGTATTTAGCTGACATGTAGGCATAGCACTTTTATCTGCACGTCGTATTTGCGTGGTTTATAGTTGAATGTGAGAGCAGATAACAAAGGAAACGAATGATTGAGTGTGTGCAAAAATATCTTGCAACGTTACTATTGCAAGCATCGGCTGTAACATACTAAGTTAAGTGTATGTATATTTGAAATATCTGGAAAAATTTCCTTCCATTCTTTGTAATTGGAATAGCTATGCTCCGATGCGTAACAGTACGTTGATTACGCAGCTCATATTGCTATTTATGTGAGGTAACAATCCTTTTCGATTGTCGCTACTGTCAGTTTTCCGCCATCTAAATCAATGCATTACGATTCAGCAATACGGCAACAAGTTTTCCCCACACTCGCTCTGTAACTGGGCTGAGGGCCGTGGTTAATCTTATTGACATTTCTCCTAACCTATGATACCGTATTGCCTATCTGACTTACCGAAGTTCAAGTTTGCGCGAATTACGTCCGGCCACACAACAGAATCGCAATGAAATTCACAAGATTAACCAGACTTTACGTGATGATATAAAAAATTGAACGCACAATTGTATTTTGCATTCAAATCTCTTTCTTTTAGCATTTACGACGAGGTGAATCACAGCCTTAACTTAATCTCAGTCCCTTACCTTTCCTAAGCCCTCAAATACTGCAAAAAAAATCTGAATATAATTCTTATCATTACTGCCGATACGGGCACTCTCAGAAATTGGAGTCGTTTTTATTCTCTTGCATTTAGGTTATATCCTTAAAACTACCGAATTCGAATCGGATTTAGAACACAATATGTCTAAAAGTGCCAGTCAAGAGATCCACAATTTCATTCATGCTAAAACTCAAAGGTTTATTACTATTTTGTTGGGTCCATGCTCCTAGGCCATTGCCTACGCCCTTAAAATTTCCTCCAAAGCCTCTTTAACTGCAACGCAAGTGGAAGTCATTCCACCACAAGGCGAGCAAGTTCCTTCCTCTCGGTGAATATCGGTCAAAACAAAATACACATATGAATTGATTTACTATTATTTATCATTCACAAAGCATCCATATTAGCAAGCAAACAACGAAATGATATTTTCCAGGCAAATATATTATGTATTGTATGATAAGCATGCATCATGGCCCAAAATGAGCCGTCAACGCAATAAGAGTCAGAAATCTAGTAGTTAAACCCACAAATAGGCATAATTTTTTATATTAAATTTTGTTCAGCTACTTTTTGCTTTGTGCAAACTTCACCATAGCAGGTCACCTTCTCAATGAAACAAGCACAAAATAAGGTTGAGTGTCATATCCTATGGCGTTACGCGTTTTGGATCACGCGGGAAGAGCGATGACGAACGTATATTGTGAAGTCCAAGATACAACATAGTTACTCTTTCCATACCTAAAATAAAAACATGTAATAAAGACCAAAACTAGAATGCCAAAAAAGCATGCAGGAGCATACATGTATAATAACTAAGGTGAAGAAGTATATGATCGATATGCAGGCACAAGTCTTGGCATATTACAATGACAAAAAGCCAAATAGAACATAGTTTCCGTGCGTCTATAATATATAGTCATGTATGTAAACCTACTCATGTATCCACACTTTTAATTCTAGTGACAGCCAGAAAATATTTAGTTAAAAAAAATAAACATTTTACCTCAACCCTTCGAACAAGGCCTTATAGAATAGGATTTACATATTTATCCCAGGGGATAGGAAAGATGATAAGACGACTGGCACACCATGGCTTCTCATCTGCTTACCAGTCTATGTCGGTTAGGGCTTAGTTAGCCAGTTAACTGTTTCAGATGCATCTACTTATACATGCGACATTTAAGATACAACATCAAAAATGGGTAATGCATTGTAATGCGTTGAAAATTGTCACTGTTTTCCCAATTAAGCACAGACTGTTCATTACACAGGATGAGTTGATTCCCCCTGACTGCCGTCTGTTTTATCATTCGCCCATTTTAAAAAAGAGGATGGCAGATCCTACATAACTGGCAAACAGCAGTATTCTTCACCACATTAAAAATAAATAAACAGTGCACACACTACACACATAATGTGAAATGAACTATAATGAGGACATAAACCAATACTGGATATAGAGAAGCAACACCTTTGAAATGACACAACCATAAATAAAAAGCTGAACATTATATACTAGAAAAATCTGATAAATAAATAACTTTAGGCAACCTGATATTTCTAGTACCAGTTGATATGCATAACCCTTGCTGCAAGTCGCAACTATAGAATATAATTTCAAGCCCAAGTAAGAGAGAACCTACCTATTCCTCCTCCTCCATGGGGTGGACATCCATATCTGAATGAATCAATATAGGATTTAATTTGATTCAGATCAATTCCATGATGTTTGGCACGTTCAGTCAAAAACTCAGGATCATGAATTCTCTGGGCACCAGACAAGATTTCTTCTCCTCTCATAAACATATCATATGAATTCGACCATTTCTGAAAAATAGGTCAGTAAAATATTATCCATTGTTAAATAACTATTGCCACTAATGAAATACATGGGATTACATCAGATTTTCATTTTATACCAGGGAAAGAAAAGGCAATAACACGGCTTAGTCATATGGCTCATGGCCTCTAGTCCGGAGGGTATGAGAATAGTTGGCCAGGTATTCATTTCAGATATGTGGATTTGATGGTGGAGAAAGTCGCAACTGACCAGTGAACCGACCACCTTACAATGACGAGCAATCCCCTCACACTTAATCAGAAATCTGCGGAGGAATAGCAATGTAAAGAAAGAAACGGGCAGTGTTAACAACTATCACTAAAAACGGAGAAATACAATGTTAAAAATCATTTCAATTTATTCTAGAATGTTGAGCTCAATTTAACACAGAATATACTCATTACTCACTGAATCCTTTGGATCAGGCATGGTGTAAAATGGTCTGACAGCAAGAGGAAACTTATCTAGGATGTAGAAATCTGTATCATATTTCTCACGAACGAGACGTCCAAGTAATTTTTCATTGGGTGTTCTAAAAATAAAATATATTCAGAACATGTCGGATTTAGAGAATTTTGATGGTCATCCACAACAAATTAGATACATATCCTGCAAATCAAGCATTTTCTGGCTACCAGTACAGCCAGGTTTGAAAATAGCTGATAAGTATAATTAAATACATAAATACATGCTGGAGATAAAAAAAAAATTGATATTACATGCTGAACATTATATAAACCACCTTACATATTTCAAGCATTCTAATTAAACCTACCAGAATATTGAAAAGAAATCAAAAGTTAATGTAAAATAATACTTCTAAATGCAAACACATACAACAAAGTGTGTCCTAAAGACTTTAGAAATGTAGTTTTCTATAGGAAGGATAAACTCATTTAGGTACATGAAAATGAGCCCTCTGGCAAATAGTAAGAGGATATCTATAACATAAGTTGTATGTTCAGTCCGCACAGTTTGGAGTCAGCAACGTTCATGAAGGCTTCGATGTTTACAATTTATCTATTTTACGATACACTTCTAACTCCAAACAGAACCACTGTGGAACAAACATATAAAACCTGGCTTGGCTTTTTTAATTATGGAAATTCTGATCATCAGGAACAAATTATAACTTATACAAACTGAGATAAATCCCTTGTCATTCTTATAAGATACATTCTAATAATAATAAACTAATAATAAATTGGTTCTTACGATAGATCTTCTTCTTCATCCATCTCCACACCGGCTTCTGCTAACATCTTGACACCTTCTTTATATTCTAATATTAAAGCTGGGTCAAGAAATTTGAAAGGCTCTGCTGGATATTGTTTACCAACAGTTGAAATTTCTGTCTGACATCTGATAATATATAAATTTAGAAAAAAGTCAGAGAAATAATAACGAATATACAACTAGGAATGGGAAACTTTTTGTCAAAAATAAGTTTCAATATTTTGAGAAAACTTGTTTCACAGTCAGAGTAATTTAAATTAATCTAGTCATTGTGGTCTCATAATCACGCTGAGGGCATAGTTTGAGGAACCCTGGACTAGAACATGAAAGCAATTTGTATTCACATTTGAGCTTGCGTAAATCGATGGAACAGAAAACAAGATGATCGTCTGGGAAAACTATGTGGTAGTCGGATAATTTTCAAATTGAGGGTATATTTAGAATTGTTTGTGATGATTGCAATTGTAGGTATAAAAAAATTTGAAAATCATTCCTGAGAAAAATATAATATTTGGACTCATTCTATGCTCCAGCAAGTATGGTACTGGCATTCATTATCACAAGCTCACAGGCTTGAAGCTCGATTAGAGAGTATACCATGGTGATTTTTTACTGATATTGATGTATTAGAATTTTATTTGTGCCGCAATGAAGTTTAAAATGAATTACATTATTTCTATCTATGCAAGTTCATTGCATCAATAGAGATACACAAGGTCATTTAAACATACTAAAACCATTTCAGACCAGGAATAAATATTTTGAAACATAATTAGCCATGGAACAGTAGTTTAAGTTGACATTTTGACACATTATTACCCAATAAATATAACGCCGTTTTGATCTCAGCCCACTCACTCATCTCTCAATCCTTTAAATATTGAGACAAATACATCTCCAATAGTTTGTAAGACCTCATGATAATGGTACTTGAATGCCATTTCTAAATCCAGACCAACAAATTCCGTCAAATGCCTGTGAGTGTTGGAATCCTCTGCTCTGAAGACTAAAAATTTTAAAGCAATGACATTAGCTCGGTAGTTGGTATAGTCACAAAGACAATCACATAGCAATTTTTATTAAAAATAATTTAGGAAGTTTTATTAAGGCAAATTGAAGATAATTTTGTAAACAAGAATTATTCTTCAACTTGTCATCAATTAACCGCCAAAGAGAACTAATTCAGTGATATACTCGGATCAAGACTCTGATGATAGAGGATCGACTTGAATTGCGACTCCGGGAATTGGCTACGCCATTGAAAAATTACGTCACTACGGCATCACAGTAACGCAATAGGCCCTCCAAACTATACTAACTGTCATCCAAGACGCGCAGACAATCACCCGAAAGTTATTTCTTTCGTTTTCTCGTCTCAACGATCACGATATGAGAGAGATCGCTGGCATTAGTGAGTGAGTTTATTATTGTTGTCAAAGATGCCATTTCGGGCGATCGTAGCTATACTTTGGCAAGATCTTGAATGTGATTGCGAGGTCGTAGTGACGTAATCTTTAGATGACAGAGCCAGGTGGGGGTTAGGAATTCAAAAAGGGTTGTGCCAAGCCAAATAGAAATACATCGTTAAGTGAACATGCGTCGGGAAATGTACCTGGAATTGGATTGAACCAATAACAGGAATTTGCTAAAGAGCTGCTTTTTATACCCCTGTATCCTAGCATTAGCAAGTGAGGTAAATATTTTGGAAATACAGTTTATTGCATATCTTCATATACCTCACCTGCTCCAACTGTAAAGACTTTTTCAAAATCAGCTGCAATCGCCATTTGCTTATAAAGCTGCGGACTTTGTGCAAGAAATGCGTTGCTTTTGAAATATGACACCTAAAAATATGAGAAGTTAAAAAAAAAATCGGTACTCCTGAAAAATGCACACCAAGATGTCGCATGTGATTGTCGTAGTGATTCAGTTAAGAGAGCACAAAGAAATAAAAACAAGAAAGATTGGGAAAAAATATTTATGCCTCTAGGGCCCTAGGCTCTGGAACTGCAATGGGCCGGTTAACCGTGAAATGACCATTCGGTCTACATTTTACATTGATATGAAAAGGCACTTCAGTCAACAACCTCGTAAGTACCCAATTAAACACTACGAAGTAGGACCACCTATTATGATCCATTTGTGACATTGACACGAGATAGGAAAAAAATTCACACGTTATCAAAGAATCGTTTTAACAATAAAATATAAGACAATTACAATTACCGTAAAAACGTTGGCTCCACCTTCACTTGCAGCTGAGATAATTTTTGGAGTATGTATTTCCACAAAACCTCTTTCTGTGAGTGTGTTTCGAAACAACCTGCAAACACCTGCTTGTAGTCGAAATATGGCTTGCTTTGTAGTTGTCTGTAAAAAAAACTTAGCCACTTTCAAACTGTTGATTTCTATAAAGTAAATTTGAAATAGATCCAAAAGTGCTGGCATCGCAGGTTACACCATCTCAGATTCAAATCCCATGCCCACCACAGGGTGTATTGAATTGGGCAGGCAATAACGAACCAGAAATATTACGGTTCCTCTAAAAATAGTAGCCCCTTATTTATCGATAGATATCAGTGGCTGCTTGTAAAGGGCCTTGCTCGAAGTAAACAATGCAAGTAAGCATTGTATAAAACAATACAATAAAAGATCAAAATTTTAAAATAAATTTTTTTTTCAATTATATGCTCAATTGCCTCCTAGTGCAGGGCTACTCAATTGGCGGACCGCGGTCCGAATCCGGACCTTTCGACCATTCAATATGGACCGCTTATCAGCATAAGCATTGTTTTAGAGTTTTTGTAAATGATTCCGATACTATTTACATACACGGCTATACAGTTTGCCGTACTGGTACCGATGTGCGACATTTGTGTCCATATTTGTGAGCCAATCATTGCTCTTGTATTTAATTTAATAATGCATTTGTTTATTTATTAAACTAATTTTCTGAAATGTCCGGACCCCTGTAAAACCCTGAAAATAGTTGAGTAGCCCTGTCCTAGTGTAATATGGAACCTACCCTTAAATCCAGAATCCTATTATCTAATCTTGTATCTTGATTCACACGAGCTCTTCCATCATCTTCCTCTCCTTCTGGTTCAGGACGAGAAGCGTCTTCTATTTGCAGAGGTAGTTGAGGTGCTGATTTGCTTACAACAAATATCTGGATACAATGCGAATTGATAAATGATTTTATTATAAAAGATTGAAGCAAACGAGGTATAATATAATTTTATCATACATTCAGTCTAAAGTCTAAACCAAGCGGTTCCCAACTTTTCAATACATGCCCCCCTTTTCCTATTTTGAAATTCTATACATCCCCTTTTGCACGCATAGAAACTCTGTTTCCATTTGTGCAGTTTGAATAGTTGTATCTTGTATGACAGTAAATACGTAAAGAATATAAGAGATATTTCATGCATATAAAAAATCCATCCCTGAAACAATAAATTCCTCTCTTGGGAGGACTTCCTCCACAGTCTAACCAGTGGTTCTCAGGCGGTGGGGCCAGCCCCACAAGAGGGGCGAAGACAATTTTTTGAGGAGACGTGAAGCTAATTAAAAATATTTCCATCCACATAATTTCAATGAGTTTTAATAACACATACTTTTGCCTTACTATCTATTATTTGTAACTTATTGTTATCAATGTATTTTTGAGGTGGGGTGCAAACTTGACAAATTCTAAAAAGTGGGCGCCACTTAAAAAGTTTGAGAACCACTGCTCCAAACAAATCTCTGGGCTGGATTTTTTTACTTCAAGTTAGACTACCCAAACCCAATCTCTTACAGTGTATACAGACAGAATATTCAACTAACAACAGTTGAAATCGAAAACTTCTGACTTGTGATACAAATATAATACTGAAACGCTATATATCATCCCATGTAATGGAAATCTTATTCTTCCAAAGTATTAACAAATTTCTGAGTTTATTCCTATGTGAATCACAGCTAATTTCAAACTGAATCTCAAATCATTATCGTACTTGTTTAATATGAAGTTCAACATCCTGTTGAGTGCAACTTTCAATCTTGGTACCAACTTTACGAACAAACCCTTGAACATCGACTATGCTTTCTTTTGTGATACTGAAAGGTAAGTAAGAAATAATGGACATAATGGCACATTGCTTGTTTTAGTTCAGAAGCAGGGGGTGCTTTTCTAGCGGAAAGGCAGTAAGAAGGTACAAACACAAAGGGCATGATCTCTTCATGGAGACAATAATATCTTGTTCTTATTTTACATTTTCTCAGTTTAGAGAAGTAAGCTCTGATGTTTCTGCGGGACAAAAATAAAAAAAATAATAGGTCACAATTAGCCTGAAATTTCATAAAAAAGAGCAGAAATGAGAGAAGCTTGAGAAATGTTGCTTTACAGTATATATAGCATTGAGCCACAACAATTATAAAAAATTCAGACAATATTCTTCACAATACATATATACTCGTGCTTTATAACCAGTGGTGGGTAGAAGTCCTTAAATCCTGAGTTTCGAGTCAAGCTTGCATCTGAAGTCGAATCACCAGGCTAAGTCTCACTGGTGGCAGAGTCTGGGTCATTTGATTCAAATAACTCAAGTCACTTATCATCTTTATAGATAATTACTCTAGTACAACTCAAGTCGAGTCAATGACTTAAGCTTACCCAGCACGGTGAAGTCATAATCAACATACTAATAAGTGAAGATACAGTCGAGTAAATAAGTACAGCAATATACAACTTACTTTGCACAAAATTTCACCATTTGTTTACTAATGTTTTCTCCAACAGCTAATAAACCCTGAATTGTAAATTGTTGTTGACGTAAAACGACAAAGCATTGCTTGCCTGTCGCACGTGATGTATGTAGGCGTGCACGACACCATAACAATTGGTCAGCTTCTTTCAGTCCAATGTCACCAACTCTAACCAACGCACGATCTAAAAGACGAAATTATGCATTAGGTTGGTTAGAACCAAAAAATATAAAAAATGCTGCTGCTGTGTGAAATCTCAATGATTTTGGTTAAAACAATTGGAAAGGCTTTAACCCAAAAAGACAAAACTTGAAAAAGCTTTGATAAAAATGCGGAAACCGTATATTTTTGATTTTTAAACTTTTGCAACTTTTTATTGAATTACTTTGGTGAATATTGTTACAGACTATAATTAGAAACGAGCTTGAAGAGCACCGATTTTTTATTATATTTACAAATAAAACCATCAAAATTTCATCGACATGGAATGGGAACTAGACGAGAGTTCATGGTATGCCATATAAATGAGCCTTATTGGTTTTCCTCTCCCCGAGATATATATAAAAATCCTATCCCATCCTTTTATCTTGAAACTCCCGAATTAGCTTTTTCAATTATGATATTGGAATATTTGGGCAATGCTAAAAATGAAGAGCGATGTAAACCCTTCAAATATTGCAGAGTGCAGACCAACAAGTTAAAGTAAATTTCATTGGCCAAGAATATTGCAGACCAAGGTATTTGGTCATGGTATTCATAAACCCTTTCCTTTACAAAAATATTATATACGGTAGATACCTAATTTTTCAGTTGATTGTATCATTTTCATATCTCCATAAAATTCTTTAGAAACATCTTCTTGTTGGTTTGCTTGTTGTTCTGCGTCTAATTCAGCTTTACGCTGAGCCTTCTTAGCAGCCTTTTCTGCTTCTTTCTGTTGCTTTTTCAATGCTTTTTTTGATGTTGGATTGCCATCAGGACTGAAAGATGACGAGACAAAAAATACAAAACCTCAAAGCAAATTGGATCATTACGTATTCCAATTACCTTAGATTTAGATCATAATTTGAGATGAAAAAATCTCAACATCAGGGAATTAAAGCTGTAAACTTTGACAACAAATATTCTGAATATTTTGGTCAAGAATGAGTTATAGTGATTTTATAGCTGAAGATAGGTTTTCGTATTTAATAATATAATGTTCAAGTACATCAATAAACAGGATACATTCACAATCTACATGGTATTAGGGTTAGCGTTAATTTTATGGATAGTTACATCATATACTTGTATATCATATTGATATAACTGTATAAGGCCGTAGGATGGCAACCTGATACCTACACTACCCTAAAGCCCTAAGCTCAGATATACACAGGTTCAAGAGCAGGGGTAAGCAACATACGGCCCGCAAAGATTTTTTCTTCGATAAATCGGATTATTTTTTCCCAAGGAATTCAATGATGACATTACTAGATTGTGCTTTTTTTGTAGTATTTATAACTTCATTATAATGTATTATTACCGATATTGAGAGACAACAATGTCCAGACGTCTCCCAAAGGAGGGGTGTCTGATCATCTGCAAAATGGGTTTCTCTGAAACGGGACAGTGTCACCCGATTTGTATAGTGTGCCATTGTAGCGAATAAATACTGAAATATGTGATTGAGATATTGAATACTATTCATGTTATAATCCGGCCCACCAAGGACTTTATTTTCCCACATCTGGCCTGCCGACTAGAGAAGTTGCCCACCCCTGTTAAAGAGTCTTTTAACAGACTGACAGATGTCAGAACGTGCACACAAATCAAAACAGAAAAATTATTCTTCTAAAATTAAGTTCAAGATTTTCCCATTCCTTCTTCTTTATTTCTTTAAAAGTACGGTACCATACCAACACTATTTTACTTAGCACATCTGTTGTATTTGCATATCCCAGTATTTCCTGGTCACTTACCCCAAAACAGGTTTTCCAACTTCCGCATCCGCCATTTTCAGATTTTCGTGGGTTAGGTATTCAGCAGTGCAAAAATATGCAATTGGTGATACCGATATCTTAAGAATTACGAATTAAATAAGCGTAGACTGAGAAATCCCTGAGCCTAAAATAACTAACCAAAAATAGCCTACCGATCGCCAAAGCCGCAGGTCAATTTTTTCCGCCAGAGGCGATTTCTTGTTTACAATTTATCCAAACATGACGAAATAGAATAAATTCATATGCTTCAGTGAGCAAACCACGTGTAATATCAAGCGGTGTTGGGAGGCTAAGGCTCTCCGGACAAACAAAAAATAATACAAACTATGAAAGGTTAAATTAACACGGCAGATTGTAAAAATTCTGAGATTCGATTTGGCAGCAAAAAACGCATCTTGCTTGGTAATTGTGATTTTTCCACTAATCACAATGCTGCTCATAGTTACCTGCAGTAGTTCATAATCATAAGTTCATAATTTGTTCGCACATTCCATGTTGAATCCCGGTTTGTGTCCAATAATTTATTTCAATCAATTAAATAACAAAACAAAATTTAAAAACTATAATTGTTATAATTCTTTCTTTGAACATATCCAGTTTCAAAACACTATCAAATTACCTTTAATATCGTATCCGCCTGTGACCTGTCGTTCCCATTACAAAACTACGTCTACACTCTACGTCGGCAACCTACGGCCCGCGGGCCGGATCCGGCCCACGACGCTTCACTGATTTATAGTAACAAATTATAGCTGTTTTGTCGAATATATTCTTTACGCAAAAGAATTTACGTGTAGACTAAATTATATTATAACGTAACAAGCATATATTTCACAATTATTCGTTTAATGAGCTTACAAATGGCAACAAAACGCAGAAAAGTGCAAATGGTTTAATGGCACAAAAAAATATTCAAATGGTCAGTCTTCGCGCGCTGCTTAAAATTTAACTTCTGATCTGTGTGATAAAATGTGATTCATCGGTCATCCATTCGATTTTTAACTTTCTTAAAATATGTGCGGCCCGCCAATGACCCGCAACCTTTAATTTGAGCCCGCGTACGACAAAAGGTCCCCGACCCCTGCTCTACAGTCTACAGCAGGGGTGTGCAACCTTTATTACAGGCGGGCCAAATATTGATAACTTGGTGAAACCGCGGGCCGCACCTTTTTTACCATAAGATTTACAGCAGTTGCATGTACAAATATTTTGTTTATTGATCTTATGACATGCGTTGTTTGCTTCGCACAAGCTAAGCTGTTCGGGCATCGTAACTTAATGGGCATAGATAATAAATTGGACTTCGTTATAGGCTTTGCAAAGCAGAAGCAGATACTTTTAGAATGTCATTTCGATATTTGCGCGTCACTAAATGAACCTTAAATTCAATGATATTTTCCCCACGGCCCTTGCTAACATATGAAAACTACAGATTTGTCGATATTATTTTTCTGTCGTGTCAACTACTAATTTTGCAGCTTTTCGGAGTTTTTATCCATTGCGAAAACAAGACAGACGCAGTAAAAAGAGTATAAGTATTCAAGTATAAGTATCAACTTCATAAATATCACATTCCACTGTAAGTGAAGAAAATATTGTTCGTATGAAATTCGGACGCTTAATTCACAAACGGTGATGATGAATACAAAGTCGACGAAAAAGATAAAATCAGAATAAAATAGCTCGAGTCCTGAATTTACTCCTTAGTAGTTGTCCTTGACATACGTCACCGATGTGAATGCATAGTTCTGGCAGATATATAAAACCAAACTTCGACATTCCCTTTATGTAAGAATTGTCAATTGTAAAAGAATAAACGGGTAGTGATTTAAATTATAAACATTAGGATGGCGAGCGTCCTGGTTTTCTAAAAATATTCGGAATTCGATAAAAATATTTGAATTATTCGGGTCGATAAATATATTTGCGATTGAGCAACTTTTACGTTGAAATACATGGTCGTCGTAACACCGCTGCAATGTAACTTTATTTAATTTAGGGAAAAGCTCTTCATATGATGCGTGCTAGAGTACGCGATTATTCCACATCTCAAGCACCGAATACGGTTATATTTTAAGTCGTTTTTGCGGTAAGAAAATCTTATTTTAATGAGTGTTCTAACTTCATTTGTAAAAAAACATTACAGTATAGTAACGGCAATAATGTTGGCCATCAAATCAAGCTCGAGCTTGGCATAAAACTCATAACGTGAAAATTTACGCCAAGTGGTGAAAATTGTTTGTAACAATTTAAAATCTAGTTAGTTAGTTCAGAGATAATAGTTAATTGTCGTAAGGAACTATAGTTTGTTCTTCTCTTCCGACAATAACACTATTGAATGGATTTGGCAATGGGAGAAAAATAAAAACGTTTACAACATAGTAGGGTGTAACGCAGGATGAGCAGGCAATACGGTATCGCAGGATTGGCGATGCCTGTGAAGACTACGTATTACTCGTTCAGCCGGGAATTGGAATAACTCTCACATACCAGATCAAACTCGATTAAAAACTCGTTTTGCGGGCCGCATATCATTCAAAATTAGCACTTCTTCGCGGGCCGCACAATTTTTCTGTGCGAGCCGCATTTGGCCCGCGGGCCGCAGTTTGCACACCCCTGGTCTACAGTATACAATATTTCACAAATTTCAATTTTGTGTATTTGTAATATATATCTTTTTTTCCGTAACGAAGGTAGAAAAAAAGAGAGTTTTTCACAAACTTAAAACGGTTTCTTCAATTTTGGTGCTTGGGCTTATCCCAGTGCCATTGTGTTTGACGTTTTGTTGCTCATTTCGTAATTACCAACACCTGAAATTAAAACCAGAATAATGTTACTTTTAAAAGTATTACGCATCAGCTTAGCTATCAAAAGATATCAAAACCCATAATGCAAATTTCTAGCGGGTAATATTAGTGAAGAAATCTAAGGCTATGATATTCTCAAACAAATTCCAAATTATAGGACCTTAATCAAAATATTTTTAAAAGAGACTTAACATGGCATACTTTGTTACTGATCCCATCCAGCTCATTATGAGCTTTTCTGCTCGTTCCGTGCATGGAGAAATTGTAACAAGTCCGATGATGCAAGGCTCACCTATAAGGAACATTATAGCCTACTTTTTATCATTTTCATTACTTATGGAATTATATGAGTTTCTCTGAACTTACATTGTCACCCTCAAATATTTGAGATCTTCTAATTGGTGCAGTTGTTATTGTTTCTGAACATTGCGCAATTCGCGTCTCCGCATCTTTTTAAGTCCATACGCAACAAAATGAAAACTGCAAGAAACATATTTGATTTCAAAATTTTTTTTTCACTATAATAGTTTTCACTGTATTTCATTTATTCGTAATCCACAAAGATTCAAAATTAGGGTTTCAATATATCCTGAAATTCATCTCCAAAAACGTCTTTTTGTACCATAAAACTGAAATATATATTCGTCAATATAAATAGTAAATGTATCAATTAACAAATTCTACTTTTACCAAGAACACCCCAAGAACACCAATCAAGCCTCAGATCTTGTTCTTTTCCGTCTAAAATAAAATGAAATAAAGATGTAATTTTCGGCTGATTCTTGAGCATGAAAAATTGTGCTCAGTCGGCATTTTTTGAAGCGGGAGCGAAGAATGGCTACAATCCCGATAGTCGACAAGTTGTAAATACTATAGATAAGCTTCTGAAATGAGCCTATTTAGATTTAATATGATAGGAGTTTAACGGCTTGATTAGCCATTAAATGTACCCCGTCTGTACGAGAGCAGGGTTTACATTTGCGCGATGTGACCAAATTAAAAAAGGATTCCTCGCTTTTTGCAAGGTGGCATATATTATATATATATAGTATCAAATACCATGCAGGTCCATCCATTCATATAGCTTTGAAATGGTTCGTTATTCTAATATATATGAAGTCCCAAATGGAAGGAAGTAACAGTATGTCGGCTTTAAACGTTCGTCAGTGCAAGAAATGGGCGAGAAATCATTCACGCGTTAATGCGTTTGAATTCATACATAAGTCGTCGTTATTTTTCTTGGTGAAGATCCGTAAGTGACAGAGATATGCCGGCGGACCGTGGCGCTGTAGAATATATTTCTATCCTATTTTAAACTGTTTAGATTTAGACATCAATCAACGGCGGATATTACTCTTTCGGAATTAAAATAAAATGGTCCAAATCTCACATTTTTGTTTGCTTTTTTTCTCCCATGTTTCTTCTTGGCTACACTTATCACTCTTGTTGAAGAAATAGCACTTACCACATGCATTCTCATGCATCGTATAGACACGTATTATTGGCCGGAGCAACCGGTTTCAACCAGTGGTGGGATTCAAATTTCTTGTCAGCCGGTTCCATCACACAAATGTCATATTTTCAGACGGTTCTGTTACAAAAAGTCATGTAATGCTAACCGGTTCGCTGATCTCATAAAATTCCGTGAGACTATACAGCAATAGAACCGGCTTAACCCCACTACTAGTTCGGCAGATAAGGGGACCTTTTTGGCCCAAGTTTGATTTCAGACATAAAGTTTTTTTTATATGTGAATATTCATCTTGGGGTCATTGCCAATCATTTCTACATGGGTGTGGAGTTTGCAGCCTTGACCAATTTTTTTTACGGCTCGATATTTGTATTAGTGTTTTTGGTCAAACCTGTGCATCATAATGACGCACAACCTGAACTATAACCTGTTACAATACTATGTTCAGGTTGTGCGCAATCTTGGTGCACAAACTACGCAAGCAGTGAGTCTACGCAAGTCATCTACATTATATCTAAACAATAAAAAAACTTTATGTTCCAAAACAATGTTAAGGCCCGATTCTGCCGGAATATACTGGTTTCAACCATAGTTTTATGGCTTGCAACACCAGAATAGATTTTATTCCGATCTTTTAATTCTTAGAAAAAATTTCACTACTATTATGACGTCATAATGTGTTTATGTATGGCGACACAAAGAAAGAGACTTCGCCCAGCGGAAACCCCGAGACTTTTTTAAATGAGTTATTCTAACTGCAGACCTGGGGACAATAAATTCACATTTCAAGCTGATTTATTCAAGCGCGGGGCAAATATGGGATTAGAAAAGTCGATAATAGTGCAAATCGCGGCTCTTCCAGTATAACAAGTTACACAACCCTGCGGTGCGCAAAATATCCAGCAACGCCCCTCCACTAGTGAAGATCGAGTTACAGCATGTCGTATGAATATGCACAGCAATAAAATAATTTCTTATTCCAAGTATTCAACTGTTTGAGACTCCCGTTGCCCCCACAAGCCGCTACGGTGTCCAAGACACGCCACACAAACTTCTCACCTGAAACAGATATTTCTGACATACCGCTAAATGGCAAGATCTTGTCCAATGCATATTTGAAACTGTATCTGTCAGTTTTTCAGCTCTAACACTGCAAAAAGTGCTGGTTTGAAAGCCACTGGCCACATTTCCCAATCCCAAAAGGAACATCATTACACAAAAAATTTAAGAAGTTTTGCATTGCGTAGTAATCGATCAATAAATAGTAAGGCAGTGATAAAAACAATTCCAACAATAGACTCATTCATTGGCTTGATTGTACATCAAATAAAGCAAAAAGCAATAACGACTAGATCTAGAATCTACTAGTATCGTCATCCAAATATATAATCCATTGCCTTTGTTATAATTCCGTTCGTTTTCTGGGGGGTTCTTACATCATTCACGACCTACAAATGAAAATTTGCTGTTGAATTACAAAATAATGTCAATAACACAACGCGAAAGTTACATATGGAAATATGAACCCTTCTCAGTCATTGTCGAAAATGAAAAACATTTAAGATGGATGTACTTCCATTGCCTGACACCCAACGTCACCTGTGCCCAGGGTTATTGGGATCTGGGTATTGGACTGAGTCCCATTAGTGAATGAATTTATGTCATAGGATATGACTAAACAAGTCTTTATTAAGTTACTATCCAAATTCATAATAATAAACATAACTAAGGGTCACTCAACGGGTTGCCTGATATTAGCTAACAAGGCAGAAAAAAAGTTGCGTTGTGACATCGTCGCAGCCATGAACAATTTTCTATGGACATAAATATTTGGTGATCGAAAAACAGATAGATTTGTTTGGAGGTGAGATATGAGGAAAAATTGTCAAGTTTGTGTCTAATATATCCTACCTTGGATCCACTGGATGAGGCGTTATAAGCTGCAGTTAATGGACGAATTGTGCAGTGTTTTGGTGTATTTGCTCCACTTCGTGTGGTGTTGGCGAGAGATGGATGAATGGAGGGTGTACCGGGAGTGTGTGTAGAACCAGTAACATCCAGATGAGCTCTTGATAATTCAAATTCTTGTGTCTGTTTGTTCATGACTCTCTTCAAATGAAACATTACAAATATACAGATAACAATCAACCAATAGAATCAGGTCATCAATAACATATTCTATATGGACATTTATAAACTATCACCAGATTACCCACACAATATGTTTCTACCTAAAAAACTGTAATTCATACAAAAGCAAAGCATTTCATACATTCAAAAGAAGTATGTATTTAAATATATATTTCATTTGTATGACATCTTATTTTAAAAATGTCAATAAATAATTGACACTGCACTCCGTGCACTGCAACTTTTCCAATTTTAACAGCTATTGACTGAAATTTCTATGTTTTTATTTATATGAAATAAAAACTATTCCGCTTTCATTCCACTTACAATATCCATACATGGAGTCACTCCGATCATTAGATTTCCAGGCAAAATCTTCCCAGATTTACTTAAAGCCTTCCTAGCTTGAAGTTTACTTTCGAAATGTATGTGAATCCAGTTTCCATCTTCAGGAGCTGAATGGTGTTCCAGTATCACACCGCACCTTGAAAATTGCTGAAGGATGTATGAACTTGCAGATGAAGGGAACCTGAAAAAATAACAACTTGACCAATCTAGTACCAAAGCTGTGTTTTTAATCGGAGCTGTGGAGTCGAAGTTTGGCAAGTTTTTATTAGTGTTGGTCACTGTTGTAGTATAGTTTGGAATTCCCTGTAATTTTGAATAAAGTCGAGGGTTGAAATTTTATAAATGAAAGAAGTAATTTTCAAAATAAACGAAAACAGCATTTGGTGTACTAATCATTCTCAACAGTAATTGAAGAAGGCTTCACAAATTTTTTGTTATCAAAATTTGGTTTCCACTGAGTCAAATTTTTATTTTAATATGGAATCAGAAGCCAAAATCGAATCATTTTTTTCGTAGTCGTTTCAGAAACGGCCCAGAGTTTGGAATCTGGTATCAAATATCCCAGATTTCAAAGCCCTGCTTTTAAATTATCACTCAACACCAAGAAAACTTACAAAGGATATTAAAAACAATTCACATACCCAAATATTGTGACCCATGTGTCATCAAGTTCTACGTTAGAAGTCAGGTCTTCTCCCTGAGTATAAAATGGATCAATCTGTGCTGGAGAAGGTGGTGATTTGACTGCTCTATCTGATCCCGGAAGATCCTGTGTAGATGATGGTAATATTCTCCTCGGCGTAGCAAGGTTTGGTTGCAATTCTGATAAAATAATCAATATTACAATCACAATTACAGCAAGATTTGATAATTTTGCAATTAAGAGAACACTCAAAAACCAGTTTTTTACTACAAAACACAAAGGAATAAAACTACAATGAAGTGTAGCTACATATGAATCGTTTACCACATTATTGTTGCTGATAGTCTGGTTGCAATTCTTGGGATTATTGTTGTGAAATTGTTAATTTACTCTTCAACTATCGGATCAAACAATTTTAGATTTTCAGTATTTGAAGATGTAAGAAGTCGACAAAAAGGTATTCATTTTATTTTGTTACGAGGCCTCATATTTCACCCAAAATTTTGCTGTTTAATTTCAATCTATTAAAGTGCAGTATTAAAATGATTGACTTTTGTGTCTATAAATTTGAGCATTGACCACCTATTATATTATGAATAACATATAAGCTTACTTGGAGTACGGGAGTCTTGATAGAATGAAGCATTTGATCTTCCACCCAGGTCCGTAAGAGCGGATCTTTGACCAGAATGAGTTATGTTCAATCCAGGTGAAGGGTATGCTTGATTATTTTCATCATGGAGCGAAGATACTGGTGGTGCCCCACCTTTATCTTTTGTACTTATTGTTGAACTACCATGAACTCGAGATCTACAAGACATCATATAAACATATATTGCAACTACATAGCAAAGCATTCATGTACAGTCTTTCATTTTCATATGACATATTTTTAATGTCGTTCACTCCCAACAAGGCTCGGCACAGGCAGACACAACTAGATACATTACTATAGTTTGAAGAGCGAAAATCTTCAACATTGAATACCCAATTCATTACACCCTGGGTGAGGTGGTGGCACGGGATTTGAACCCAGGAGATTAACCTGCCATAACACTTCAATCCCCAGGCCAACAAGTAAGTAGTAAAAGAGTAAATCTGACATTCTCAAACCTTATAAGATGGCCAAACTTATTTCCCGGTGACATTGTAGCACTAGGTGGTGAAGATCTAGGAGTAAAACCTCCAAATGATGGAGAGTTCATATAGGGATGATATGCGTGGCCTCCACTCATTGATCTGTTTAATACCGGTGTCTGAATAAAGAAACGTAAGATAAATTTTACAAAAAGTTAGAGAATTTACTACAGTGACTTTGAAGGATTCCAGGAATGGTTTCTTTCCTCATTTAAAAACCGTCCTTCGACCCAAAACATCAGCGCCTACTGAACTCTGAAAGAGGTTTAAAAAATTTCGAAGCCTAAATCGGAACAAAAATGAGAAATGTTATCTGATAAGAGATAAGCATAGGCTTATAGATATAAATTTATAGCTCACTGTGGTCACTGAAGGGTCGCCCATCAGATATCCAGGTAAAAATTGACTCCCACCATGCTGGTGATGTAAGCCACTTGTTGATGGTGATGGATGGTGGCCAACAGGAGACCCCAACATCATTGGTTCTGTGGTAAAATCAATAAGTACTTTAATGAACGCTCCAAAAGGGTGTGTACCAATTTGGAGGTAACTAATTTTATTCACCCACTTTACATCAAGTTGTGTAAACGGACTGAAACCAATGTGAAGGGGGTATATTCACTTGGCTAACACAGACAGTCCCCAATCTCGTAATAGAACTGAAATATGGGAAATCTGAATAAAATTAGGGCCTAGCCCTAACTACAGGAGTACCCTTTAACGTACACTATTTTAATAATATGCATAGTGCATACAATCAAAAAGCTCAGCAATGGGCGGCGATTACCGTCATACTTTTTAAAAAAAAAATTAAAGGGATAAAATATAATAACATGTTATTATTATTCATTGTGAATGTTTCTCTATACTATTTAGAATGATACAAATTGCATTTGAAAAAAAAAGATAGCTTTACCTTGATTGTCCATGTTATTTATACTTAATAAAAGTCAATGTCTACCCTATCAGCTTTTATATAAAGAAAAATTATTTAATAAAACCTACAATACAAATACAAGACAAAAAGTAATTAGGACAACATATGATTGAAAAGATTTAATTTCAAACATTATTAATAATGATCGACTGTCATAAATGGATTGAATCCCAAAATATGTTGCATTTTACATGTTAAAAAGGTAAATTCTGCAAAATATAACAGATAGTGTTTGTAACACAGCCAATGTCAGAGCACCATAGACAGCCATCCCACGATTAACAAAATTCCTCCGTATGGTGTTATGGGTCGAATTGAACTGTCTCCTGTTATTGATTGGTAATAACAACTTCCACAAAACACAAGCATTCCTGTAGTCAGTATCGCTCCAGTTAGTAATGGATATTTGCATCGGCTCACTGCCAGAAGAGCAAGAGTATGAAAGAAATGTTGTCGATTTGCATTATCAAATATGAGTTTTCTGTGCTCATCTTCTTTATGTATACCATGTGCTCCATATGCTGCTAATCCTACTGCAGAAGCACCAGATATTCCAGCAATTCTAACAAACAATCGACCATAATAAGAAGCCATCTAAGTAAAAAAACACTTTTTTCAACCTCCCAGATTATTCACAATTTAGTGGAACACATTATAACACAGTTTCTGTAAATAAAAGTCCATATGAAATAAGCACACAGAAACTCACACTTATCTTGAGACAAAATATGACAAATATGTGCTTACAATTCGCAATAACTTCACAAATGAAAAGTTATAACATACAATGCTGCCGTATAATAAAAAATAATGAACATGATCATGCCAGTTTTCTGCTTTGCAACAAATATTATACAATAGGTTTCTAACACCATTTAAAAATCAGTTACATTGATCCGATATCTCCGGTTTCTCATTACAGTCGAATATTCATATTTTGCAAGGATTCACCATTGTCCTGTTTGAAAGCTGACCTATAATGTTACAGTTTTGTATTCCAAAATTCAAACAAGTTGAGCTTATTCAAATTATTTTTCGAGTGGAGCATAATTCAAAAGTTTTTCGATAAGATCAACATGAGCCAGTAACATGCGACGACAACAATATCGTTTCAGTCCAAGGGCATCTAACGCATCTCCTTCGGTGTATTCAGCTTGCAAAAGTCCAAGATAAGCTTCCCATTTATTTCCAACTACTTTTCCACATGTGAAACATCTTATAGGAATAATCATGCCTACTTTTAAATGGATCTGTAGTTATAAAGTTAATCTGAATAAATCATAGGACAAAATTCAAAAACAGGTCTCTCTAAAAACAGGCACTTGCGAATTCAATCACTTTTAGATTTATTTTTTCATTTTTTTCGTAGTTCATTGGGGTTTGAGTTTTATTAGACATTGAATGAAATTGCACATTTCTATATCGCAATATTCCTTTCAATTCAATAATGTATAATTTATATTTAAATAGTAAAACATGGCAATTCTGAATACTTAATGAAAACACCAGGCACTTGTGAAGTTTCAGGCTTTTTCTAAAAACCTAATTTTGTAAACAGTTTTGTATACTCCACCCTCCACCCTGGTATCACACCCACCCACCCTCCTTGCACAACTGTCTGTATAAAGTCCATATTATACAAATTCGATTTACCATATTACAATTTCAGAATTAATACATATCAAAAGCAAAAGGGGTGTATGCCGCACATTCGTATTTTAGGCCAGTATGGTCTTGTCACTCTTGCAGTCTTGTGCATACATCCCGTCTTCAGTATTTATATTTACTAATTATTTTATATTGCTTTAACGAGACGAGTAAACATACAGCAAGTGAGTCTCTTTGCATCATTCAAAATTAGAATTTGAACACAGGCTGCAATAGTGAAACAACATATAAAACGCTAGGATTGAAACTATGTCTGTATGTTACAAAAACAAAATCACAGTGGAAAAAAACAGACAAGCCCAATTGCGAAAATCAAAAAGTATAGTATAAGTTTATTTGACTCAGTTTATTTATGCACTTGCTGAATTTGACACGTCCTACCAGTGCAGATTATAACACATATATATTCTAGAATCTAGAGCAATGGTTTAAACCTTTTTTCATTCGTGGCACATTTTCGCTGCCACAATAATTCTGTGGCCACTAAATTTTTCAAGCTGGGAAAAAATTTCACAAAAAACATAAAAATTTTCTGCGAAATTGACACTTTCACTTTAATAATAATTAGGTGGAAATTACCACCCTGTAGCAAATAAACAGCATCATCCATTGCTACTACCATCAAATTTAACTAACTTTATCAGCAACTCTAGCAATTTTTAATAGGTCTATGGCCCACCTTTAAATGTTCCTGTGGACCAGAGGCCATGGCCCACTGGTTGAGAACCAGTGTTCTAGAGCAGGGGTCCGCAACTACGGGGTCGCGACCCAAATTTGGGTCGCGGAGTCCTCCGCTCTGGGTCGCGAAACAATTTAAATTTTCCATAAATATGAGAATCGCGTCTGTGCAGGGTATTTATGTATAACAACTTTATAAATATCTGATTATATTTTATGAATGTTTCCCCGAGTATACACTTCCTTATTTACTGACGTAACATTGACCAATCAGCATAAGTGCAAAATTGAAGTAACAATAAATGTTTCAGAAGCGCTCAGATACTTTTGCCATTCAGACAGTCTCTCGTGGTTGTGATATTACCTCGTTTTGTCGGTTTTCGCGTGTTATTTGTTAGATTTTAGATGTGTTTTGGTAAATATAAGTCCTAAACTCGCAAAACCATTCTTGAGAAAAGTACCAATAATTTTGCAATGGTAGAGTGTAAAGAGGAAGAATTAAAGAGATCAAAAGTCGGAGAAACATTCGTTACCGGTACTTAGTTGTTAGCATTGTTATATCCTACTACGTAGACTTTGGATTCTCAAAGTGCTCCGTACGGAGCCTCAGGACTCCGTTAAAGACACTTAAAACTGTCCTCGACCCACTGCCCTGTCTCCATCTACTTACCTATACTCGACCCACTGCCCGACCTCCCTCAACTTTCCTATCCTCGACCCCCACTGACCTCTGTGAAGCTAGCAGCAAAACACGAAATTGTGACTGACAGAATCGCAGAAAATACCCACGCGAAAAATTAAATGTTACAATGATTTTTAAAAGAAAGTGTACATTTTGATTAGTTTCACAATAGCAAATAAAGCAAAACAATCATTAACTACAATCCTCGTATTGTCAACACATAGTAAACAAGCTAAAGCGACTGCCACAGTGCATAAAATTTTTTTATACTTTTTTGAGAGTTGTTTAAAATGACTGAATTTTCGTCGTTTAGGACGGTCGTTTCATGAAAACCTCCAATAAAGGCAGCATTGCAACACCATTGGTAAAAAGTAGAAACCTCAAAGATTCGATTTCATTATGTCAGAACAGTCTCAGCACGTTTTGACTTGGCCATATATAATACTAAACATAGCGTATAATTTTCAATTTTATGCACAATATATACAACAAATTTAAAACTGATTTTGTATTTCAACTAAATTTACTGGATAGTTAATCAAAGAAGATATTTTCTCTTTGTCACACAACAATAATGCACTTCATTAAACTAGAATAAGTTGAGGAAAGTCTAAAATACCAAAAAAAAAATTACGCACTCTTGTGGATTCTTTAATAAATTTCACGAAATTATCGTTTTTGAAAGGTCGATTTTTCAAAAACCGCCAATAAAGACAGCACTACGACACATTCGGAGAAAAGCAGATACCTTATAGATTTGATTTCATTATGTCAGAACAATAGCAGAACGTTTTGACTTAGCCATATATAATACCAAACATAGCGTGTATTAAAATTTTATAAACAATGCAGACGTAACATATTTAAAAACGGTTTGGTATTTCAACTAATTTGCTAGATAATTTATCAAACATCTTTTTCTCTTGTACATACATATATACTATACGTATTAAACTTGGAATAAGTTGCGAAAAGTATAAAATACCAAAAAACATTTTACGTCCTCTTGTGGATTATTCTCAAAATTTCAAATAATTATCGTATTTGAAATAGTGATTACTCGAAAACCGCCAATAAAGGCAGCACTACGACACATTTGGAGAAAAACAGATACCTTATAGATTCGATTTTATTATGTCATAACAGTAGCAGCACGTTTTGACTATGGCCATTTATAATACCAAACATAGCGTATAATTTTCAATTTTATTAACTATGTAGATGTAACATATTTAAAAAACGGTTTGCTATTTCAACTAAATTTACTGGATAATTCATAAATACTTTCCTCTCTTGGCCATACATCAAAAACTGTACGGTTCATTAAACTTGAATAAGTGGGCAAATCTTAAAAATACAAAAAATGATTTGACGCCCTCTTGTGGATTTTTTTTCGGATTTTCCAAAAAATATCTTTTTGAAATAGCGATTTCTCAAAAACCGCCAATAAAGGCAGCACCTACGACACATTCAGAGAAAAACAGATACCTTATAAATTCGATTTCATTATGTCAGAACAATAGCAGCACGTTTTAAACTCGCCAAATATATTACCAAACATAGCGTGAATTCAAAATTTCATAAACAATGCAGACGTAACATATTTAAAAAGTGATTTGTATTTCAACTAAAATTACTAGATAATACATTAAACATCTTTTCTATTAAACATACACCAATACTGACGTTCATTAAACTTTGAATAAGTTGCGCGGGAAATGATGAAATACCAAAAATAACTTCTAGAGCCAGTTTGTGGATTAATTTTCAAAATTTCAAAAAATATCGTTTTTAAAGGCGATTTCTAAAACCGCCAATAAAGGCAGCACTACGACACATTCGGAGAAAAGCAGATTCCTATAGATTCGATTTTAATATGTCAGAACAGTAGCAGCACGTTTTGACTTGGCCATATATAATACCAAACATAGCGTATATTTTCAATTTTATTAACTATGTAGATGTAACATATTTAAAAACGGTTTGGTATTTCAACTAAATTTACTGGATAATTCATCAAATACTTTTCTCTCTTTCATATATCAAAACTGTACGTTCATTAAACTTGGAATAAGTGCAAATCTTAAAATACCAAAAAATGATTTACGCCCTCTTGTGGATTTTTCGGAATTTCAAAAAATTATCGTTTTTGAAAGGGCGATTTCTCAAAAACCGCCAATAAAGGCAGCACTACGACACATTCGGAGAAAGCAGATACCTTATAGATTTCATTATGTCAGAACAGTAGCAGCACGTTTTGACTTGGCCATATATAATACCAAACATAGCGTGTATTCAAACTTTTATAAACAATGCAGACGTAACATATTTAAAAACGTTTGGTATTTCAAACTAAATTTCCTAGATAATTTATCAAACTTTTTCTTTGGACATACATATATACTATACGTTCATTAAACTTGGAATAAGTTGCGGAAAGTATAAAATACCAAAAAGCATTTTACGTCCTCTTGTGGATTATTTTCAAAATTTCAAAAAATTATCGTTATTGAAATAGCGATTTCTCGAAAACCGCCAATAAAGGCAGCATTACGACACATTTGGAGAGAAGCAGATACCTTATAGATTCGATTTTAATATGTCAGAACAGTAGCAGCACGTTTTGACTTGGCCATAATATACCAAACATAGCGTATATTTTCAATTTTATTAAAAAATGTAGATGTGACATATTTAAAAACTTGGTATTTCAACTAAATTTACTGGAAAATTCATCAAACATCTTTTTTTTTTTGGACGTACATCAATAACGTTCATTAAACTTGGAATAAGTTGCAAATTGTATAAAACAACAAAAAAATGACTTACGCCCCATAGTAATTTTGTTTAATATCTCGAACATACCGTTTTTGAAGTGGCGATTTCCACAAAACCGCCAATAAAGGCAGCACTACGACACATTCGAAGAAAAGCAGATACTCCATAGATTTAGTTGAATACCAAACCGTTTTTAAATATGTTACGTCTGCATTGTTTATAAAAGTTTGAATACACGCTATTTGGTATTATATATGGCCAAGTCAAAACGTGCTGCTACTGTTCTGACATAATGAAATCAATCTATAAGGTATCTGCTTTACTCCGAATGTGTCGTAGTGCTGCCTTTATTGGCGGTTTTTGAGAAATCGCCCTTTCAAAAACGATATTTTTTAAAATTCGAAAAAATCCACAAGAGGGCGTCAAATCATTTTTGTTATTTTAGATTCGCCGTCTTATTCCAAGTTTAATGAACATACAGTTTTGATGTATGACCAAGAGAGAAAAGTGTTTGATGAATTATCCAGTAAATTTAGTTGAAATACCAAACCGTTTTTAAATATGTTACATCTACATGTTTATAAAATTGAAAATATACGCTATGTTTGGTATTATATATGGCCAAGTCAAAACGTGCTGCTACTGTTCTGACATAATGAAATCAAATCTATAAGGTATCTGCTTTACTCCGAATGTGTCGTAGTGCTGCCTTTATTGGCGGTTTTTGAGAAATCGCCCTTTCAAAAACGATAATTTTTCGAAATTCCGAAAAAATCCACAAGAGGGCGTCAAATCATTTTTGGCATTTTAAGATTTGCACACTAATTCCAAGTTTAATGAACATACAGTTTTGTTGTATACCAAGAGAGAAAAGTATTTGATGAATTATCCAGTAAATTTAGTTGAAATACCAAACCGTTTTTAAATATGTTACATCTACATTTTTAATAAAATTGAAAATACGCTATGTTTGGATTATATATGGCCAAGTCAAAACGTGCTGCTACTGTTCTGACATATTAAAATCGAATCTATAAGGTATCTGCTTTCTCCAAATGTGTCGTAATGCTGCCTTTATTGGCGGTTTTGAGAAATCGCTATTTCAATAACGATAATTTTTTGAAATTTTGAAAATAATCCACAAGAGGACGTAAAATGCTTTTTGGTATTTCTATACTTTCCGCAACTTATTCCAAGTTTAATGAACGTATAGTATATATGTATGTCCAAGAGAAAAAGATGTTTGATAAATTATCTAGGAAATTTATTGAAATACCAAACCGTTTTTAAATATGTTACGTCTGCATTGTTTATAAAAGTTTGAATACACGCTATGTTTGGTATTATATATGGCCAAGTCAAAACGTGCTGCTACTGTTCTGACATAATGAAATCAAATCTATAAGGTATCTGCTTTACTCCGAATGTGTCGTAGTGCTGCCTTTATTGGCGGTTTTTGAGAAATCGCCCTTTCAAAAACGATAATTTTTCGAAATTCCGAAAAAATCCACAAGAGGGCGTCAAATCATTTTTTGGCATTTTAGATTTGCACACTAATTCCAAGTTTAATGAACATACAGTTTTGTATACCAAGAGAAGAAAGTATTTGATGAATTTCCAGTAAATTAGTTGAAATACCAAACCGTTTTTAAATATGTTACATCTACATTTTTAATAAAATTGAAAATATACGCTATGTTTGGATTATATATGGCCAAGTCAAAACGTGCTGCTACTGTTCTGACTATTAAAATCGAATCTATAAGGTATCTGCTTCTCTCCAAATGTGTCGTAGTGCTGCCTTTATTGGCGGTTTTCGAGAAATCGCTATTTCAATAACGATAATTTTTTGAAATTTTGAAAAAATCCACAGAGGACGTAAAATGCTTTTTGGTATTTTATACTTTCCGCAACTTATTCCAAGTTTAATGAACGTATAGTATATATGTATGTCCAAGAGAAAAAGATGTTTGATAAATTATCTAGGAAATTTATTGAAATACCAAACCGTTTTTAAATATGTTACGTCTGCATTGTTTATAAAAGTTTGAATACACGCTATGTTTGGTATTATATATGGCCAAGTCAAAACGTGCTGCTACTGTTCTGACATAATGAAATCAAATCTATAAGGTATCTGCTTTACTCCGAATGTGTCGTAGTGCTGCCTTTATTGGCGGTTTTTGAGAAATCGCCCTTTCAAAAACGATATTTTTTAAATTCCGAAAAAATCCACAAGAGGGCGTCAAATCATTTTTTGTTATTTTAGATTTGCACTTATTCCAAGTTTAATGAACGTACAGTTGTTGATATACCAAGAGAGAAAGTATTTGATGAATTATCCAGTAAATTTAGTTGAAATACCAAACCGTTTTTAAATATGTTACATCTACATAGTTAATAAATTGAAAATTATATGCTATGTTTGGTATTATGTATTGGCCAAGTCAAAACGTGCTGCTACTGTTCTGACATATTAAAATCGAATCTATAGGGTATCTGCTTTTCTTCGAATGTGTCGTAGTGCTGCCTTTATTGGCGGTTTTTGAGAAATCCCCTTTCGAAAACGATAATTTTGTGAAATTTATCAAAGAATCCACAAGAGGGCGTAAATTTTTTTTCAGTATTTCAGACTTTACTCAACTTATTCTAAGTTTAATGAAGTGCATTATTGTTGTGTGACAAAGAGAAAAATATCTTCTTTGATGAACTATCCAGTAAATTTAGTTGAAATACAAAATCAGTTTCAAATTTGTTGTATATACATTGTTTTAAAAATTGAAGAATATACGCTATGTTTAGTATTATATATGGTCAAGTCAAAACGTGCTGAGACTGTTCTGACATATTGAAATCGAATCTTTGAGGTTTCTACTTTTCACCAATGGTGTTGCAATGCTGCCTTTATTGGAGGTTTTCATGAAACGACCATGTTACACGACGAAAATTCAGTCATTTTTAAACATCTCTCAAAGAATTATAAAAAAATTTTGTGCACTGTAACAGTCGCTTTAGCTTGTTTACTATATATTAACAATACGAGGAGTGTAGTTAATGATTGTTTTGCTTTAATTGCTATTGTGAAACTAATCAAAATATACACTTTCTTATAAAAATCATTGGGAACATTTAATTTTACGCGTGGGTATTTTCTGCGATTCTGTCAGTCGCAATTTCGTGTTTTGCTGCTAGCTTCACAGAGGTGTCGAGTACCGGTACGGTACTTCAATGGTTACAGGAAGAGAGATAGTTACTAATGTATTTATTTTTCAAATTTTTTTTAAACATACCATACGATAGCGATCTAATGGCATTAGGTAAAACATTCCAGAGCTTTACACCCATATATTTGATTGACTTCTGTGTTCTGCTTGACGAGTATCTTGGGACGTGGAATGAACCTGACGAAGCTGATCTAGTGGAATGGGAATGGATAGTACTCTGCTCGAAAAAATTCAGTGAATGCTATGGAAGTTTACCATCGAAATATTGATGCATAATTTTCAATATCTCGATTTCATGAATATGACCAAGTTTAACTATGCTGCATCTGTGGTATAAAGGGTCAAGTCTAGACCGAAATGGTGCATTACATACAGCTCGGACGGCTTTATTTTGCAACACCTCCAATCTTCTAAGGAGAGTTGTCGAAGCGCTACCCCATGACATAATACCATACTGTACATATGACTGGAAAAGTGAGAAATAGACCATTCGAAGAGCTGGCATGGTAAGAAATTTTCTGAGTGTAAATAATATTCCGGAAGCACGGGCCACCTTTCCAGCGATGTAGTTAATATGTGTGGCCCATTTTAATTGGTCATCAATATAGATGCCACCCTGCGCATGTTTCACGATCTGCTTACCCAGTTACAGATGAACAGAAACGATTTTGTTACAAAATATATATATTCCAGTTCTTGCTTAAACCAAAGCTAGAGCAACAATTTCCCACAGCGATATGCGTTCGTTCTTTCTGGGCGTTGGGAGCACGTTTGTCATAGCATTGCGGCATTGGATAACGTTACCAGTTTTTATTTTCCTTCCTTACACTTTCCACTGTCATCCAAGTGAATCATATTGATGCTAATACAATCATTTTGTTAGTTTTTTTCTTCTTGTTGTTGTTGTGAAAAAAATCGCTTTTCAATGGCTAAAGATTGTTGTTGTCGCTAGAGGGCTTTTATTTCTATTTGTTATAAAATAAAATGTATAGGGAAGCCTGTGGGAATTATGATTAAATAAATTTTAGAAACATCGTTTTAAAAACAAAGCAACAAAAACATTCACAACAAAGAATGACAAAATTCAGGAATCTTAGAGATTTATTTTATTTTTATTTTAAAACTGTAGCAGATGCATCAAAATCCTGTTGACCCTTATTCAGACATTCATTTTTCAATGACATAACTGGTGAAATCCATCCATGATCAACAAGAACTTTTGAAACATTTTGTAATTGAGCAACTGTTATTTGTGGTGTACTGAACATGACAAATGCTTCCCAACCTATACAAAGAATCACAGTTAGCTTAAAAAATTAGATGTTCTGTACCAACTGTAGTATATTTTTAAACGAACTGTAACTTCCGTACTAGGAAGACACTTGAAACTACTTTAGTATCAGTTATATCTAGTTTACATTAAATAATTGTTCAGGCTACCTCCGTTGTGGCAAGTGATTGTTATCAGGTAGGTTTCATAATCAGTGAAAAACGTCCAGTCGTTGGCAGCAAAATCATTAGACTCTGTAACAGTAATAAATTATACGCCATTAAATATAATACAACGAAGGAAAAGTGAAAAACTGACATTATCAAGCAAATGCTATTTTTACCAGTTATGAACACCTAAGGCGACATAAAAATATACATACGGTTTTTTATCTTCTTCTTATTCGATTTATTAGATTCGTCTGACAAATGGTCATAGGCAGCCAACAAAGAATCAACTGGAAAAAATAAGTGAAATCACTTTTCGATCATAGAGTCAATTTCGCAACATGTTCTTTTCCAACTACTCGCTACATAACGTCGTTATCATATCGCTTCTTGCATGTTTCATGATCATCTGCTTGCCTACTTACAGATCAACAGTAACAATTTCTGTGACGCAAAATAATTTACCTAAACTCACCTCCAGATATGCGATAAACACCGCGCTTCTGACGGATGAAGTTCTGTTCTGTTAAAAATACAGGTGTCTCACTGCAATTTCAAAATAAAATGAACATATTATATTCGGAATAACACTATTGGTCAGTTGGGAATGAATCACACAAAGAAATACTCACCCTCCCACATAGTTGTAATAACGAAATAAAACCCCAACTGCAGTAGGAACAACTTCTTTTGCCTCCCAGCAACCAAGAGGATAGTCCGTATGGGGGATATCTACGACATCGTACCATTTTCCCGGTCGAACCTAGAAAGACTTGCATGATCATATCGGCATTATAATCAAATGAATAAGACCGATAAGAATGGTTAAAAAGGTTTACGTGTAGAAAAATAACATTTCTTGACTATTAAATATTGCGATACTTCGATATTTATATACTCTCGGTTGGCATCGCGTCAAAAATAAAATCGGAATTTTATGGTTGTGGGAGTTATACTCAACATTTTCCAAATCATCGATATTCAACAACATTATTACCCTGTTCCAATCGATGTCTTTTTTCGGAGAATTTCCACATTTTAGGCAATTCCCCAATACAATATACGTAAAGAACATCAAAAGCATGGACTTCATTATAGCACCCTGCTTTCAAACTCTTTCAGAGTAACGTAAACTTCAACAAACTAAGTTAGTAGCTTATTTTTAGTTCCTTCCTAGAATATACAAATTTGATTGGTTTTATCGTAATATTTTGCACGTTATCAAGCAAATGCTATTGTACGCGTTGGAGTCCAACGGATATCTTGCACAATCGCAAATTTCCGTAATTGGAGTAACAAGTTTATTGTTCGCTATAAAAAAAAGTGTCGCTTCGCGTTTTATTTTGAAGTGTATGACCGACGCGGGAGAACTAAGATCGCAAAAGTCAGCTCTTTCAGAATAATTCCTGGTAGCTAATTTAATACTCGATTCTTAACTCGGTTTCAAATAATTTATTCGATAATTTTTTCCTTTTATCAATTCGAACTACAGCAGCATTTTTTGCTAAAATTGTTTCTGGATTCCCCACAAAAACAAAGATGAACAAGTTAATCATAAACATTTCCCGTAAAGCTATATATCAACAGCTGTTGCAGCACTCCCAAAGCATCGAAAATAATCAAGGAGCATCGACTCAATAGCAGGCGTTGCGGCGGTTAGCCGACTTTGTGCAAGCGTCTCCGAATCGAATAGCTTTGGCTTGGAAGCTCTCCTCTATCGCGCGATTGTGCTGAAATATATATATATATATACGAAGAAACAAAACATAGAATCGATACACGCGCATGTTGCGAAGGAAATGCTATATTGTAGCAGAGTATTGCTTGCACACGATATTCTGTGTAAGGCATACAACACGTGGAATATTGAATCACAATCAATATTGAAGTTTTACCATTAGATCAAAATTCACATAGAATAATCGTCCCCTATCGCTTTGACTATAAATAATTTATGTCATAATATAATGTTTCATCAAAAAAATCATTGCTTTCGAAGGCGATCGAAAGTCAGTTTATTCGCATCCGGGAGGTCCCCATTTTCTATAAATTGTTCCCCTGTTCAATGCCGTACTAATAAACTCGTCACTATGGTGCAATATCTTACTGCACAGGTTTCTTGATCTCGGCGTCAGCATCACAGCCGCCGTTTGCAACGGAAACGACAATCGATCGCTCCGCATCTACGTTTAAACAATCTCACGGTAACCATAGTTAACGTATTAACATGTCTCCTGGCATCAGCAATTATCCATGTCTCTCACTCCCCTCGGTCGAAACCTCCGGACATCAATGGAATGTATCAAAATGAAGAGCATTTTCATTTGAAAAGTTGTGACGTCAAAATACGATGTCATGTTTTGTATTTTACGCCTATCGTGGTGGACCAATGTTACACCCAGTGCACTGGCGCACACAAGAGGTGTATACATTTTCACGCCGAACCTGAACAAACAGTAGATTAACATTATAACATTAACATATATGGACACAGAGTTAAAACGAAATAGTAGTGCAATATGTCACGTGTTCACAAAATTCTAAACGTTTTGAGTGATCAGGTTCCAACATTTCTTCAACTTAGGATTTCTTTTCCAAATATTGATTTGAATCAAAAGTTGATGATTATTTGAATCCTATTCTTACCATTTGCATGAAATCAGAGTGCTACATAAAGGGGGGGGGGGGGGGGGGGGGGGGGGGGGGATGAAATCCGTTCAAAAAAGATAACAATTTATATATACGAGGAAACACACCGCGGCTTTATTTTTCTGCTTATATATTTTGAGTTATATATATTTTCACGCTACTGTACGATCACATTAGAGAAGAGCCATTTCTGGAGTTCCAAAAGTATGTTTATGGCGTTAAGGCGTGTTTATGTAAATGCTTTGAGTAATCCGCTTGAGCCGAGGAATACCTCGTCCACCCAATAGTAGTGTAGCCTGAAGAGCTCATAACGAACAGTGAGGTCGCATTAGGATTGGCGCATTATCAGCAATGAGGGCGCATTTTCAATAGGCGCATTGGAACAATGGCAGCCATGTGAATGGCAGATTATTACCAATGACTGCTCCTTAAAACAAGGCAATTGGGAACAATGTGTCGCATTTGGAATTGTGTGTTATAAAGGACGCATTTAGATGGCACAATATGCCAATTCATTCATCTATTTTACTAATTGTTTATGAAATTTGTAATGCTCGTACTGGAGTTCGGAATAAGAGCAGCATGGATTGGACTTCACTCAGGGCTTGAATTTGCTCGGACTGATAATGTGCCATAATGTGAGCTTTGATATTTTTTTTTGCCTTGATAATTCGATAAAGATTTGATGATATAAAGCAACAACTCTTTTTATGAAGTATTTCACACATTTTCCTTTGAACCAAGGCTCTAAACAAGAAGTGACCCATTTTGGAAAGAATTTTTTTCGTTGTGTATAAAATATTAGGTTGAATACAGCTGTTGTATAAAACGGTTCCATCATCTGATAGGGATAGAAGCTATACAACTTCCCCGTAGCAAAGCTCTAAACAGGGTTCCTCATTTGGTTGTGACATCACACAAGCTTCGAGAATGAGACGTAGAATTTCGTTGCTGATATATTTCACCATAAAATCAATTTACGTTGCATAAATTCATGGAGTACTTTTCTGATACAAGGAACAACAGCGAGGTCGCAATTTGGAATGGCGCATTGGGCGCAGCGCACTGGTAACGAACAATGTGTAGTGGTTATCAACAATGATGGCGCATTATGATGACACAAAATTGACAATTAATTCATCCATTCTCATGTGTGTCATCCACTATCGCCTTTTTTTGAAAAGCTGCTCTGAATAGCAGTTACTGGTATGCAGACTTTTTTTTTTTTTTCAGACAACTATCATGTCTTTTGTGAAGAAATATATACTTCTGTTATCCCAAGACTTATAAAATTGGCAAAAGCTATCGGAAAAAATAGTCTCATCTTCTAATGGCATGTCGTCCATCTGGTGGTCCGATGACCAATATTTATGAATGAAGGTTGTCGAATGTTTTGTAGAAATTCGAGTGACCCTTTGTAAACCAACTCCGCACTTTTCTTTCTGTTCCCATAGTTGTTCTAGCTACCAATAAATTATGTTTGATACTAAATATGAATGGCATTGATGTCTCGATATAGACTGATAATTGGAAAAGTGTCTACTTGCCCAAATATATATAGTTTTTATCATAAATTTATTTTTTCATCATACTGATGGATACACACTGGATATACAAAAAATTACAATACTTATGAAAAATGCGTTTCAGGGCGAGGGGACCGCGGAAAACCAATGAATATAGGCTATCGAGCAGCGGCACCCTTGAAATAGACTAACAGATAATAATAATAACAAATATTCGAAGTATATATGTTATTTGAAGAAAGCACTAAATACGTCAAAGTAACCTGGTGTGCCCAGGGCGCGCGTTTTAACAACTACAAAAAAGACGACTCCGGATAAGATATCATATTTTACCCTAGGCTGAGCAAAGCTGATAAGAGATAGGACTTACTACTAAGTGAACGATTTTGAAAAACGTGTGAGAATATTTGGAACAATTCGGTAAAATCATGGATGGTTGAATAAACAGGAAATCGAATGTCTTTCATAAACTTGTAAGACAATAAAAATGCCATTTGGGTCAACTCTGACATTCTTCAGTTGATCCAAGAATTGTGCCAATTATTTCGAGTTATATAAATGTTATTTATAATACAGTAACCCCATATAGCAAATTATATTGGATTATTTTGAACGGACACGATTGCTACGAAAGGGTAATCAAATAATTGAGGGGGAGGTGTTTCAATACTGGACTGCTTTTTTGGGTCTCATGTATTGCAAAAATTGTTACGCCACGCCCACTAGAAATACTTGTGGCACTAAACTACACTGGTTCACAGGTACACTTACTAGCTCCCCGGTCGCCTGCCCTTCTCAAAAACCTTTCGACTTCCGCGTAGTACGAGTTTGTAAGATCAAAACCGGGGACGACCTTGTCGTAACCCGTCACGCTTGGTGGAATAAAAACCATGTTCCCGTTGATAAAATAAAGCGACGATATTTTGGATGAAATATCTGATCTCATAGGACTAATGGAAAATGGGAAAAGTAACAGCCTTTCAGGCGTTTTTTTATAACAACGAGGGGTAAAATACCAACAAAAACACGAACAACAACATAATAACAAAACGATCCATAGGTCCATTTAGTGTCCAACAACAAACAAAAATGGGAATTGTACATTCCAACATTTGCATCATTTATCTGGCTCTTTTTACTGGATATACCGGCTTGCAATTCTTGACTC